CGACAAGACACCGACCACCATTCTTTACTCGTACTTTTAGTTATAATAGTGTCAAACTGTACAATGATCTACTGATGCATTCAAAGCCAAGCAGCATTTATTGTCAGAAAGAAGTCGTAGTAGTAATAAGTACTAGTTTTTACTTTAATCGCATTGGTTCATCAACGTAAAAATGATAGGGTTAAGTGTTAGAGTAGCTATTGTAACGAAAACACCGTTTTTGTTGTTTAAAGCCTAGTTTATTACCCTTACACTAATTTATAACAACACTTGCAACTAATTCATGACAAACCTTTAACCATATCGACTGGACTATTATAGCATGTTGACCTACCGGTCGCGGTCCGTTGACTACCCTTTCGTGGAGATGCGTGGGTATTTATTTTGAAATCGGGGAATTCCAGAGCATTCCCGCATTTTATCGAAGTTCAATGCGATGTCTATCAATACGCCTCGAACGCTCCCGATGTCTCCCGATCCTTTCCGCAAGCTCTAACGCCTTGTTGCCTAAGCGTCGATATTGCGAGGGCGACTCATCGTTACTAAAGGTCTCACATACGTGGGCGTTACACTATTTAGCTAAACTCCGACCGCTAAACTATAATTTAATCAATAAAGACATTTTATTATTAATATTATTATTCCACAATCGGCGTCCTCCTAAAGGTTGAAATAGCTTGACACAACAAAGCTTCTGATATTGACATGATTTCTGCAATGACATGCAACTCGCTCATGGCATTTTATTCGTCTTTTAGGCATCGGCGTCGCTTGGAAACTTATTCAAATATGTATATCAGAGGAGGGTATCTCAAATATTGCGACAGGAGGTACGTATTAAAGGCGTCGGGGATCAACTGTAGTCTCTTAGCTTACACATTGCACACTTGTGGATTATATTTATTCAGTTATTTGTAAATAGTGGCTGACAGGCAATTTCTTGGGTAACTCTCTACCATATGGTTAGATGAGAAGTATCAAGACCATGTTGCCATTTACATTGATTTTGACTCCATTACGTTATGTAATACTATCGCAACATACTGTATAGGCTAGATGCGATGTGGAAGATCCGTGCAATAGTACTTGACTCCATTACGATGTGTAATATTATGGTAACATGCTGTGTAGGCTAGGTACGGTGTGGAAGATTCTTGTAATTATACTTGAAGCCCTTCCAAGTGAACAATTTCAAAAATAATTTGATGAAGTACATCTGCTTGTAAAGCCACCGAGGCATGCAACCGTAACATCATCGCCACCTTAACAGCAGACAATCATGATACGGTAATTTTCTGCGATTCCCCTTCGTCCATCAACAGGAAATGAAAATCAAACCGCATATCTTGCCCGTAGTTACCGATTCAAATGTTAATAGCTTTCCTTATGAATTCGCACACTAACAAAAGCGCGAACCTCTTTAACATGAGGTAACATAATGTGCGAACTCTGAATCAATGTATGTACTTGTCTCAAGACAATTCCCTCGCACTTCTTTTGTATGTCCGCAGTTTTCAAGTTTAACGATATTATAGAACTCTTACTAGTTTATGTTCTCATGTCCACGGAATGTCCAAGATATGTTACCAACAGGTACGCCTCTAGATGTGGGTCCAAAGTTCTATGGTATATACATATATTTTAGCTTTAGAAAATTGGCTTTTTAGATTTTAAACCGATCACTTAGCTAAGTAGCGCTACTGAGACTAATTACTGTGTAGGTGCACGCCCATTTTCTATAAAGTTGAAATCTACAGTTACTTAGACTAATGACGTTCTATCAACCCCATTTTCTATGTAGCTGAGGTAAGGCCATCTTCTTAGAAAATTCAATATATTGTTCTAAAAGACTGAAACCACCAGTTACTTGGTAAAAGGCCAGGAAGATTCAGTCAATAAGAGAACAACAATGTATAATAAAAAATCAATTCGATATTTTATATAAAATACCGGTCAATATTTGTGTGTACAGTCTGTGGAAATTGAGCGCAGTCCTAGCCTTCCTAGCAAGGATTATTTAGGATCTACTAAGTCTAAAGTATTATTTTGCGTCTTATAAGGTTTTATCTCCAATTTGAACACTTGGAAACCTCAAAAATATTGCTTTTCAAAATACTTATCTTTTGGATTAGTACTTTCCCAACTTTCTTAGAACTGTCGGATCATTTTGATCATAAAGAGGTCCTCAGTAACTAACTCTACCGTTTTCGAGTTACAAGCGAGTCAGTGTAAAAAAACTAAAAATGGGATCTCTCAATGCTTGACAACCGGTCAAATATTATAATTTTTGGTATTGCCTAGTGAATAAACTAAAGTTCAAGCCTTCTTTTACAAGACTGAACAGTATTTTAGGTGTAGTTTATTTAGATCCAATTTTTAACTTTGATTCTTATGCTAACAAGGGGCGAACTTTTGATTTCGCAGACACTAACATACCACATGCCATAAGTGTGCATTCAGCTATTCCGTTTATCTCACGAAGCAGCACGAGTCTGAAATAATTTTATTTTATAAGTAGCGCTACTTAGCTAAGTGACCGGTTTCTTAGCTAATTAGCCAATTCTCTAGGACATATGCATCTTTGACAAGCTTATGTGATTTAATATCTGACGAACTGCCTTTTTCCATGCCCTTGAAATCTCTAATCGGTAACGACACCCTATTGTATGACCCAAATAATAAATGTATACTTTTTCCAGCCACTCCCAATATTGTTGGTTCCAGTTGTACAATGAAGTAGGCAGTATGTATTTAAAATAAATAACATCCCACCACCCATGAAAAAATCCTTTATATAATGCCGCAAAAGTACCTGTATCTTCGTATGGTGTGAGGTCTGAGAACCACCCCTGTGAAATTCCGATGACCAGGTCGATGGTGATAAAAAGGGCAGGTAAAATAGTACTGATGCTAAAGACATTCCGCGTGTTCGTGGGATCGAGTTATTGTAAGAGGGATGGATAGTGATGTATGTCCAATGGCGTAGTGGCATGTTTAGTTATAAAGGTACAGAACACATGGTTCGACGGAATTATCTACCAAGCGAGCGAATGCAATATGAGAAACGGTGAGAAATGCTACAGAAGCCAGTAGGAGTGCAGCACCTGCAAGTCGGTGTAACCCTTATGCAGTTTCACCTCCTATCTCTAGTCTTCGTGGCTCCAAGTTAGAATGCGGCATCAAGAAGGAGAACTGACAATCCGTTGAAATATTGGTAAAAGTCAGTATTACCTACCTTCTGTCGTAGTAATTATCTGCCCCACACATGAGACAGATAGTATTTCTGTGGAGAATGACAGCCTAGTTGAAGCTTTCGCCTCTCCCATAAACTTGTGAGGAGTATTCCATAACAGTCTCATTTAGGCCTTATAACTTATCGGTGTCAAGTATAGGCTGATAATTTTCAAGAAGATATTAGGCAAATATTATTAGCTAATACAAGGAAATTGACATGAGCACCTGATTCTACTTCATTGAGTACGCCACTGTTTCACAGACCTTCTATACCTGATGCATCTACAAAGAATACCATTATACAACTACTTTTGTCCAACAAAAATGCGGTAAGAAGTGTTGTTCCACTGGAAATCTGCAATTATTTTCATATTGAGGGGTATTTTAAAGAGAGCCTTTTTGGAGTACAGTAGCCGTAGAGATGCAGAAATATCCCGGGTTTTTTTCTTTCACCTGCAATATCTTTTGTATCTGTCGTGCTAAGAGCACCTAGCATGAAATCGAAAAAAGGCGTCCAAAGTTGGAACCTCTGATTGATTTGTACAGATAGTCAAACAACAATGAAGAATTGTAAGAAAACTATTGTATTTTATGGTCAAAAAGTTTTCCGGTGAATAATCATATGCCCTTTGTGTCTAACACAGTATAATGCGGCTTGCAGCTGAGATAAATTTTTGATGAATATAAATGTACATATAAATTGGTATTATTCCCCTAATGTTGTCTATAAAAGCTTGTACGAAAATAAGTTTTGAAAGCAACTTCAAAAATATGTGAAAGGTCTAACTTGATCAGTAATGGATATGGCATGACAAGGAAAAGTACAGCAAAACTCAGATTTTATCCAGAATTTCGAAAACAAAATTTGGATTCTTCGACAGAATGACAACTTTCCTATACATTTGATCAAATAGATAAGAGTGTTACACAATGAGATAATGAGAATCAGTTCGGATTTGATCAAAGACGGGCAAGATGAGGTATGGAAATGAAGCATTTCTGTTGATTAACCTCTTCAACGTTAGTTTGAATCTAGAGAATGCGATCCGAATGTGCCTTGCCTCATTATACCTTTTCATACAGAAGCTTAATGTAACTGCCAAGCAGAATGACTATACAAGGAGAAACATAGAATACATATTTTTATTCCAACCGTTAAGCGGTACTATACGCTAGAAGGCAAATAAACAATTGCAAGCAAGTGGTTATCGGACGCGATATTGTGCAGTAAATATGCTCGCCAGAGACTGTTTTAGCTCGTAAAATTAAATGAATATCAACAAGGAAAGCATTTCTGCTGCCTACGTTTTTTTGAAGAAAGTAAAAGTTTGAACAACTGACCACTGACCTTATTGCCATAAAAAACGAAATTTTATATGAAAGCCCAACACAGGGAGCTGTATCGCTTTTCTACATCGATGCAGCATGTAATAAAAAAATAGCGTCAAGCAGGTTGACTCTGCACTTTACAACGCCAGCATCAGTTCACAAAAAATTAAATTCAACACAAGTTAGACCCTCTAAGATAAAAATTAAATACGAACATGTACAATAGAGAAATTAAACGGATCAAGTTTACATACAATTTTCATTATATCCCTGCCCTACCGGTAATTACTGTCCATCTGGCTACGTTGCCCACCAAAAATGAGCAGGTTCATCTGAAACGTCAAAAGATTTTTCGTCCTTGGTGTAGTATTAACCCAAGTAAGAAACGACGACAAAACCGTGATAATTTTGATATTAACATTTTTTTCTTATTCCAGATATTAAAGGCTGAGCGCACGATGTAGTTCCACATGTCGACACCATCGACACCCGACCCCCAAAAGGGGGAGCTGCTGTCGAGCGATACTAGCGAGCATGGGCTGCTACCTCCCTGTCCATGCCAACAGCACGAATGTTCAGCCCCGCCTCATACACCAAAGGCTGATCACCAAGGACATGCTCACCACAACATGCGTCATGTGCACCAAACACACTATGCTAAGAAGTAAGAAAATTGTAGCAGCAGTAATATTTTTTCAAAATTACAATTGCTAATTAAATTAAGAAGGACCATGAGGTTGATTTCGGTTAGCTTTGTAGCCGTGCAATATCAGTAACGGAAGGTGATAGATCGATTTTGATAAAATTTGATGAGCAGTGTACTTTGGAGCCATAGTTAATATCTCTGTATTTTTAAAAAGGAACAAACGCGATTCAAGAGGAAGAGGGGTACCTAACGCAAAAAAATATAATCTTTTAAACCACCTCTAAACATTGAGTGTTTTTTCCGTTCCCGTTTTTTGTCGTAAAGTATTTCAAAATGACATAAACGTTGTTTTCGTACCCTTCTTAACTTTCAGAATTCAAAATACTTGTTAAAGATCTAAAAACATTGTCATCCCAACTGCCCAGATGTAAACAAAGAAAGTATTGTGATAGAAGGAACAAAAATAATAAATTGGTCTTGGAACATCCAACTTACGTTTGAAAATCAAAATGCATCCAAGGACATGACCATCCGCAGGGGGGCGCCAGAGGGGACCGCGCCCTCCCCCGGCTGGACCTTGAAAACTGCATATTCAGCAAAATTTTCCTTAATCAAAAATATTTCAGACAGCGATGGATTATTGGTAGTCAGTAACTCAAAAGTTAGCATTTCTATATTTGGCAACTCAAATGCCGATTGATGATATCTCACAATTTTTCTAGCATCGCTTCCTCCTGCCCGATTCACCTACACCACCAACCTAAAGTGGGCGGTGCCTGCAGCGGCTGTTGCCACGCCCACCGGCCGCCAGAGGAGGAGCCTGTAGCAGTAGGGTCGGGGGATGACGCCGGAGGCGCAGTCTGCAGAAAGAACGACCATCCAGATGAGAGGATCGAAGTGTCGCCACTACCGCCTGCGTTGCCACCTAGGCCTCCGCCCAGGCCAAGGTACGGGATGGGCGGTACGTTGGGGAGTGATGCGAGTCTTAGATGGCAGACGAGGCATCGTGAGTATATTTTTGCATATTAATTTTAATTCAGTGGTCGAAGTAAACGTAAATAACGTTTTATTCATATTCAGGAGACATCATGAGATGAGATACAATAAGATGGATATCTGATTTGCGCTGTCTTATTTCGATAGAAATGCTCTCAAAACAACATGTAGTAACCTGACTAAACCTGATAAAATATGTCACTAATAAGGGCTATTGAGCTACAGAGTCCCAATTCCATAGGCAAACATCTTAAAATCCAGGAAATCAAATCTTACTTTAAGAAGTTTTGAAACTTCTAATTCTGGACTTTTGATTCATGAAATAAATCCTAAAGCATTTTAAACATTTTTTAACAAAATTTTCATTCAAGTTCAGAACGCTAAAAGTTTGACGTTATATGTTTCTTTATTACACATAGGGATGAAAATTTGATGGATAAAATTGTACATCTAAAAAAACTGAAGAATTTGCAATCTAAAAATTTAAAAAATAATCCGACCCCGATTCAATGCCATTTAATTAATTTTAACAAATTACTCTGTATGTACATTAACAATTTTCAAATCTACTTATAACACACATTATATTTTTTTTTTGGAGGAACTAAAGCTGGTTATTCATTATAAATAACAGACGACATCTTTACGTCTAGCAAGTGACGTATTATTGATGTCTGCCATGACGTCATCGATATGTGACATTAGAAGGTCATTTTCACATTATTTTTACGTCATTCAACTCGCTAGTTCTCGTGATTGAGCTTACCTGTGTTGATGCTGAAAAAAGTGTAGTAGTTTTTATACGCTTAGGTTGATAGTTCAGCCATTATAAGCTATAATATCATTACACGTATATTTACCCTTAAATTTCTCGTAACCAGCTTATTCAGGCAAAATGATGAAGAATTTAATTCCAAACAAATTGATCCCATTCCTACTTCACATAGAATCGGTTGTTTTCAAGATATTTATTCCATTACACTAATTTGAACGTATCATTACGAAGTAATATTCTAACGATACGACCAACAAAATTTGCAGTCGCCCGAATTGTAAGATTTCCTTATTCAAAATCTCCCTATTTCTTTGCCTATAATGACGAGAAACGTAGTTACTTATAATTTTTGCTTTTCCACTTTGGCGCCAGTTTTGCTAATCCCTCGCATTCCAAGCGCCACGGGGTTGCCCGGAGCCATTACAAATACAGCCACGTGCAAGCGCAGGGATGCAAGGTCAATCAAAATCCAGCCTGCAGCCGACGGTACTTGACACTTGGAGTGCTTCCCGTCAGATCACCTGAATTATCAAATAGGGCGCAAAAATAACCTGTTACGAGGAGAGAAGCCGTCGCGTGCAAGTAGGGGTGGAAAACCACCCTGCGCTGGCGCCTACGGAAATATTGACTCGCTTGAGGGAAATGCGTCGCTATGGAGACGCACTCAAAGCAGGACTGGGCTTGAGAAATATAGTGAAAAACCAGTGCTGAACATTTTCAACGACCAGACGCTGAATGGAATTGAATGTGCAAAGTGTGAGGACCGCACTTTATGAGCAGATATCAACTGAAAAGAGGTCAAAGAATAGTAATCCAAAAAAGTATTCTTCACTCCGACATTTTTTCTGATTTCTCGTATCATACTGAACAAGAAAAGTTTTTAGTAACTTTCTTATAAGTTTACGAGCTGTAAGCCATTTAATATCAGAAAAACCCTAAAAATGTTCAAAGGAACATAGTGAATGTCTTCCTCCTTCGCGAATACTATTAGTCGGTAATCATATTTGTAACTTGTTCTTGTTTACTATTTTTTTACATATTTGTACATATTTACGTGTCTTCACGAATATGCCATTTGCTCACTGACCGCTGGTACTGTTTGTACTCATGTACGCATAAAAATTTGAAAAATGGGATGAAAACCCATGATAAAGTAATTTTTCTGTAAACTAAGAATTTTAAACTTGTTCTTCATACGAATTTCAAAATAAATTGCTCATTATCATTGCCACCTTTCTTCTCTAGAAGATGGCATAAATAGAGTTTCAATATGACACTTCGACTCTTGTCCTCTAGCATCAAATTTATTTATTCTCATAAGACACCATATTGGACTTTTGCGCAGATAAATAGAGTTTTTAATTGTTTCCAAAAATGTATAAAACGTCATACATTGACATACCCTAGTTATTTCAAGAAAAGCAGAGTTTCCTAGGTAGGCCTTGAAGTCATCAGATAGTTATGTGATTCGCAGACCAGATTTATCCCAAAATCACTTTTATTTTTTTAAGATTTCATTTCAGATGGGATTCATTGTTTCTTATTCTCCTCTACGAGATGGCGTAGTCAAATTTTTAATTCGACATTTCTTCTGTACCTTTTGTAACGCTTTTAGTACCTGAGTATGGCCTATATAGCCGAAACGTCGTACGAATGAAATAAATTGAATTTACGTTGACCGAAGCCCAAGAACTTTTATTCTAAAAAGTTGTACTAACGGAATACCTGTATATAAGAAATATATCATTACACTGTCCGTTATATCTGTTCGCTAAAATGCATCACACAGATGAAATTCAAGAAATGCACCCCTGTACGGAAATTGGATCCCCACCTAAATCAAAATTGAGGTTCACAGCTTTAACGACAAGCTCGCGATATTCGTTATAATCGCGTCCGATGGAAACGTTTCTTCCATTTCTTCCGTTCGGATCTTCTGGATCTTCACAGTATGACCGACGACAATAAGATATAGCCTAAGAACTGCGTTCGGTGCTAGCATTTTGTGATTTGTGTGGTTCTAGAATAAGTGCCAACATGCACGGGTATCCAGTAATGCAAGTGGTTCAGTACCATATACCCCCCAGCATTCCACCTTACCCTCCACATCATCTACCGCCACATACAGGTATTGGGTGAAACCATGACTCCTAAGATAATAACATCTAGGACTTATCCTGTAGCTTTGATGTTAATCCCCAATGTTTGTCTTGCCAGCCAAAACCACGTATGCTTAAAATTCTTCTTTATTGAACGACGTTTCTGTCCCAACGGTAGCATTCTTCAAAATGTCAATTGAAGACTGTCAGCAAACATAGGGGATTGACTCCTAAGACGTTTCTCTATGCATTTAATTTTTGACCGGTCTGTCGGTTTCTTTGGCGGAATCCAAAATGCACAAACTTATCTCGGGTTGCACAGAGATATCTCATTTTACTGAGCTAATTAAGATTTCACCCTGCATTATTCAAATAGCTACTAATTTCAATTGAAGCTGGAAACATGTTATAAAAGTCCAATCAAGTTTCTAGTGTTTTTGATTTGTACAGAATTAGGGATTCCCAAGACCAAGACTTGCTTGGTCTTGGTACCTATTACAACATAACAGAAGTCGCTTATCTTAGTCTTGGTCTTAAAAAATTATTGAAGTTTTGGTCTTGGTTTGTTGAAAGTTTTGCCATTCGATTAAAATAGTTCCATATTACTTTAAATGCTTAATAGTAATGACAGAAGTGATGGAATGTGTAGAGTTGGCAGTTTTTTTTGTCTACATTTTTTAACATTGATAAGTTGATTATTTCGAAAATCGATTCTAATAGTATTAATGGGACTCGGTGATGATTACTTCTGACTTATAAACTTAAATAAATATTATAAATCTCAAGGCTTGTAATGTCTGTCGGTCTATCCGCTAATCCTTGGCTCTCTGTTACTTGGAAAGTTCTGCTTGGATTTGGATGAAAATTTTACGCAAGGTTACTACTATGCCAATGGCAAAAAAGTTTTTGAAAATCGGTCCAGTGGCTGCGGAGAAAAAGGCCAAAAACGAAAAAACTAAAATCGCTCAAACTTCATTTTTTGCCGTTTCAGAGGATCCTGATCATTTTTGAAAAATAATTTAGGGGTCAAAAAATTGGGGGTGGAGGAGGGTATATCTGAATTTATTGATGTTAGTACATTTACGCGCACCCAACATCAGTGATTCTACGTAGCTGTTAGACATATTTCACACATTATAGATTTCCTCGTACATTTGCCCTTAAAACAGAATAATAATAATAATAATAATAATAATAATTAACGTCTTTTATTTGTAATATTCTTACAGGAGGCGAGATTTAGATTATATATCTATTCTACCATCTAACCCCCTTAACAATACTAGATGTAAAAAAGAAAAAAAAAAGAATTTGTTGAAAATTAATAGGCACCTGTATACAATAACGAATAATCCAAGTAAATACATAAGGAACATACACTTATGGGTTACAACCGATTTCGCTGCTGATCAAGAAGAACTTCTTTCACTTTTTTCTTGAATTTGGATAATGGATTGGTTTCTTTTAAACTGCGGTCTAAAGAATTATACGATTTGATCGCATTGTAAATGTATGAATTCTGAAATTGAGACGTGCTGTGGCGTGGAATTGAAAAAGTCTCCCTATATCTAATATTAATACGATGCATATTCCCTCTACGTATGAATTTGTTTACTAAATATGACGGTGTTTTTGAATAAAGAACCTTGTGAGTCAGATTTAGGAGCTGGTACTTATACATTTTATCAATTTTCATCCATTTGAGTTCATTAATGGCATTCGATATATGATCATATTTTCTGAGATCATTTACAAGCCTGCAACATGTATTCATAATACTTTGAATACGATTTCTTGTTATAATATCTAAATAGGGATAGTAAACCACTAAGCAATACGATATCTTTGAAAATACGAAATATTCACACAATTGCTTTCTCGCAGATTTATGTAATATAGCCTTATTTGCAAATAAAACTCTGAGAATAGCGTAGCACTGAGTAATTAGATAGTTCACCTGTACAACAAATTTTAAGTCATCATCCATTATAATACCTAGATTTTTCGAATGATCCACAGGAATTAATTTATTACCCTTTAAATGTATGTCTATGTCCTTTTTTAAGGTATTATTTTTTGTTCTATTATACTAACATATTTGTCTTCAAAGGGTTCAAACGAAGATTATGACTACTACTGAACTTTTCAATTTGGACAAGATCTTGATTAAATTTATTATTTGCCGTTTCCAAGTCATTACTCCTAAATGAATAGAAAATTTGAGTATCATCTGCAAAAAATTGTATGCTGCATGATTTTACCTCTGTTTCTAAATCTGAGATATATAATGAAAATAATAGCGGTCCTAAGACTGATCCCTGTGACACACCAGAACAAATTTTTTGTTCCGTAGAGTACTGTTGATTTAGACGAACTTTTTGATACCGATTTTCAAGGTAGGTTTGAATAAACGAAAGAGGTTTTTCAGAAAATCCATAGTAACTGCATTTAGATACAAGAAGTGAGTGATTAATGGTGTCAAATGCTTTAGTAAAGTCAAGAAGTATGAAAGCTACTGCTTTTTGGTTATCAAGTGCCATTGTTATATTGTCTGTTGAATCACAGAGTGCCGAAGCTGTATTATGACCTTGTCGAAATCCAGATTGTTTAGATGGAATAATTTTGTTACAATATAAGTAGGCGCAGAGCTGCTCGTAAACAATGCGTTCCAATACTTTAGAAAAAATTGGCAGTAGACTGATCGGTCTCAGTTGACCATAGTTAGTAGGGTCAGAACACTTAGGTAGCGGAATAACTACAGCGCGTTTCCACTGATTGGGGGAATATCCCCTCTCTAAACAGCAATTTATAATATGCGTTAAGTACACATCAATTTCAGGAATACATAGTAGTATCATATGCAAAGTTATTTCATCTGTACCACTAGAATTTGATTTTATTTTATGTATAATTTTAACAACGGTGTCAATAGTCACTTTATTAAATTGAAACTTGAATTTTGAGTTATTTTTATTAGCTCGGTACTATGCAATTTTATCAGCACAAGCCAAATCACTATTCTCGAAAATTGAAATGAATGCCTCATTTATTTTATACGGATCTGACAAGCTCACGGGAATTGTAGAATCTTTCTGAGATTGTACTTTGAAAGTCTTTAGGGTCTTATAAAACTTTTTTATATCCTGATTTTGAACAGCTTGTAAATAATCTCTTTTTCCTCTTCGCACGAGCGTTAATGCACGATTTCTGAAATATGTATACTGTTGCCAAGAGGCGGCTGTACGATGACGTTTGAACTTTGACAAAGCTTCAGCCCTCTGCTTGAATACAAGTTTAATATTATCATCCAACCAAGGAACTGGAGCTTTGTTTACACGCACTACCTTTTTTGGACAGTGAACATTAAATAAACATAAAATACTATCTGTTAAAAAGTTAATTTTATCTTCAATGGCATCTATCGATATAATATGCCACCATGGAAAACTCTTGAGATCTTGTTCAAACGCTATTTCATTTAAAGACATGTTTCTGCTTCTGCTCTTCTACGTGTCTTCATGGGTATTCTGGTATTAGTGCCACACTGCCATGTCTGACCAGTCTAGGTATCGGGAAAAGGCCAGGTTGCTAGGGCAGGGAAAATTTCTATGGCCTAATTGTATGGACCTGTTTGATCCGTTCAATTTCTCTGTTATGCATGTTTGTAACTTACTTTTTTGTCATAAGTTATAACTTGTGCTGTACGTAATCCGCGTGGGAGTGCAGAGTCAACCTACTTGACGCCATTTTTTCACAGGTTACAGTTGAGACGGCTTGATGGATTTTGACATACCTATGAGGTGTTGTTAAATTTGTCTTAGTAGTGAGAGTGACGCTGGCTATATTAAAATTTTACAAAAACAGCATGGCAGATTTTGATATAAAAGTTCAACCTTGAAAATGTATCTTCAATTACTTTTTCGGGTACTTCAAGGTATCAGGCTGAACTCATAGATCCCGGGAGGTATCTGGCAGTGCAGAATATTACTTTACAAAGTATATCTAAAAATCAGCTATAGTTGTAGTCGATTGCGTCATCAACGCCATGTGAAATAAGTAAACACATCGAGTCTTCGTACAATGGGCGCAGACTTATATTGAAGATTGTTAACAGGACAAGTAAAATTGCACGACGATGTCAAGTAAGTTGTCACTCTGACAAATATGATTGAATGGGACTCATACGTAACGACAAAGTTTTCGAAACGGAGACACACAACTTAAAAACATATGTCTATCAGCTTACCGAACAAACGTTCACACACAGGGATAGGTTGCATGTGTATGTATGAGGGAGATGCAGATATATAGAGGGATACTCGTAGTCTTACTTTGACCCGCCAAGAACGGTGACTACAACTATTTTTATTTTTAATCACTTGTTTCACCTGGTCCATGTAATTCGGACCATTACCGAGCTTAACAGATATACAGGCGTTGAAAGTACATATAAACGCTACTGAATGACCCAAGGTTTGTCCTACAAATGATAAGTAATATCGGCACGGGTATTACGTATCTTGAAAAGTGACATTTCGTCGGCTTTTTTGACATTTACACACTAAAAACTACCTAGACTTCAAGACGAGATTTGGTCGATTTTTTTGACATTTTTTAGGTTTTTTACTGCCGGCATCCCTGGTATCTAATACTAGAATGTGCCAGAATACGAGTATATGTATTAACGCATTTTCATGCATATCACCATAAAATAGAGATATCCCTATTCTAATTCAAAACATATTTTTGATATCTTCGGTATTCGACATCCATTGGATAATCATATTTGTATAATCCTGCATGCTTGTCTGACCAATAAAACCACATATTATGACACATCTTCTTTACTGTAAACGTTTCAATGACAAAGTTGATCTTCATTACAATGACATTATATTTGATTTATCTGCCTTCCAAGTGACAGTTCGTTTATTTTTTGTTTTATGACATTGCTATACAGTGCGTTACTGCAATAGTCCCTTTAACATGCTGAGATTGCGCAGAGTCATCATGCCAAATTTTAATACGGCACCACACAAAACAGCTTAGTCCAGGACCACCTGGGGTAGGCACTCTTGTTCCCAAAAACAGGGCGTGCACCCCACCAAAACGAAAAACGAGTATGAGGCTGTCTTTCGTTTTTTAATGTACCAGATACGTCACCCTCGTCCATCGTCCCGAAAACACTAAGAGCCCTCCAAAAAAACGAGAAAACCCATCGAGAACTGATGTCGCAACTCACCGTTAATTGTTATGCATTCTTCGGGATTATCTAATTGTAAACCACAGGATAAGTTTCACATGTTACATTAACACTATTTCTCTGTTGTTTCAGCCAACGCAAACAGTGGAGGAATAAGGAAATACGTGTTCTGGTGTTGTGTGTGTGGTGGACTGTCGACAGTCTTAGGAGCCTTATTCTTAGCCGTATATTTTCTACTTAGGTCCTACACATCCACTTTAGGTTACTTTGAAACGATCCCTACATTTGTGCCTGCCACAATGGTAAGTAAAATAGTTATTTCCTACATAATATGTGAATTGTCACTGTAGTCCATATAATTAATATCTACCGATCATTAAGTCAATGTCAGTGTATTTTTACAAAACCTCATACATGAATAATTCCTGACGTACTGGGTTCACGGCCAATAAATATTATTGAGCAAGAGCCCGCTTCGGCCAGACCTTCGTTGTTTTATAAATCCTGAAAGTTTATCTGTGCATGTCCCCAGCGCAGGTAAGAACGGTCAGTGACTATGAAATTTGGTTACTGGTTACCAAGTTGTAAAGGCATATTAAGTACACTACTCAAAAAAGGACAAAGGGGACAAAGCAAAAAATCTTAATGTTTCGGTGATCTTTGAGAAGCTGCATTTCGGTGGAAATGGTATCTGGACTTCTCCTTTTCAGTCCACAGCCTGAATTTTTTTTCTGTTAGGATCGTATAGCCCTTGAATATCCGTTTTCAATCCCGATACGATCATTTGCAGTTATCGAAGATTTTTTTGTTTCCTTAGTGTTAATTTTAAAAAAGTCAAAAAATTCTTGTATTGAAAAATCGACGGCATTTTTGGGACTGCTCATGAGAAGGCTAATGTTTTTAGGTTTTCTTATACCTCAATGTATCCCTAATAACTCTGCATCCTGCATGACGGCAAGTCGATTCATTGTACGGTTTCTGGTCAAAATTTGAAAGAAATCAAAGGAGCAGAGTTATTGTGTCAAAACATTCTGTAATTTGGTTGAAAATGGAAAAATCATTTTTTTTTCTTTTGTTGTCACTATAGGATAGCTGAAACACCTTCAATTTTAAAAAAGCAATTGGGAAATTATTATGCTTTTATTCATTGAAGATTCAAAAAAACAAAAACTGACAAGATCTAGGAAATATATTTTGAGGGGGGAGGTCTCAAAGGCGAATTTAGGAATTTGTCGGACCAGAGAAACCGTACAATGGATCGAGCTGCCGTCAGGCAGGGATATTAGGGATACATTGAAGTATAAAAACACATGAAACCATTAGATTTCTCATTAGCAGTCCCAAAAAAATCAGTCGATTTTTCAAAAAAAAAAGAAAGAGTTACTTTTCTGATTTTCTGCAAACCATCACTAAGGAAACAAAAAAGTATTTTCCTCGAAGATCAACTCTAGGAGATTTATTACAGTTTTCGGAAATATCCTTACATTGTCTGTGCGGCTACCGAGATTGGTCGTTGAGTAGGTAGTGGTCGTTGAGAAAAGAATCATTTTTCATTTAAAGTCAAATACTTAATTTGAAGACCTATCTGCTCTAACAGAAAAAAATGTTTTCAAGCCCGTGGACTAAAAAGAAGAAGGCAAAGTTCTGCAAAAAATTTCCCTTGCGCTATCAGAACCTTTGCTCCTAAAATCTTTCGGCTGAAAAACCTGAGAACTAAAATCTTGAAGCTTGAAAATGTTTTTTTAAATCTAGATACGATCATGTTTCACCAAACTACAGCTTGACAAAGATTACAGAAATGTTTTTTCTTGCTCACTTAATTTTTTCAGTAGTGTAGTATAAAGCCCAGTTTTTTTATATTTACTTGATGATATGAAAAATGTCGTCATCTCCTAATACTAAGTTAAAGAACTCTAAAGTAACACTTTTGTATCATTTGTCCAACGCTGTTTATGCCTGCAATCATACACCCAAAGAGAGCATAATTGAATACTAATCTACCTTCCTTTTTTAGCTAATCTTAACTGGAATTTGTGTAATGAGCTTAGCGAGAAGAAAGAACAGATACAGTTATTTGGTAAGTATTTCAAATTGCCTTTTAAGATATTGTTGTATAAAGAGAAAATAAATCCTTACACATCCTGACAGCTACATAGAAAACGTTTGGTGATAAATTAGGCTGACCTGATATTTTAATGGGCTTAGAAATAATTAAATTCGAAGGAAGGCCTCCAATACTAATATGATAATTATTTAAGTCTTCAAGGTCATTATTTGTGTATACTCAGATAATGTCCAGTTTACGCCTGCAATAATTCATAGACGTGAGTAGTAAACATTTTACGACATATTTCAACAGAAGATACCCAATCCAAATGAAAGCCGTGAAGGGGCGAATCTAAAAAATATTTTTGGGGGGTTCATATTATGAATCATGATTTTTAAATAACTCGCTCAAAAAACTGTTGGAATGGAGCAAATCCATGTTCTAGAAGATGCCCGTCTCGGGGAGAGGGTAATCATGATTGAAAATTTAAGAGCGGAGGGATCGTCTGTAAATTGAAAGACGTTCGACATTTTCTTGACTTATGACGCATGTCAGAAATAAGCTTTAGTTTGTTTTCTCCGCCCAAAGAATGATTTTATTTTGAACGTATACAATTCTGAATCGCGAATGGCTTAGAAGCGATTCCGGATCGGTCTTAACGGGGTTCATCTGACCTTAAGTGGAACTGAAACTTTAGGATTGCCACAAACTCTGCAACATCGGGTCATTGGTTTGTCAACACCACATCTCGGTACATTCCAACGCAAGATTTCCACCTCCATAGATTCCTGATAGTCCAGCGCTATTAGGGTTTTTTAACAAGTAATCAGTTGAACACCGTACCCTTATTATGCAACTTAAAAAATGACATTATATGAATGTTTATGACGTTATGTAGGTTTTTCTTTGAAATTACGTACGATTTCCAAAAAAATTTCAATTTGGAACTAGCTGTAATTTACTTCATGTTCACTTGTAGTAGCTGTGCGTGTTACTAAAATTTGAATTTGAATCCGTGCCACCGTGCGAACCCAAGGTTCTCTTGGCCTTTTCCATACAAATTCCCATACAATAGAATTTTAAATAAAAAGGAAACTGGTTAATACCTCATACACAACTTGTTTGATTACATTTCAACATTAACGCAGCCTTATTGGAAAACCCTCTACTTAGGCAGGCATGAATGAAAAAATTAAATAGAGCTTTTGTTGTAATGTAGTTAACGAGAGTAATTTATATACAGGTGTTCAAATAATTACAGGTATATTTAAGTTAAAAAAAAACGCTAATAGAACTGGTCTATCATGATTCTATGGAGGTGCGTTGAAGTGTACTGAGATGCGTTGTTGCCAAGCCAATGACTCAATGTTGGAGAATTTGTAGCGATCCTAAAGGTTCAGTTCCACCTAAGATTGGAGATCCGCTAAGACTGATCCGAAATGGATCCTAAACTTATTCGACACAGTGTTTGGTACAAAAATTACAATATTAGTTATATATCAATGATGACGAGATATTGTACACGAAGGCACTTATCTAGGTTATCACTCATGAAGTTACTATATGGCCATGTTGAGGTATGATTTGATTTATTACTTCTGAAGTATTTTTTATTTCATTTTTACAAGATTTTTTCATTCTTTATCCTCTAGGATTAAATTAGGTATAAATTAGCATCCTAAAATTCAAACCTTTAATCTAGTATAAATTCCTTTATTAAATACATTAATCCTTTCAAGGTTAAGTGTAACTTGGGGTCCATCATGAATTAATAGAATATAATTATAGATACGCTTTGCAAGGTTTAATTTTAGCAGTTTTACTAGGATTCCACTTTACTCTAGCACAAACTTATGAATATCATAAAGCTTCTTTTACTATATCGGATTCAATTTCATGGATCTCTTTTGGTCTTTATACATTATTTGATCTACATTTTTACTAATATGCTTAATTCGTCATTATCTTAATCATTTTTCTATTCATCATTTTGGGTTTGAACTTGTTGCTTGACCGACACTTTGTTGACGTAGTGTGATTATTTTTATATCTATTCATGAGAAAACGGTGCAACGTTTGGCAACGCAGCAAGTTGCCTATAGGGCCGCACTTTTTCAATCATAAGTGTCTCTCTTTTTCTCTCTCTTGTACACATTGAACACGTCGCCCAAATAGATAAATGAATTCCACTGTATGTGTCAATACGGTCTTCAGGATTGCTTTTCCTGTCGTTGAAAAATTCTGAATATACGAAATATTGTGAATAATAAAGGGAAAAGTTGAGGGGTGATCTTTCGAAAAATGAAGTAATATGGGAATGTCCAAATCCATCATAGTGTTAGACATCTTATAAAATTCGTTAATGAAGGAGTTGGCACCCCAGCTAGGGCTCTATTTACATTTGCAAATACTGTTTAACTGACGCTGGAATTATTGAGGTGAAATTACATAAAATTACTTGTGAGAGTTCCAACCTCCGTTAGGATCTAGGTCAAACCAATGAAATAGTACAGTATATAATACTTTGCGGAGGGCGGATTTTAAATTGAATTTAATTATCTGTTTCAGATAAAGGTGTGCGGTATATGTTGCCTAGTGTGTGCCTTAACATGTGTTCTAGTGACCATTACAACGACGGTGATCCACATGAACCGATTGCAAACGTTACGTGAATGCGTCTATACTCAAAAAACAAGGACGTGTACCTGTTACTCTGTGTTACTAGAGGCTCATGCTACCACAGACGATGGTGAGTACCTACCCTTTGACGAAAGGTCTCCTGAAAAATTTGGATCACCTTGGGAAGAACCGATGATCAAACAGTTTTGAAATAAATAATCGAGCGTACATTCATCAGGTATGGCTCAAATGTACGAGTGGCACTAGAAAAGAAGTCTACCTAGATATAACAATTATATATCAAATAGCGGCACGCGTTCTAACCTTATCTGCTAATTTTGAGTCAGTTTTGATGATTAGTTTCCAATTAATAAAGTGGATTTTAAGGAAAAGTGAGGAAAAAATTAGAATATTGCAGCGTCATAAAATTTCTGACAAAAGAGAGCCATCAGCCGAAAACAATTCTTGAGAATGGTTGCCGTTTGGAGATGATTACACAATAAAATTTTGGTTGAAGATAGTCGTGTAGGGGTCTCTACCATTAGTATGACATTGAATGTATCGAAACAATGCGTAGTAAACGTAGTGCACGACAATTTGAAAACATGAGTAAGATGTTAGGCTGTTGACACCTGATCAAAAATTGCGCAGACTGGAAATTTGAAAAAGTCATTTGGAAACATTCACCAACGATTCTGACACTTTGGCACAAATTATGACGGGCGACGAGACTTGGGTACATCATTGCCACCTTTTTTGTGGATCTGTGTAATTTTTGTATCTTCTCCTTATTCTGCCTCGAGTTTACAAATATTTTCATTTATATCTATATCTTGCAATGACCATTTTTTCAGCAATGCGGTTCGTATTTGATTCAACGCCAGATTGTGAAGTGATTCATGGTGCGCTGTATTCTTGCCTAAGAGCCATGTTTGGATTGTCTGTGAGCGGTATACTAGTCTGTATATTTTCCTGTATGCTAGTCTACCAATTGTTAAGGTAAGTTTTTCATCTCACTATAATAAGTGTTGAAGAAAAGAGCAAGCTTAGTTAACTAACGGCAATGCTAATAATGGTAAATTCATGACAACTTAGTTTAAATTTACGGCAAAACAATAGATTTCTATTGTGTTTTAAAAGTCCACAGACCATATTGGTTCTATCTTAATGTACTCTCACATTACGTTCCAGGAATGTTTGCATGAATCTACCATAAGTGTAACAAGTAGGTACATGATAATTTAGTAGGCATTTCTTGAACTCTCAACATGTTTTTGATGATACCTCCAATATTAACCCTTCCAGAAATGATCAGGTATCTAAAGCTTTTTGAGTCATTCCCACATATAATGATTTCACAATTCTATGTAATCTGTATTTAACTCCAAGGAGCTCTCAGACTGAGTGACCAGAAAAAAAATAGCTTTACAAACATATTATGTTAAATATTCAATACTACAAAGGCGCAATTCTATTTGCCAACATCCTTGCTGAAGAAGAATTATTTAAAATAACATTATGGTCTTTATTATATCCCGTAGACTTTACCTTTAACCTGCCATACAAAAAGACCACTGTACTTATTTTTGAACAGGTGAAATTGGGGGTGCTAAAATTAATGAGCGCCTGCAGGGGGGGGGAGTGGCGGCCCACCCTGGAAATTCAGATTAACCTTACAAGTCTGCATGTTTAGCATGATTTTGTGAATAATTTTGGGGGTTTTTTAAGATTCATTAATTTTGTATTTCTCTCATTAAGCTCCTTCATTTGATACCCATATCAAAGCGGTGACCATGGAAATTATAAATCGTCATTTGGATTTATATTATCCCTTATCAAGCCTTTTCATTTGATACTCATAGTATAGGGGTGGCTATGGTTATTATAAAATCCATTTTAGGGCGGTCGCCATATTGGATTCAGAATGAGGCCACTTTGCTTATTATGTTTCTCTCTTCAAACTCTTTTAGTTGCTACCAACATCATAGAGGTGGCAGTGAAAAATGTAAATCGCCATCTTGCGACTGCCGCCATATTAGATTTAGAATAACGCAAAACAAACGTGTGTACCAAATTTCAGCTCTATTGGCTAAGGTTAACTGGTTTAAAATTCAGTTCTCAGATTTGTCCCACACGACATAGATACAAGCAGGTCAAGTTGAATAAAAGCTTGTAAAATACTGTTTTAGGGCCTATAAATGAGCTATTGTACGACGTACTATTCTATTTAACAAAATGTTACAAGATGGCGATCAGCCGCCATCTTGAGATTTTCAACTGCAACTTTTGCGTCAAAATATGCATCAATTCCATTACTCCAAAGTTCAGCTCACTAACTTGACGCGTTCAAGAAATACCTTTTTCAAAAGCACTGTATCTATGCTTTCAGTCATGAGAAGAAAAAGATGTACTGGGAACAGCTGGAGCTCCGGTGCCGTTCCTTCTATCAACAGCAACAGCAGCAGTCTAGTAATTCAAGTCAACATGGATCAGTCAGGGGTCCTCCCATACCACCTGCTGCATACTGCAGTTGCTGCGAAGAATGCAGATATCCTCCCGTTCCTATAGGACCGCAAGTTTATCCTTGGGATACACATCATGCTACTGACAGGTGACTGGAAAATTTTAACAGACGTCTTGTAGTAAAAGAGCATTCACAACTTTGATCGATTCTTATAAGCTTTACTAGTTCAATAGAATTATACATCAACATCGGTCTGGAATTATTGCATAAAACCTGTAAATCAGATCCTTCTGATATGGATACCAGAACACACAGGTCTGGAGGAAGAGTCATGTTTACGCAATGAAGATATTTCCCATATTTTCAAGATGTTTAACTTTTCCCATCCGCGCTTAGCCCATGGCTCTCTGTGAGCGCTTTCCCATAGGATCTCCGTCCCTACCACTGTCATACAATTTTTCAGAGTATGCACATTTCCAGTATTTTCCTCTTCTCATTGCTAAGACCTCTATCGGTCGGTACTTATTAGCTATATTTGCAAAAACAGCTGAAATGTCGAATCATTTTGAATTATGTAAAGATGTTGAAGATACCTTGATGCTACGAGTTTTGAGCTGACAAAAAATAATTTGGAAAAGCCTATTTTGTTCGATTAGTCTACATTTTCGATTTCTATAGAAAAAAGTCAACATAGAAATAACTTTATTGTCTTTATCGTATTAACAGATTCTGGGCTCCAGGGCGGATAGGCAACTTTTATTCGCCCAATCCCGAAGATGGACCGCCTCCCAATCCAGAAGGTCACAACAGAGCCCGTTTAAGCGGATGGAGCTGGAGAAGACTGCCGTGGAGTAGAACAAGTGTAGCACAAAATGATAACCAAAGGTATATACACTGTTGTTTTATATTTTTTGTACAGCAACTTGATGTTACCAGCCCGACACTTCAAAGACGAACACACTACGCTATGTAAACAAGTGAATGATTTCAAAAATTGAAGAGTGGATCAAGATTACGCGTTTTGGATTCAAGCGATTTATCTTATATTCTACTTAATTCATTTTCCATAGACAGACGATTGTCAATGCAATAAATCCTAACACTAAAAAATAAATGTGATTAATGAAGTTTCCTGAAAAAACTACAAAAACTCTGACAGACTATAAAAACAGTTCTCCAACAGATAACTTTTGAGCTCTTTCTTAAGAGATTTCTTATTGGTGTTTACTTTTATACAACCCGGTAGATGATTGAAAATTTTTTGTCCCATTGCAGTGGGAAAACTTGCAATTGGATTTTCATCCTCAACAGGTGTTTTTCAACCACTGACGCCAATAATTCATAACTGTTTGAACAGCGTCGTTTAATAAATCCCTCAAGAATATAATTCCGTTATAAAACAACTTATTACAATTTTTTATCTCTAGATATCCTGATACTTCTCAACTTACTGGCAGTTATGTTTGTTGCAGGGATAATTCGCTGACATATGCCAGCGGCATGACAAGCAGCAGTGCGGACAGCCAATACGGCTTTAGCAGTCGTGGAGGGGGCGGAACAAACGGTCCTGGGGGCGGTGAAGGAGGTGGTCTTCATCGCTCAGACAATGCTGGAGGCGGAGCATCATCGGGTTCGTACAGCGTGCTAGATAACAGGCCTCCTCCACCTGGACCACCAGTTGTGGGCGGAGTTTATGTCTGGGGACCGCCTCCGCCATATTCAAACCCCAATTCGCCGGCAAGGAGGATCCTGCATTCTCCAGGAAGGTAAGTGGGCATAGTACTTTTATTCATAAAGGAAGCAGCATTAAAAACCTCAGCTGACGTTACAAGAAAGAGAACTCTATCATAGGCCGCATTCTGGGCAGGTTGATGGACATACAAACAAGGGTGGATCCAGTATTTGTCTCAGGGAGGGGTGACAGGATTCATGTTCAGGAAGATAATAGTCTCGGTAGAGGGGCGATTGAAACTTAAAGAACGGAAGGGGGTTGCAGTGGCCTCAACCGTGTACTCATACGGTGTATCCTAAATTTAAACAAAAAATCTAATTCAAAAGGAAAATTTTTATTACTATTGTTGCGAATGTAAGCGAAACTTTGTGTACTTTTCATTGAATCATCGTAGGTGTTGCAATTTTAGACGGAAGAGTGTAGTTTCTAAGCTTGCATTCGAAATGGCTCAACTTTCAGTTCTTTTGTATGACGTCTGGTAATCCCTGTTCACAGGTACCATCATATCCACCACCACAGCCATGGACACGAATCTCACTGCCAGATGAACGATGCTAATCAACAGCAGCAGCAGCAACAGTTCCGGAATTCTCGTAGACTTCGGCCTCCACCAAAAGACAATTACGAAAATACAACGGAACCAGAGGTAGGCACAATTTGTTTACGATGCTGGATTCTTTGTCGAGGCAAATCTCACTACACTTTAGACAAAAGATTGAGTTTCAACAGCATTTTGGAGAATAGCAGGAATCACAAACAATAAACATGCTACTGTTCCCCCTCGTTACTCATCACCGCACCAAGGGAGAGTTTTCAGCAGTTCTTCACAAGTAGCTAAATAATAATAACAAGTTCAGGCAGATTTCTGACTCCTTAGACTAAGAATTTACAAGAAATAAGCAAACATAGTAGACTTAGTTTACAATGAACTGAATAGCAATCCGTTTGTTGGTGTTCCTTTAGCAGACCTATCAAAGGACAACGTTGCCAGATGGATCGGACAGAATTTTCTCAGCACAAGCACAAATTGCTACTTTTCCAAAAAAAATCCGTCAAATCACAGTTAATTAATAGAAAGGGGAAGATTTGGTTCAAAGAGCGGGAAAATGATTTTTATTCGCGAAACGTGTAATATCTCCCAGAAAATGTATCCTCAAAAAATTACTCAAATAAAAATCTCCCAAACATAGCAACCCTGTCAAAGCACCACTGGTATTCCAGCCGACAAGTTTCCGAGTCTTTTTTACGGCACGAACAGCATTGCCGTCGTTTCTCCTGGTATATGGACTTGATGTTGTCTACGTTCCTCTTTGTATTTAGCAGCTAGGTTAGGTGACCTCACGTATTATATCGTGAAACGGTATTGGACGATGCACAACTAAAATACCATATAATAATTTGACTTGAAGGAGCTCCAACTATAAAGGACAAATCTAAATATTTCTAAGATCTTCAATTATAAAAGTTTAATTGTTACAAACAAAAATATAGTCAAGTGCAATAAAATAATGTTTAGGTCCACCAATCTAACGAACATAGTTCGGACACCTCGAGTTGCGCTGATAGAGGAGTGCACACGTTACCCGCCCGCAAGGCGAAGAAAAGAAGCCAGGGCACTCAGGAAGGGGCGACAAATAGGGTGGGAGGTGGTTTCCAGGGAGAAGAGGGAGGTAACAAGACAAACACGGGTGAATCGGACCACGACTATCACGAACCTGATGTTACGACATCAGAGGGAAAAGGACCAAGTGGAGATGGACAGAAATGCAGGTACGTGTCATATGTTCACTAATATTTTTAACTATTAAAAAAGCTGAATTCTGAAAATCTCTTCTAGATGACATAAGAAAACGTGTTAAAGATGTTTGTTTTATGGCGTGTCGGCATTTCCGTAAATGGTAGCACTAAAGTTATATTAAAAACGAATTATTAGTGCATAAAATGGACGTCTTTAAGACCTTCTGTGCTATCTGGGAATATTATACACAGTGAAACTCATTTACGTTATGCCTTAATAGTATATTTATATCGTTGGTATAGGTACAGCGGAATAGAAAATCTGAAATACAACATATAAGTTAGTTCTCTCTTTTATTGTGCAGATTTCTTCCCCGCCTGCAGGGTGTGGAAAATGCAGCCTTCCAAAAACAAGAAACCAGTCCTCAGAAACCCGAAGCTACAGAATCCGAAGTATATTTCGCAGATGTGAGTAGCTGTTGTAACATATCTGTCAGAAATGATGGGCAGGATTCATCTCTATACGATGAAGCTGTAATGGATACACAACAAAAACCCAGGCTTATGTCCTTGCAAAAGACTGATGTGAAAGAAGTTAATGCTACAAAATTGCTACAAAACTTCCAGGTGAGATAGTTACTGAAAGAGTGCATGGTGTAGCTCAACCCCTAAAAAATACTCTTATGTAAGAAATAAGAGTACGTTTGGTGAAGTCTGATTAGCGATGTAACGAATATCAGTGACGAGAAGTTCCTTAATTATTGATTTCTGCAAATTCAAATGATGTATTGTAAGCGCACGCATTTTTTATGCAGCAAGATTTACCGAATCCTCTACTCTAAAATTCGTTTTGTAAAAACTACATCCTACAACAAACCTTGAACATTTTTGCAGTATTGTAATCGCGAAAAATTTCGAAAATGAGATATAATATGTTGCTCATTTCCGTCTGTCTGTCGGTCTGTCTGTCCGCTACTCCTTGGCCCGTCTATAACTTGAGAAGTGTAATGCTCGGATATTAATAAAATTTTCACGCAAGGTTGTTTCTATGCCAAGGACGAAAAAGCTACTATTTGAAAATTGGTCCAGTGACGACGGAGAACATAGCCCAAAACGAAAAAAAAAAAATCGAACAAACTTCTTTTTTCAAATGGTTCTGATCATTTTCAGAAAAAAAATAGTAGGGGTTAAAATCCGGGAGTCGGGGATTGAAGGCAGTGGAGGAGAATATATGATTTTTTTTTATCTTAGTATAGGTATTTATACTTTTCCAACCCCGGTAATGCTATGCACCTATTAACCATATTTCACACATTATACATTCGCCTTTAAAACTCAGAGTGATAGAAAAACGTGTTCGATCCGCGTACCACTTAGGAAATGAACGATAGCTCGTTGCAGCGATGCTGCGCAGATGTGGAAAGGGAGAACGTTGCCAGATGCACAGTAACGACCGGAAGGGTAGGGAAAGAAGGAAATTACTATGTCAATTTACCCTACTTATTATTATATTACTACTTGTTTACAGTACGTGTTCCAGCAATAATATATGTATATATATATGTTGATGTCATTGTTTCAGGAGAACATTTCCTCGTCTACGGTGACGGAAGATGAAGATTACCTCGCTGTTCGGCTTGGATCCAGACAGATGTCCACAAGATCTCGACTTCCCTTCCCTGCTCAACAAGAGGATGCGACTGCGCAGCTTTTGCCCAAGGACGTCTCGCAGAACAGTCTGTGCAGCAGCGTCCAGACTCCTCTCACAGAAACTACTGATGATGCAGCCTCACCTGACGATTGCTGCGGATACTTCCAAGACACTCCAGCGGACCAACCGCAACCACCTCAACCGAAGCCAAGGACTTTTGCTGGAGCGTTGGAGCATTATTTAGCGCCCGACGCGCAATACGAAGTAAGCTATCTTACATGTACAAGGAACAACGTCAGAGCTAAGGGGAACACCCGCGTTGACATTGTGAGATGAAGGGGAGAACCCGTCAACTACGACGGGTATCTTGCTGCCAGAGAGGAATTCAGCCACCCATCTGCAAAGCTTTTCTTGAAGGCCGTAGGATGGAAGTTTGCATAAGATTCTCATCATATGACTGGATGAGTTTACTCCACGGTTGCGTGACGAAAGCTAGGAGGTCCCCTGTGGATCTCTGGTGGCGGAAACCATACTGCAGCTCCTGATTCCCTTCATCACCTTACTTATAACAGAAAGCAGAGCTATGTGCCTGTAGTTGAAAAAGTCGGTCAAGCTCGGATTCACATCTCTTCAGTACAACGGCAGGATTCAAGTCCTTATACCTGAAGGTTACCTCCCGTATAGCTTTCAATCGGCAGCACTCATGTGTGTGTCTATTTGAGGAAATTGGCATTCACAAATAGACTTGCGCAAGTTTACATGATCGTGAAAACAGGTCATAACATATCATAATTATTTACAGGTCATACCTGAACAAGAGCACTACCGCCATCACCAACCAACCAGCAACCTAACCAACACGATATCTGGCATGAACTACGATCAGAACTACTACAATCAGTCGAAGGCCAGCAATTTTGGATACTGCCCTTCATCAAGCGGGCCCAAGAACACGCCACCCAAGACGCTCAATCTGGTTCAGCAGACCACGCCTGCTCGGCAACGAAACATTGGTTCCAACATATCGACGCTGATACAGAACCTGGGAGGAAATGCTGCTGGACTATTATATGGGGATGCCAATATTGAAGATGAGGCACGATAGTTCTAATAACCTTAATATACACCTCTTGATTTTCCTACCACATTGAGAAAACGTGGACAATTGAACAGTTTTTCTGGAGAATTTGTATTACACGTAATGAATCTTTCAATTATTCTATGTAATTAAATTATTCGGTTTAATCAAACTTTCTGAAACTAGGTTAAATGTATGTAATATCCTATTGAACTAGTTTCCTTGAAGATGTCTAATTAGTTTACGTAATTTAGTTTATATAGGAAAGAAGCATCGAGAGCAATTACACATTTTAATAAAAACAGTTGAACTGCTTAATTAAATCGCGTAATCGGCATGAACTGGCCCTACAATCGTGAATGACCGCAGAATCCGTCGTCCACCTGTTTCGTTAACCAACAGAAGACTGACGAACGTTGAACGATGACAACATCGTTGACAATTGACAGACGGTGGCGCCTTCTGCTTGCGGGGAGATCTGGAGAAACTATCGTTTTGAACTAAAGAATTTTATATTTATGTCCACATATCTTTGCAGGTACAAGGACAAGGATGCCACAGCGATGGTACAATGGACTCTGGTTGGCAAAGTGGGTCAGAGAAGACAGAAGTAAGGAAGCAAGATAGTACTGAATCTCATACTCCAGTGAATGTGTGATCTTTTAATGTGTATTAAAATATAACACTTTATCTCAATCTGCATGCATCGTGTCCTTAGACATATGAATAATCAAAAAGTCTAGGCGTTTAAAAGATTTTTGACACAGCCAACTAGGTTATTGTTATTCTCTAAGATCCTAATTAGGACCGACCTTCACCCATCTGTTTAATGGATGAAAAGTATTTTATATCAAAGTTAGTATGTAAGAAAATATGGTGCGAGTGGGTTGGCTAAAAAATTCCTCCCGAGACTGTGATTAATTAAAAATTGAAAAATCACTTCTAATTAAAAGATGCACTAAAAGTTTAACAAATAATTTTAATACCAACCGAAAGAATGAAGCCTATAGAACATGAAAATTAATCAAATCCGCTCAAATAACTGGTATCAACATATTTGTTTATACCTACCAACCCCATAGTTGAGCCAGGAAAAAAATAGACATCCTAACATTTGCATATTCTATAGACTTTATACTTTGGGTTGGTATTAAATTTAATCGTTAAATTTCTTAGTGCAAATTTAATAAAAAATCATTGTTTTTTTTAAATACTAACGATGTAAAATTCCTTTCATCCATTAAACGGACTCAAAAAATCGTCATAATTTTATGAAAATGCTGTCAAGATGCTATGCATGCAACACGATTTGAGATTATACTGAAATATAAATGGTACGTTACCTTTTATTCCAAGATGTTCCAATTGCTACAACGTTTTGACTAAACGGTCAAAATTCTTTTAGTTCAATGTTTGTCGAACATTTTTTTCATGTCAAATACTTACATCCTTTTTTGGACGATTTTATAAACCCTTAAACATTTGTTTTGTTTTTGTTCCCTTATTTGCTTATAGGCAGTTGCAAGTGTCACTTGACAGTTCTAATCGAAATCGAGATTTTTATTTCGCATCTGCCGGTAGAATATACAGTGTCCAGTTTGCTAATAATGGTTAGACATTATTTTTGAGCTTTGATAACTAATCCATAAAGACCCTATAGCCTTCCTATTACTCAATTAACCAAATCTACGGAACATTCGAATATTTGAATCAACTATAATTAATAAATTATACTTTTATAGACGTTTTGCAAGCTCAGAAGGTTCACTTTATATTTCAGTATAACGCGATATATTTTTATATACACATATGTAATCTCTGTACATATTAATTTAAGTTATACTAGACTGGATGTGGAATGCTTTAAAGTGACGCGAGGACTACAGTTATAGTGTGTTGTTCGCTAATAGAACAAAATCGTGATCGTAATATTATTAAATTTTAGACTATATTATTATGAAAGTATGTAACAGAAAAAGGATATTTATATACCTACTTTGAACGTTGAATCCAAAAATTTTGTATTCTTGTTAGTATGTTTTTTTTTAATAAAATTATTAAGTTATAGGCTTGTTTCATTCAAAGATAGAATGCAGTGCCTAACCAAGTAGTAGTACTCATGGACGCCCGAAGGAATGTTTCTCAGGGGGGGGCGATCATAGGGAGGAGATAATCTTCTGAGAAATAGTGTCTGCCCCAAAACTGAATGAAGAACTTTGTGAGCCGGTGGTAGCAAATTTTCTCCAGGATAACCAAATTTTAATAATCCCAAAAAAGATTCAGAAAATCATGCTAAGTACGCAGATTTCATGGTACAACCGGAAACTCAGGGTGTGAGCGGCCGCGGCTCCCTGGCACGCCACTGCGGGTGGGCTTGTCTTTGACGGCATTTTGATTTTCAAATTTAAGTTGGGTGTTCCAAAGCCAGTTTATTATTTTTTGTTTCTTTGCGATCACAATACTTTCCTTGCTTACGCGTGGCAATATTTTTAACATCCTAACAAAAATATTTTGAATTCCGAAAGTTAAGAAGAGTACAAAAAATAAAGATACTCGAAAAAGTACTTTATTTCTCATCCTCTCAAATTGTATTGGGTCCTTTCCAAAAATCCACTGATCTTCACTATCGCTCCAAAGCACATTGCTCCCCAAATTTTAACAAAATTGCTCGCGGCCACAAAGTTATCCAAAATCAATCTCGCGGTTCTTTTTAATGTAAGTATTACAAAACAAAACATAAATAATTTTACATCGTAATTCATTTAAATTAACAATTATAACTTCAAGAAAAAAATATTACTGTTGCTAGAATTTTCTTACGTTAGAGGAATAATTGTAATAAATTCGTCATGTCTTTATTTTGTTTTTAATTCAGCCGCCTTATTTTATTTGATTCCTACCAAATCTCCAAAATAGTTCACAAAAGCATGCTAAGTATACAAATTCTAACGTGAAATCGGATTCACAGTGGGGGGCTCGGACTTCCCTGCGGGCGCCCACGGTCTATGTCGATGCTTTTGTACTTGACTGTTTTTATATCTAACGTACACATATCTTTTTTATGAATTTGATGATCCTTAAATATGCTCACTTTGCCTAACCTTTAATTTGTGTTACTCCTTATATTATGGTCCTCTGAATATAAGTAGGTGCTTACATACAGCGTGACAGAAGTCCCTGTATTTTCTCGGGTAAAGTATTTTTGGAAAAGATCAAGGTCAGGTATTCAGTAACTTTCAGCAAGGAATTCAACGGTGACCTTCAATTTGACCACCATTAACTAATCTATGGTCAACTTGATTTTTTCAAATAGGAACGATTATTTTTGAAGCAATCAAAACAACAGAAAATTTTACGTTCAAACACAATTAAAGTCCAATATCAGGATGACTACTAAAGGTCAAATGGATGCTAGGAAAGCCTCTATAAATCTCACAGAATTCGTGAGGAAAATAATTATCATGGTCAGATCTGTAGTCAATTTTAACGAGCAATCTTGGATTTGACCTTGATCTTCACCTTGATGCTTTTGTGCATTCATAATTTGGGATGAAAAAATGGTAAGAAGCCAGTTACCCTAGCACGAACTTTCAATTTGAAATCTAGGTGATTTGCGACGTCTAGGGTGCTAAAAATTTTTATCGATAGCTACAGGCGATACTGTACATTAACGTAATTTGTGAAAAAAATATTGTCATGGTGCCGAGTTCGAGGTGAAAAATTGGCGAAAAACCGGTTCCGAATCCAAGCATTAAACTGAGATCGAATTTGACATCTACGTACCCGATGTACCTAGAAAACAAGCCCATCTAGATTTTAGACGCGCAAAAATTTTTGGAGATATTTTATTAGAGTGCTAAAAATTAATTTTCTGGATGCTAAGGATGCTTTGTGCGTACAGCTAATTTGGGACCCTAAATTTGAATATCATTGTGAAAAAAAATCTTAGTGTGTCATGGTGCCGATTTAGGGATAAAAAATTGCATAAAATCAGTTTCTCGCCAATCCTAGCACTAAATTGACATCGAATGGCCTTTTTTAACCTAATACCCCTATACATAACTACCAAAAAACCTTATTATTATAATTTGATATTATAATATTAATGTACTTCCAACCCCGGTAAGTCTACGCACCTATTGAACATATTTCAATCATCATAGATTACCCCATACACTTATTCTTAACAGAATGATCGAGAAATACGAGTATTTCCGACCATCGCGTGTGGATCGTACGCTTCGCGGTCTTGTCGACGCATGTGTGTAGCAGTCGGCCTCCGCTGGTCGCCTGGTTGTGAACCGTGGATCGTCTTCCACGCCAGAATATAATAATTATTATTATTGTTATTTACCCAAGCTATAAATAAAACAATGAGTAAATAAATGTAAAGCAACGGATCCAAGAAAGGCATTATCTGTGCCTGAACCAGTAATTTTATGTTGCAACTGCATAATAGAAACCATAAATGTGTAGAAAAATATAGATTTCGGTTTTAAATTTAATTTAAAATGATTGTCACTAATTTATGAATGTCAATTTCTGTCATAGAATATAGCCATTTTTTTAATCTTTTCTAAAAATAATTTCCGATGCATAAATCTTTCATAATGCTCGGTAAAATTTCATAAAATTTTGGTGCTAATAAAGATACAACCGCTGCATGATAGATGTATGTGGTTTTGGAATTAGGGTTCCACGCACTTTATATCTTCTAAAACGATTATGGCTAATTTTTTTATTGGTATTGCTGAATTTATGATGCTGGGTGTTAGTTTGTAAGAAATAAAGTTGCCTGATGGCATATACCTGCACGTCTGAATACAGTACATTAGTAGGATAAAGTCTGGGTATATTGAATATACTTTGAAATATTGAAAAAAAATCTAAATTATATGTATGGATTCAACATGCAGCCCACCCATGCTAATATACCATAGCTTAGATGTGGTTCAATCAGTGTATGCTATGTAGGTACACATACTTTCGATCATGTGCGCGTGCAGGATTTTTTTTCATGGAAAGGGGATGGCCGTTCATCGGAAGGACATAACTTTATGTGAAAGCGTACCAGCCTCCAAAACTTTTTGAAGAGCGATAGGTAGCATATTTTCTCAGGGAACCGAATCCTAAATAGTAAAGAGTGCAAAGTTTATCTACTTGACGTCACTTTTTTCAATGATTCCAAATTGTAATGACAACTATGTGTATCTTTCGGTCAATTTTCTTTTTCGAATCACCTAAGGAATCACCACTTGAGGTTTGAGAGGCACTTTATCAACAGCAGATTCTAATTCATTATTCTGGCCAATAATATAATCAGAACCATAAACTGATGCTTTACCAAAGTTAAACTTTTAGATTTTCGGTCTGTACGTACCAACAGATGAACTTTTAGACATGTTGTTCATAAATATTTTTGATCACCACCGGCATGTTAAAAAATATTTTATTTTCGTATAATTTTGGATCTTGTTTGATTAACATCAACTATGATAGAAAAAAGTGCGCGGGAAGGGTGCGAATGTTTTATAATTATTATAATATGGAGCATACAAGTGCGAACTTAATCACGAAAGCTGTGATTCAGTCTTACAAACCACAGTCAAATTATCTATAGAATTATCACACAGGAAATGTGACATATTTTCGACTTGCTTAGAGAAGATCGTGATAATCATGCAGCAGTGTTTTAATTATTTTTTATTCAGTCTGTGCGCATTATGGAATTGATAATGATGTAAGTCCTTCATGCATTCCCTTTTTTTACCATAACCGTTAGATCGGCAACAAATAAACTATAATCGATGTCATCTCTTCACAAAGAATGGTCCAAAACAATGTTCTGTCCTGCCAATAATGGAATATATTCCACGCATTGGGCAAAAGAGACTTTCCTTTTACTTCGATATCTTTCCCTAATGTTTAGCTTTTTCAGAAAACTACAATACGTGATTTATTTAGGTGGATAATGACACATTATCGTATAGAGGAAGTTACAAGAACCTGAAATGAATCAAGTAAATATACAACAAATCTCCCAAAAAATCATCAAAATGTTTTTTTTTCTAATCTAAAACATTTCCATTAGTCGAACAGCATGTTGAAATATTTACTACTGTTTTACCTGCAATTTTCATTTCGACTGGTTGGAGTCCAAGTCACTGAGAACTTGATCTGATTCGAGCACATTTCGTCAATTGTCGCAGCTGCTGGAAAAAAAGGCTATTTGCTTGGGGCTAAAAGTACTTTTCTCCACATAACATCCTCACTCTATACAAAGCCCAGATAAGACCTAGCCTCGAGTACTGCTCACATGTTTGAAGAGCTCTCCTCTATAATGCCGCTGCGCGATAAGCCTGCCATACAAACCCGCCTGACTTCGGCGTCCCATCTTAACCGTATGAACTTCGTACATCTAGAACTGAAGGGTATGACTGTTCCTTTGACCTTAGGTCGTCGAGATTGTGGAACAATCTACCTGATGAAGCTTTTCCCAGTTCTCCTAGATTATAGTAGTAATCGAGTACTTGATCTGACACACTTCCCGTCAATAGCGGCAGATGCTGGGAAAAATGCTATGCTATTTGTTTAGAGCTAAGAATTACGTTTCTCCACATAACCTCCTCACTCTGTACAAGGCCCAGATAAGATCTAGCCTCGAGCACTGATCACATATGTGGGGTGCTGCCGACCTTACCTAGTAGTATTTCAAAATTCCCCATATCGATAAATGACACATAATTCTGACGGATTCGTCAACACTAGGTAGACAGAACCGTATTTTGTTTCAGATTTTTAATAGGCTACAGATTCATTTTGTACTTGCTAACAACTCTTTTATTTAGAAAACTTCATTTGCATACAAAAAAAAACGTTAGAAGCAAGTTTTACTAGATTTACACCCTATTCATTATTGCCAACGTTACAGACTAATGTCACTTGCTGATCAGGTGTTCATCTCAGTTAACGTGATGGATACTCGTTTATGAAAGTATACCTACTCCTTGAAGAGCGGAGGGTAGTAAATTTCCCCAGGAGAGTGGGGGCAAATTCTAAAACCTCTCAAATGTGTACACAAAATCATTATAAATTTTAAGGTCCAATCGAATTCACAGGCGTGGCTACACCCTCCCCTAGCCCTCCTATGCGGGCGCCCATGATTGGAACATTCCAGGAACGACCCCATTGAGACATTAGGCTCGAAGATTCAGTGGTTGATGTTGCTGTATATCAGTACTCACTCCTCACTTTTTCTAATTTCAGCATCTTCTGCATTTGGATGGTAATCATAACATCTACCGTAGTGGCGAATCAGAATGAAGTATTCATATATGCTAAGCAATTCTGCATCACAAATGGATCGTCTGCAATTGCTGTAAACAGACAAATTGATTATGTCGATGCACGTTACAGCAGTAAGTTATAATAATTTTTTATAAGTAAATTCATATCTATGGAGGGTCAACAGATTAGATAGAAACTAGAAACTACATAGAAGAAGTTTATGTAATTTTTATAAAACTGGAGTAGTTATGGTTGTCCACGGGGTCTAAGAATACATCCACCTATTTTTAACACGATTTTTTTGACCAGTATGTAATCAAATCCTTCAACCTAATTTTCACCAATCTCAAGAAGTCTGAATAACTTGAAGGTTTGCATAGGGGCCAAGGGCCGATGACAATTCAATGAATCTTGAAGAAAATATGAATTTGGAATTTTTTTAATAATTTGAATTTAAAAAAAAACTGGAGTCAACAATAATTGTAAAATAAAATTTGGGAAATTTCGAAATTATAAAAAAATTGGGAGTATTCATAGATTTATTGTCAAATATAAGATTTACCAAAAACAGAAGCTCTTGATTATAACTTTTGTTGTCGTTTTGAGACTAAAAGTTTAAAAAACGAATTATGGCTTGAAAAACTAAAAAAAAAAAACTTTTACGGGTACACTATGTTTATCTGTTTTTTCTTTCAGACTAATTGTATTTTACAAATAATTTCAAAATAAAAATTAAGATATCAACAAAAAAATTAATTATATTAAAAAAGCATGGTGTGCAATTAACTACATTCTCGGAGGCTCAGAGTGAGCATAGTCCGAAAGTTCAGTTTTTTGAGTTATAAAATAAGATGGACCTGGTCAGAATTTCTCGACAAACTTGTTTCAATTTTAGCAAAATCTACCTACAAGCCGTCATTACCTACTGACAGTAATTGCAACTTTGAACCAAATTCAGAAAACACTTGTACAAAACTTATCAAAGATGGATGGAATATAAAAAATTCCATAAATGGGCCAGTTCTACAAAGCATCATTACTGACAGAAGATGGGAAGGTACGTGAATATCATACCAGTGTAAATCTAAATTAAATAGTTTTGAATATAGGCTCTCTCAACCATGACCCACTCTTGGGAGAATCTCTATTTGTGATGCAGAGTGCTGAACAAGCGTCCTCTCCTACATAGATGGGCAGTAAATAGATTCTGTTATGAATACAACAAAACTTAACCCATTGTATCAATCAGAACATTTTTATTTGAGTTTAATTATGTAGACGCATGCCTAAAGTTTGGTTTTCCATAGTTTTGAATACCAAATCAGGTAGGTGACGCCCCCCATACTCCATACACTGCGTAAACTGATTTCTCGCGTTTGTCATGACTCTTGTCAGCATAGCAGGCGTTATAAAGGCATCCCTGGATGTTAGTCTACAAATATTGTAGGGTTCATGGACGGCTCACATAAACACGGGCTTTCAAAAAAAACTAGAAAGCATCACAAGGCAAAATCAGGGGAATGGGCCAAGTCGCTCCTAATTGAGATGAGGCGCTTTGGGAAGTGTGCTTTCAAAACAACCATCGATGGTCCTGAAGTGTGAGCCGTCTTGTTGGAGTCAAACTCACCTAGCCATGAAAAAAATTCCTCTAATATGTTTACATATCGCTCCGAATTGACTTCATTCTCCTCAAAGAACCAGGGACCAATAATTCCAGCTGAGGAAATTGCACACCATATTGAGACTTTAGTCCGGAGAGAGACAAAAAAAACGAATTTTCTCAAAATGTTTTCCTGATTCTATTTGTAGTGAGATTTTGAAATAAATTCCTTCCACGCCATATTGTAGAGGAGAAAAATCAACAATGAGCTTCGAAATTCCATCTCAAGTAAAGTCAGGCAAAAAAATGATTTTGCGATAAATCTGCCGTACAAATCTGATAATTTACTACTACCTAGGAAATTTCGTTTTTTTAAATGTCATTGTATTACATATTATATGTGTTTGGAATCAGAATCAAAGACTCTTGTCACCAGTGTGAAAATTCAATATGGCATCCATAACAAAAAATAGAGTTGATGCTAAAGGGAGAGAGATGAAACATCATAATGAAATCTTAATTATGCCATCTTGTAAAGGAGAAAAAGAGGCAATGTTAATGTGCAATTTATTTTGGAATCCCACTACAAATAAAGTCAGGAAAACATTAAAACAATTTTTGCCGTCTCTCTCCAGAAGCACATTGAATTTATAAACTTGTATTGGCATTTTGTTAGCTACCTAAATTTTACTCCATTTAAGCAACTTCGTATCTCTTACAGTTTTCGAGATCCCAATGGTGAGGGTCAAATTTGAAACACCCGATATATACTGTGGCCAAACATATACAACTTTTTAAAGAGAATGGCTAAATTTTCTGCAAGATCTTAAGAATTCGGTTTTTCGTTATATGGACCACGCCATTCTTTCCACATACATATTTACTTACTGTCACAATTATTTCAGATTTTCCGTTGTTCAAATCCTCGGAGGCATATTATGGTAATAAGATGTATTTCAATGTCTTACCCATTACCCCACAAAATTTCCAAATACCGTTTTCTGTTCGAATAAAGCAAGATGCGCAAATATTTTTGTGCGATGGTGATCAACCTCGAGTACCTAAGGAAGCAAATTGTTACTGGATCATGATCGGCTCTAACTATGGAAAACGTGCTGGAATCAGAAAATGTTCCGTAGGACAAATCAGTGTAAGGATGGATAAGTACCCCGGTGCACCATGTAAAATAACGCATTCGCTGAAAAATGTAAGTCAAGATCGACAAGACCTTCATAGTAGTTGTACGGAAGAAAAATGTCGATGCCATAAGAAAAACCGACTTGTGCGATATCATTTTACATAAACAAACACATAAGAAACCTTAAGTTTCCATTCGACCTTGCACCGTAAGTGTATATGCCCATTATATCGTATCATATTGAGATGTAACCAGGAATATTTGCAGTGTCCATTATACCTCAGATTAGGTACCACCAGAGTTTGGTAGGATGTAGGATTTCCGTTACTGTCACTGAGACACATTCTAGCATTAACTGGAAAAAGTGTGTCGCATTAGGAATCATTTTGTGTTATTTAATATAACATGTAAATAATATGAGTATGAGAAAGAACTTCTTTTAAAGTTATAAAACTTTTGGTGGGATATTTAAAAATTGCCTCCACAGACTCTTTAAAAAGTTTTGGGAGCTCACGATATGTTCTGTCGGAGTTGACCTTTGCTCAAATATCATTATTTGTCGCCAAAATTGTATTGTTAGTACCTATCTCTGGCTCATTTGCCTACCATTGCCAATGCGACAATTTTTTTGCGAGATTCGATGAAACGACGTCGCCCCTATGCGGTCCTCCACAGGGCATGGTTGTTTTGACAGCTTCCTGAAGGGCATAGGAAACAGAGAGCACGGGAATTGTGTATATTACAATGAAGAGAAGGATACTCCATAATCATCTAATGTGGTAGAGGGTTTGATTACCAGAGACAGCCGGAATTCACGCTAGGCGAGAGGCTCACTGCTGACAAATGTGTCGGTCCTCGTATGATCCTAGTATGCTAACGGTATAATGGCAAAAAATTCTTTAGTATATATAATTTGAGATCTAGAGACAGTAACCTAAAAACAATAAATGGCATAGATTGAGCAATGTGTGAAAGCTATGAGCTCTTAATTCCCATTTCGTTTACCGTATAAGTGGAAGGTGATTGAAAACAACAGCAAAATTTAGATAGTGCATATAAAACTCACAAAGAGCTCCTATAAAAAGGTAATAAAATGTCCCATTAGAGAGATCTAAAGTGGTGTACGCTTCTGCCCCACTGTTGAAACTGAATAAGGGCAAGACATGAATAAATGTAGTTCAGGTAACGCCATAACGAGACGGAAGTAGCCTGAGCCACGAGTTTTTTATATGAATTAGTACTACTACATAAATAAAATTCAAAAGTAAATGCCTTAATTCTCTCTAAAGGTTTTTTCGATTTTGAAATTATATCTTTAATATTCTGTATCTCAATTAGGACGCATTTTAGAACCCAGAACTACATAAACTTTTGGTGTTATTTTTAGGACTACTTTTTGTCCTGCCACTCTTCATTTGATGACTCTGCATAAAGATTCAATATAGATTTAAATTGTTTTTGCAGAGCAGTTTTCATTTAGGCGATGTTAGTGAATTAACTTGGAAACACTTCTCAATTGAAAGAAGTCAAGACACCCTGCAGGTATATAAAAGTGAGTCACAAAAACCATATCTGGAATTAAAAGATGGAGAATTCAAACCAAGGCACATGTTCATCAACAGCTATAACCAACAAGGACTATGGAAAATTCATCAATGTAAGTTTGTTAAGGGGTTTGGAATATCAGTAAAGTACAACCAAGTAGCAACTTTAATTTTTTTATAACGAAGCAGCCGCATAGGCAGAAGCTCAAATACCAGGGCACCGCAGCTGCTATGAGGAACTTAAAAAAGTTTGTTAGTCCGATTTTTGAACTGCCTAAGGTTAGTAGAACTGGAAAAAGCCTTCTCAGGTAGATTGTTCCACCCTAGCGACAAGGGAGCGGTCGTATCGGCTAGTTCTGGAAGTACGGCACGGTTGGGATGGGAAGGCGAAATCTGGCGGGTCTGTGTGGTAGGCACATCGTGCGGCGGCATCATGGAGGAGAGATCTGAGGGGCAAAGCTCGTTGACGTAGCGGTAGAAGAGAGCTAGATCGCCGAAAGGTTACGAGACTGAACAGCGACGAGCATGGGTAAGTCCGGCCGGCAGCACCCTACACATGTGGGCAGTACTCGAGGCTAGGTCTTATCTGGGCCTTGTACTGAGAGAGGAGATTATATAGAGAAACATAGTTCTTAGCCCTAAGCTACCGCTAAAGACGAGATGTGTCCTCGGTGATCAGGACTCCGACAAGTCCAAATGATCTACGATGGGTAGAACTGGGCCATCCATCTAAATCGGTCGATTCTTCTTAATAAAGCTGCAGTACTGAGCTTTGGAAGCACTTAGCTGTTCCAGATTGTTGCGTCCCTAGGTTTCTCGTCTGAGAGGCAATTGCTGCTAGTCTTCTTTTCTGAAGCTCTCTGGCAGAGATCGGCTTGAGAGTCTGAATGCCTCAAGTGGTGCTACCATTAGTAAAGCTGTGAATCGGATTGGTCGTACAGGAAAAGAGGCCGTTGATATGACATACCATACCTTACATTGTAAGAGGAACAATGTCGGAGCCAAACCCGATCCCTGGGGAGCACCCGCGTTGACATTGTGGGATGAAGGGGAGAAACAGTCAATTATAATGGATATCTTTCGGCCCGAGAAGAACTCAGCGACCCATCTGCAAGGCTTCTCTGGAAGCCCATAGGATGGAAGTTTGCATAAGAGGGCAGCATCCCACAGCTGATCGAACGCTTTCGTGATGTCAAGAGCAACGACATAAGCCTCACCATATGACTGGATGAGTTTACTCCACAGTTGCGTGATGTGAGCCTGGAGGTCCCCTGTGGGTAGCTCATATCGGAAACCATACTGCCTGTCGCTAATCAAGCTGCGACGTTCGAGGTACTCCAGAATCTCGCGATTTATGCACCTCTCCATCAAACAGAAAGCAGAACTATAGGCCTGTAGTTGTAAGAGTCGGTCTTAGATTTTTTTTCTGGGATGGGTTGGACATGAGCAACGGTATCTGGAAGAGACGCGAAAGAACTGGAGCAAGCTCCGCTGCACACCTTTTCAATACCCCGGCAGAAGCTTTGTTCATGCCAAGCGGCAAGAACACCTGTCTCACGATATTATTCTTGAAGGTTAGTCCTCGCATAGTGTGGGAAATCTTTTGAATCGACGGTAATCAAGCGTTGAAGAGGGGGAAATTTCGTGGTGGAGATGGAGGCAAACATCTTGACAAGAACTCCTGCCTTAGTTTTTTAGGCGGTTACAATCATTGCGTCATTACCGCCATTTCGCTGCAACATTACCCTGTGTCCAATGTTTACGACGTGGTGGTCTTTGGAATTACAAACCCATTTGTTACATTTGTTTCTGGCTTGCCTGTTCTGTGCGGTGGGGTCTTGCAAGAAGGTTCTGTGTGCCTTGATGTTCTGCCAAAAAGCTGTGTCGCATGATTTGTTTTACCAGCCGTTGGATCCTGGCATAGACACTTCCACTATATGAGGGGTGTATTCCTCCATCCCAATGTGGACAACTTCGGTTATTGACGAACAGATCGCCGACGATCCGAGTATGTTTGTAATACCAACTTCTGCGGCCTGGGTGAGTTTTTACTGCCACATACGGTTCTGACTGAAACCTGACCTATACGACGCCGTGGTCTGAATTACCCTATGGAGACAGGACAGCAGTGCTGTAAGAGACAGAATGCGAGACAACTTTCGTCTGGTGAAACACGAGGTAAGAAAGTAGGGTTCGTCACCAGCTGGCTTAATTCTTGGCTAATGGCGAATGCTTCAACGACACTGCCCGCTGCATCAGACTTGTTTGATTCCAACCAGAGTTCATTATGGGCATTGAAGTCACCGAAGATAACTACTTCTGAGGCTGGGTGGATGATTTTTAATGGTGCTCACTTTTTCGGTACATCATATAAATCAAGCATTTGTCAGGCTAATTTGTTTTATTTGATCCAGTAAAACGGAATCACGTTACTTTGAATCCCGTCTTGTTTTTCGTTTCGGGAGAGAAAAATGTCCTAATAACAAATGCTCTCTCATCACAGCGTGAAAGATATTTTACTACATGTGAATACCTTTGCCCACTGTTAACTTATTAATAGATACTCAATGCCAACTATAGATAGAAAGCATGTTCGAAGACTTACTAGCCTCCTTTGAGGTCCATGCAGCATGGCAAATTTCTGAGGAGATGTCTAGAAAAATCCGAAAGTAAATAGATGGGTCTACTCTTTAGTATTCGGTGGAAATAACCCATAGAGTAGCCCGTTACAGAGTACTGACGAATTATGATATACTATATATTGTCTGTTTAATTAACCAGTAATGACGTAGCGACATAAATAAACTGTTGATGTTTCAGATCACTACTTATCTACATTTAACGAAGGTACGACCAGGCATTCCATAAATGTTCAAAATGGGCAACTGTGCGTCGATATGTTTGTGGCAATGTGTAGATCATGTAGGCTAGATATTTCGTTTCAAAATGAATACGGTATGATGGTTTACAATCGAGAGCTTACATTCCAAGTAAGTAAACTTCCTGCAGAATATTATTACAGATCATTTTTATTTGTTTTTTAATGTATGCGCATGCCTGCAGTTTTGTTTTACGTAGTTTTGAAGATCAAATCAGTCATGTTACGGTCCCCTATTCGGATGTTGGACTTCAAATCTTGTAGGGTCCTTGGACGATTCACAAAAAGACAGGATTTCAAAAAACTCCATAGAAAAAAATCACAAGGAGCCAAATCGGGAGAGCGGGCTGAACTGAGGTGAGGCGCTCTAGGAAGTGCATCCCCAAAACAGCCATCGATGCTCTTGGATGTGTGTACCATTGCATCATCTAGTTGTAACCAAATATACCTCATCTAGCCGTGGAAAAAATTCCTGAAGCATGCTTAGTTTACATACCGGTCCAAACTCACTGTCACTGCGACTTCATTTTACTCAATAATTCCAGCTGAGGAAATTACACACCGCTCTGTGACTTAATATGGGTGCAAACGCCTTTGATGTAATTCTCGAGGTTTGGTGTCAGTCCAGTAGTGCATTTGTTTGTTGAAGGATCCACATAAATGAAAATAGGCTTCATCATTAAAAAACAATTGCGTCCTCAGGAATGACTTCGAGAAGACGCTCACATACGTACGAGTACATCCAAGACTTGAATCACGTCCAGAAAGTTCCTACACAATTGCCATCTTGTAAAGGTGTAAATGAAAATCGTCACAAAGAATTCCCCCCAAAGAACGACCGAGAAGCCCAATTGCAGATGCATGTTTGAGCGCAGAGCGTCGTGGTGATGTGATATAATGTGCCGAGAGACTCCAGCTCTCCGTCTTGTCGCATTTGTATTTTGTCTGAACGAAGTGACCCACGTAACAATTGATTTCTGGTCTGGGACAGGAGCCAACGGAGCTAAATTAAAGCGATTCCGAAGAGCTCGCTGGGTTGCGATCACAGAACATCCGCTCAAAAAGGAAGCCTCAACGGCAAAAGCACGCTCATCACTATTCCAATGCGTGATGGTGACTAAACTTTGTCGGGACAAAACTTTGTAGTTCAGCCTCTTGAACGAGGCCACTAGCGCTGCGCTACGACAGCAACCGACTGAATGGCGCACATTTTAAAAAAAGAAGTTATGCTATCAGACAAGCTGTAAGTTAGCGGTTGTATCGCGGCTGGCCAAAGGTGAGCGGATGTACCCTGGCAGCGCGTAGCGGAGCGAGTACACTTGATGGCGCAGGCTGTCTGCTGCCCTCTGGTATCCAGTGTCTCCATCTGTATACGCTGACTAGTAAATCTATGAAAATATATTTCAGGTTGAAACCTGGCACGAAATAAGAATGGTCCAAAATTATATTCCTAGCTCATTTTTGCAAATGGTTATCAAAGCATCAAGCATTAACTATGAACCAACTGCAAAGTTCTGGGCAATTGACGACATAAGGGTATGCCAAGAACCGGGTAAGTGGTACATACATACATAGTTATCGAATCATGACCCTGAATACAGAAAAGAAGCAAATGAACCGCGTTATGCATAGCTAACAATGACTCCACATAAAACATATGGAAAATGGCCTCCAGTCGATTCGTCTAAAAATTCAGTATATATTTCTCGCCTTCAGGAACAAAAGTCCTCAAGGGATAATAGCAAATGTAAGCGTAATCTTTTGAAAATGTTGACCCAAACCATTCGATATGACGGAAGCAGACCAGAACAAAACACAGTCCAATTAAAAATGAATAAATTACAATACCCTAAAAGCTATGTTTACATGACCTTGTGAAGCAACTAAGCAACCACGACTTTTCCGTGCCCTGGCGAATCAAGCTGTCATCTTGAGTGAATTTTATACTTTACTTACTTTTTACTTCTATAATATTGCACAAGCTGTGCTAATAGGGCAACAATAAGGTCTTGCTCAGTACCAACATATTAAACCTTCACAAATACAAATACATACATACAAATACTATTACTAAAATAATTTTTATAATAACCGCAGAATACCGGTATATGGAACATTCACAAAATCCTTGTGAAGAATTAAGTATAGGAAATGGAAGGATATTGAGAGTCAACAATACTATCTCTACGGGTAAGTTTATATGGCACAGTATACAGTTATCAAATATGTATGTTACTACCACCGTTACACAACCCAATAGGCTAATTGAAAATTTTAAGAAGGTCTCAAATACGTGATATTCTACCAAAACAGTTAATACAATATTTTTTCAGACCTAAAAGATCGTCAAACCTTCACTTACAAAAATATTCTCCTTAGACAGGCGTAAACGCTGTCCGCCATGTTTGGCTCATAAATAAATGGGCTATGACGTCGTACCATTTGTAAACAGCAGCTCACAGCAGCATAACCTGTCAAACTTTTAAATATATAAGCATGATTTCTACTACTTTACATAAAAAAATATAGCTATTATCATTTTTTAATTGCCCAAGAATATAAAAACACATCGATAAATACCTCAAGAAAGCTGTGGAATAGAGAACCTCAGAGTAATAAATATACGCAACACTGTATATTGTTTGGCGCATAAAAGTATGTTATACTTATTTTTTATTTTACTATACAGATTTTATCTTCTCGTTTAAGTTAGATGTTAGACGTAACCTATATATCTTTACATTGCCCTGTTTGTCGCCAAAGTTGCGTAGTTTTAGTGCATACTTTTGACTAATTTGATTACCAATGCATACCAAAGTTGTATCAACATTATAATAATACCGATGGAAACATCTATCTTCATTAGGCTTGTACCGGTCTTTGCAAATTATATAACAAATTATGTAAAAAGTACCATGTCTTAAAATCATCTAACACAATTATTTACAAACACTGGTGCTTTTAAAAAATAACACCAAATATACGGATTTAATAATAGAACTGGAAGAAAATTTACTTATGTCACTACAGACTATCAGAATTAGGGGACCAACAAATCCTTGACTGCCTCCTTCTCCTTAGTTTGAACTCGTTGGTTGGAACTGTATCCCAGTTCGCATTGTCAACCGGATCACTACTGTGGCCGCTAGATGCCGCCGATTCTGGTGCTATAGTAGATGCGGTCTACTTGTCATTGGTTGGCCGTCGGTGGTCGAAACGAAAGCCATATGACTAGCTTATTTAATGGCGAGTAGACGGTATCTACTATAGCACCAGGATCGGCGGCATCTAGTGGTTACAGTGTTGATCCGGCTAACAATTAGAACTGGGATACAGTTTCAACAGACAGCTTGCTGTTTCCGCTATTGCGGATTCTGGTAACAGATGGCACTTGCTATATATGCTATAATATTTCGATAGACAATGCTGACTAGTTGCCAAATAGCACGAAACAGCAGTACATGGTTGGCTCTCTGTGGTCGGATGAATGAAAGCTGTATTACTATATCAGAGACTGTAGCTTCTTAGCATCACTTTTATATTGCATCTATGACATTAACAAATCATGCCTTCGTGATTTACATTTTAGCTGATATACACTGTCCTGAGGACACCTTTGGACGTATGTGTTTACCATGTCATATTTTCTATGATCAAGAATACTGCCCTGAAATGAAGTATTGTGAATATGTTTCGAATGTACATGAGTGTCATTGTTCAGCTGGATATCATCAAAAAACAACAGATGAAATATGTACACGTAAGTAATTATTATGTAGTTTTCCTTGGGGTGAGATTTCAGTTTGCAATCAATCCACATATCCGTTATTATAAAAGTTATTTAAAAACTTGTAGCCTGACTTGGAAAATATACCGTTCTCTACATGATGATTCGTAACTACGTTAAAACGCAAACATGTATTTCTCAATGAAATCATCTGTAGGTATTGGTTTATTCTATAAAAATTTTTCAAAGAAAGAAGTTTAATAAACGGTGTGGTTCTTCACTTCTGGAACTATGGGGTATATTGCCCGAAAAAAAACACACAAAAAGAATAAAAAACACCAATCGAGCCGAAATTTTATATACATGTTTAGTTCTCATTACAATATATATAGAATATATTAAATGCCGCCATTTTGAATCAAATATGCACATTATACTCTTATCATTTAATGTTCCTATTGTTACCGGGACCAGAAGCTTTGACTGATACTAAAGACTACCCACTACCCTTTACAAACTCCAGTCCCCAATTTTCAACACCTTGAGACGTCATTCTAAATTCAATATGGTGGCAGACGAAAAATGGCACAGCATTGATCCGACGAGGGAACCTGAAAGTATCCGTAGGAATTTTGTAATAGAACGATATAAACCCATAGAGATGGGCTTTGTTTGATTCGTCTTGACAAGTACTTTGGTTCCAGAGTTTTATGGTTTAGTCGACGCTATTTTTTAATCAATTTCTGTTGTCGGTTTTTTACCATTTGTAGGGTTTTAGGATATGCCAATATGTATTTCCGTCATTTCTTGAAGCTAAGATGGAATTGGCTAACCAAACTCCCAATTTTCTAGATTGTCCAGTGGAATACTACGGACATAAATGCAGAAATCGTTGTAGCGAGGGCTGTAGTTCCACCTGCGATAGTATTTCTGGACAGTGCCTGTGCAAACATCCGTTTCAAGGAGCAAGATGTAATGAATGTAAGTTTTGACCTTTTTATTTATTGAGGCAAATATGAAACATTTAACTACATATATTATATAGAGAGAGAAAAAATGATCATGCGGGGAAAGGTATATAACAAAAAGTAGGAAAATAATGGGCAAAATCCGCAAAAAGGAAAGTGGATTCAAGCAGAAAATAGGATAGGTAACCCGAGCGATACGTATTTCTGCTGGTTGGCTTCATCAGGCCCGAAATGAATGCACATATGCAACTACAAAAGTAGATACACATGCTCATACATCCGGATACGGGTGTAACCTGAGGAAACAAAGATGGAGAGGTAGAAAAAAATCACACACGAAGTCCACAACAAGAGCCAACCTACAAATTGTAGTATAAAATGGTTAGAAGACCTAGAATGTTCAAGGCGATATCTAACCACAACCACGCGGCCGGTTGTAGCCACTTGCTTTGTTTCCTCAGGTTACACCCGTATCCGGATGTATGAGCATGTGTATCTACTTTCGTAGTTGCATATGTGAATTCATTTCGGGCCTGATGAAGCCAACCAGCAGAAATACGTATCGCTCGGGTTACCTATCCTACTTTCTGCTTGAATCCATTTTCCTCCTTTTTGCGGATTTTGCCCATTATTTTCCTACTTTTTGTTATATACCTTTCTCCGCATGATCATTTTCTCTTTGTAGATCCTTTGGACTTGAAGTACCACAGCAAGTGGCTATAACCGGCCGCGTGGTTGTGGTTAGATGTCGCCTTGAAAATTCTAGGTCTTCTAACCATTTTATACTACAATGTGTAGGTTGGCTCTTGTTGTGGACTTCGTGTGTGATTTTTTTCTCCCTCTCCATCTTTGTTTCCTCAGGTTACACCCGAATCCGGATGTATGAGCATGTGTATCTACTTTTGTAGTTGCATATGTGCATTCATTTCGGGCCTGATGAAGCCAACCAGCAGAAATACGTATCGCTCGGGTTACCTATCCTATCCTATCTGCTTGAATCCACTTTCCTCCTTTTTACGGATTTTACCCATTATTTTCTTATATATATATATATTTGGATTTTTTACGACTACTGTCGTTTCTCGCTTCTCAAATGCCACATCTTTCGGTCCATCCAGTCTCCCTCTTGGAGTCCTCTGGACATCATGGACTCTTCAACATCTTGCATCCAACTTCTTGGAGGTCTACCACGTTTGCGACGCTCTCGTGGTACCTACTCATAGACTTTTTTTGGCCACCTTGTGTTATCCATACGTTGAAGGTGACCATACCAAAGTAATCTTTTTGTTTTTTTTGTTTCTAAAATGTTGTGGTCTACTCCCATAATTTGTCTAACTCTTTCGTTCCTAACATGTTCTAGCCTGGAAATTCTGCAACTTCTCCAGTAATCCATTTCCAGGGACATGAACTTCTCTTTAATTCTTTTCGTCATCTCCCATATTTCTGAGCCATAGGTACAGATACTTTCTGCTATAGCTTTGAATATCAATTTCTTTGTTTTGTTTGTCACTCTAGTACTCCATAGAATAGAATTTATTTGTCTAATCCTCTTTTACCCTGTGCTATTTTATTTGAAATGTCTTGATTGCTCTTGCCATTCACCCTAAACGTTAGACCCAGATATTTGAATGATGTTGTGTTCTGTATGCTATGGTTTCCAACATCCAAATCATCTCTATCGCTGTCACCTACAATCATATACTCGTTTTTTTTTGCATCAATTTTCAATCCCCATTTCACGTACTCTTCTTCTAGTTTCCTAAACATGTAACATGAGTCATCGCTATCACCTGCTATCAAAACCTGGTCGTCAGCGAATAAAAGGGTATATAGGACATCTTCTCCCACTGGTATTCTCATATGGCAATATTTCTTGTTCCAGTTTACTAAAACTGCTTCAATATATATATATACAGGGTGTTCCATAATTATTGCGACAAAATGATAGGGGTTGTAGAGGGCATCAAAATGAACAATTTTTCCTTATAAACCCCTGTTCGGAAACATGCCGTTTGGGCTGCAGCAAAAAAAAGATCAGTTTCTTGAAACAGCTTACCTACAGTAATTGCTCAAAGTGTCCTCCACCTTGCTCAATACACACCTGTGCACGATTGTTCAATGATCGGCGAACTCTGTGGCATACCCCCGGTATGTCCTGAACATGTGCGGACGCGGCCATCACTCTTCCCAGTAGCTCTTGTTGGTTGGGAACAGGAGTTTCGTACACTAAAGCTTTCAGATAGCTCCAGATAAAATAATCCAGTGGAGTCAGGTCAAGTGACCGCGCAGGCCAAGGCACAGGGCCACCTCGGCCTATCCACCTATTTGGAAATTTGTCGTCCAAATACTGCCGCACTTGTAAAGAAAAGTGGGCTGGACCGCCATGGTGTTGAAACCACATGTTGGCTCTTATATTCAGTGGCACATTTTCTAATAGTTCCGGTAGCACATGCTGTAAGGATCGACCATAAGCATGCCCATCCAAACGTGGTGGAAGCAGATATGGCCCGATGATATGCTCGTCCACAATGCCGCACCAGATGTTAATTGAAAACTGATGTTGGTCTCTATGGATGGCTATGGCATGAGGGTTTTCTTCATCCCAAATGTGACTGTTACGGCTATTAAAATAACCGTCCTTTGTAAAACAGGACTCGTCAGTGAACAAAACGTAGCGACCAAAGTTTGGTTGCCTCAACTCCTGCTGCAGCCACCAACGACAAAAACGTCGACGCGGCAGATAGTCTGCTGGACCCATGGCTTGGACTTTTAAAAGGTGGTACGGGTGTACGATAACAAAAATGTAAACACAGCAGGCTTTTTCTACAAACCGGCGAGACCATGAAATGTGCTAGACGAACATTTTGCAGCTGGTGAATTTTTTGTTTCTCCTATGAGCTCTTAAGGTAAAATTAACTGTAGTGCTCAAACGGCATATTTACGAACAGGGGTTTATAAGGCAAAATTGCATATTTTTATGCCCTCTACAACCCCTATCATTTTGTCGCAATAATTATGGAACACCCTGTATATATATATATAACAACAAGTAGGAAAATAATGGGCAAAATCCGCAAAAAGGAGGAGTGGATTCGAGCAGAAAATAGGATAGGTAACCCGAGCGATACGTATTTCTGCTGGTTGGCTTCATCAGGCCCGAAATAAATGCCCATATGAAACTACAAAAGTAGATACACATGCCCACACATCCGGATACTGGTGTAACCTGAGGAAACGAAGTTGGAGAGGGAAGAAAACGACACACGAAGTCCACAACAAGAGCCAACCTACACATTGTAGTATAAAATGGCTATACGACCTCGAATTTTCAAGGAGACGTCTAACCACCACCACGCGGCCGGTTATAACCACTTGCTGTGGTACTTCAAGCCCAAAGGATCTACAAAGAGAATATGATCATGCGGAGAAAAGTATATAACAACAAGTATGAAAATAATGGGCAAAATCCGCAAAAAGGAGGAAAGTGGATTCGAGCAGAAAATAGGATAGGTAACCCGAGCGATACGTATTTCTGCTGGTTGGCTTCATCAGGCCCGAAATGAATGCCCATATGAAACTACAAAAGTAGATACACATGCAAACACATCCGGATACGGGTGTAACCTGAGGAAACGAAGTTGGAGGGGGAAGAAAACGACACACGAATTCCACAACAAGAGCCAACCTACACTACATATATAAACAACAACATACTACAATGTGTAGGTTGGCTCTTGTGAAACCACTTGATGATTGCACGATGTAATGTTTAACTTTCGTTTTAAATATTTTTAATCTGTTTTTAATTTGTTCTTGTCATACAGCTGTGTGTAGTTTGTATAATTTTGACTATTGTACCTACCATGTATCCAGCTTTCACCATGTTACTGGGTGTTTCCCTCATCCTTACCGTAAATATCATTTAGCAACATCCTCACATACTACTCTCCTAATGATGATGGCAAAGACCATTGAAAGCTAGTGAGATTAAAAAAGTATAAAGAGTCCTCTTTGCTTAAATTTTTGTCGAAGTACCCAACAAAAAGCGGAAGCTTTAATTTTTCACCTAACTGGTCTAGACGACAATGACCACGTCTCAAGTTATACATGTATATATATATATAAATTAAAAAATCAAATTAACAATAACAAGTAGGTATGTTATTGCGGTGTTTCTTGACTTGAAAAAAGCACTTGAGACCATATAAATAAGTAAAACTTGCAGTGTATGGATTTTCTGGTAAAGAATTTGATTGGTTTTCTAATTACTTAACTGACAGGGAACAAAGGGTGAGAGTTGGACAGAATATGTCTAGCATAAATGAAAATAAAATCGGAGTACATCAGGGCAGTGTGCCTGCCTCTCTGTTGAATGTGGATGTATTAATCATTTTGCTGATGGTACGGTACTTGCATGCTTTGGCAGTAATCAGGATACAGCTATTAATAAAATGATTATTGTTTTGGATAAGATCGATAACTATATGAAACTTAATTAGCTTGAATTTTGTCTAGAACAAAGGCTGTGAACATGAGATAGCGCAAAGCGCCATCTATCTTGTTTAAAGGCTATGAGCGTAACAACTAAATATAAATATAGTCTCATTAACATATCTGATGTTACTATTCACATGAACAATGAAAAAGTGGGAACTGTCACCGTAGTCAAGTATTTGGGAGTTGAGCTGGACAACTGTACAGCTTACGATAAACATTTTGAATATATCTGTAAAAAGGTACAAAAGAACTATACATTTTTTTCGACAACAAGTACTACCCTTTCACGTCAAACAAATGTAACAATCAGAAAGTCATGATTCAGCCACATTTAGGCTATTGTCCAACACTTAATTACTTATTCAATACATCTCAATTAGCTGAACTGCAAAAATTACAAAATCGTGAAATGCGAGTTATATTGAGATATAATGACTTATGTTAACACAATGCTGGAAACATTAGATTTTTTATCTGTCTCACAATGATTTACTCGTACTTGATTGGTCAGATTAACTTTGCTTGTGATGTTTTCTAAGCTTGCTCGAATGAGCACTGTGAAGGTGTCAACCTATTCAACAAATCGACTATCTACATCAGAAAATGTTCAACTCCTCATAGATTCAAGAAAGAACTACTTATATTCATTAATACTTGATTTGTTTGTGTATAGTGTGCGTTTTGCTGATTGATGTCATTTTCTTTTAAAATGTGCTAACCTTAAGGTACCTAACGTTTTTGCAACATGTTTACTGTTTTATTGCTGTGTATTTTTATTGATTGTGTATATTAGGGTTATCCTATTTCTAATGAAATAAATATTCTTCCGACATCGTGACAGTCCGAGCTCAATGTTTGCTCAATATGGTTATATATTACATTACATATACATTTGTGTCTTTTGTTGCATTTTGAACAAGGTCCTAACTATCTACCTGTATAAGGTTATCATATCAAGTACCCACTAAAACTTAAAAATCGACCATTGAGAGGAGAATACATTTGTTATATTTTAGTGTTATTGTTCCCATTTCTTTTGAGTGTTTTTTGAACCAGTTGTTCACATTACAGTGCCACAGCCCTTTTTGAGGTATCCTCCTAGATCGATAGAGGTGACGGTAGACTCATGTTCCTTCTCTATAGAAAACGATGAAATTGTCGGTGGCAATATAAGTAATTCAGATTATCTACTTCAGTACCGGGTATGTATTGAACAAGAATTATAGTCTGCATGTATAAAAAGGAATTGTATACAGGGTTATCCAAATTAAGTGTCCACCATTAGTAACTTTGTTATTAGTGAAAATACAAAGTTGTTTGAATTAGCAAACTAGTAGCATTTTTAACGCTGGTAAAAATGAGAAATAAAAAAAAACAATTGAGAGTCGTTATTTTGATTTTTTTCAGTAAAATAACATTTTTTTAAATGGAAACTCCTGTATATTATATTTTTTTCTGTTAAAGCATCAAATTTTAAACAAAAAAGTTCATAATGACTTTTCCGCTAAAGTCAAAAATAAAGTCAAAATAACGATAAATATTTTTAATTATTTGCAGTATTATAATATTAAGACGGCTATGAAAACAACATGGCGTTCGCGATTTGACAGCATTAAGATAAGCGACAAATTGTTAAACTGGACATACTCGCAACTAGAAGGCTTTGGAAAACAATGATAAAATCAAATAATGTCAAACATTAGTGTAAATACTTCTTTATAAGCTTTATTGTGTCATTAATTTAAAGAAAAATGTTCTCCCATGAAGAAAAGTGTGATATGTTAGAATGCTATTTAGTGTGCAGAAAATCCTCCTTGAGAGCAAGAGAATGAATACAGTGAATTATATCCCGCTCGCATTCAACCGTATGAACGATATTTTCTGAGACTTTATCGAAAATTTAGGGGCAACGAAAATGTTTTTGCTAAAACAAGGGCAAAAAAAGAATTCATAATAAGCGAGGCCACGGAAATTGCAGTTATTGGATATTTTGAAGCTTATCATGAGAATTCAATAGCAGATATTCTCAAGGACTCTAATTTCAGTTATGGTACTGTTCAAAGGATTTTAAAAAAATACAAATTTATTCCGTATAAGTACCGACCAGTTCAAACGCTTTTGGCAGGGGATCCAGAGAGAAGACTTGTTTTTTGCCATTGGTATCTTAGCTTCTGTCGCCAAAATGTAAATAACTTTCGTTACCTTTTATGGACAGATGAATCAAATTTTTCAAATTCTGGAATGTTTAATAGAAAAAACCACCATTATTGGTCAAGAGAAAATCTTTTGTTAGTACATCCAAGAGGCCCACACAAGTCCGTTTCAGTTTCAACGTTTGGTGCGGTATAATTGGTTCAAAAATTGTTGGCCCGTTCTTTTATGAGGGAACCCTAACTGGTGAAAGATATGTGGAATTTATGTCAGAAATTCTGACTAATTTCTTAGACGAATTGGATCTTATAAGTAGACATCATCTGCATTTTCAGCAAGATGGCGCACCTGCCCACAACTCCAGAGGTACTTATCATTTTCTAAGTACTACTTTTAATGATCAGTGGATAGGAACAAATGGCCCAATACAGTGGCCTCCCAGATCACCAGATCTAAACCCACTTGATTACTTCTTGTGGGGTTACTTAAAGAACCAAATTTACAAGCGAAGGTACGATAACCTTGACGCGTTAAAGACTGCAGTTAGGGAAAAGATAACCCAGATAGATGGTAGGACCATACTTAAGACAGTTCGAGCAGTTGAAAAACGTGCCCAAAAATGTATTGAAGAACAAGGTGGTGTTTTCGAGCATCTTCTTTAAAAAAAATGTTATTGTATTTTGTAAGATTATAAGTTGATGTTGAAAATAAAGTTTGTCGATACAATTTAATTGTTTCAGATTGGAGGCCATAACTTCAACAATTTGTAACCTAGGAGAAAAGTTATTGTAAGCTTTTTTGTTTAAAATTTGATGCTTTAACAGAAAAAAATATAATATACAGGGGTTTCCATTTAAAAAAATGTTATTTTACTGAAAAAAATCAAAATAACGACTCTCAATTGTTTTTTTTTTATTTCTCATTTTTACCAGCGTTAAAAATGCTACTAGTTTGCTAATTCAAACAACTTTATATTTTCACTAATAACAAAGTTACTAATGGTGGACACTTAATTTGGATAACCCTGTATAGGATTTTGTAAAAGTCTGGAAGCGATGAAAATATATCCATGGTACACAGCATAATAGCATAACCTCTAATAAGATTTTATCAAATATACTTATGATCCATTGAGATGTTGTTTGTTGGGCTTACTTTGTCTATAAGGTTTTTTGATTCACGACGTTTTAGTTGATGTGATCTTCAATTATCACCAGGTGAACTTGCGAACATGCTCCTTTCTTGACTATTCACGAGGGTGGTCCGATAAGTATTTAGCCTACAAAAGAAAAACGAAAATTTTTGAAAAGTGGCGATTTCTCAACATAGTCTCGTTTTAACTCGATACAGCTGATCTAGTGACTCCTCGGCAGCGATAACCTCCTCATTCAACTCAAATTTCTGTCGAGCGAGTAACTTTTCCAAGTTTGTAAACAAAAAGGAGTTACACGTGGCCAAATCTGGAGAATACGGTGGGTGGGGCAGCAATTCGGCATCAAATATATCCAATAATTCGGCATAGTAGAGCCCTGTGACTGTTTTGCCCTTCTCCGGATAGTCCGTGTAGATCACAGCTTGCTAGAAAACGGTGTCCATCACCTTTCCGGCTATTAGGACAGTCTTCGCTTTCTTATGGGCACGTTCGCCGGGTAAAGTCCACTTCCGACTGCTTCTTGATGTCTGGTGTATACCAGTGGATCCATGTTTCGTCGACGGTCACGAAACCATGCAAAAACTCCTTCGGGTTGCGCTTAAACAGTGTCAAACACTGCTCTGAAGTGGTGTCACGGTTGCGCTTCTCCGGAGTCAGCAAACCCAGATATTTCATGCAGAATATTACCCACGTGGTCTTTTGAGATGCCTACTCTCTCAGCTATATCGCACACCTTCAATCGGCGGTCTGCCAATACGAGAGCATGGATGTTTGTCACGTTATTCTCTGTGATAGCCGTCTTCGGGGCACCTAGGCGTAACTCAGCAAAAACCGACGTTCGGTCACGTTGTAACTCGTTAAGCCAATTTTTAACGGTCGTCATCGAAGGAGAAGAGTCACCGTACCCAGCAGCCAAGTGCCCTTTTATGTGCGATTTCCCTTCCAAAACCAGAATCGTATCACCGACCGATATCGCTCTTTTTCCATTTTTCTAAGATCCGCGGACACCCCCGCTTCCACACGCGGTCAAAGCAAAACAGAATGATTCAGCTGAAATTTTAACAGTAGTCGTCTACAAGAATGTACTTCACGATAGTAAATTTCTCTTTCGATAGCGGCGCCATCAGGCGGTGAGGCTAAGTACTTATCGGACCGCCCTCGTATGCCGTTTGATGACGTGGCCGGTGGTTGGTTGTGATGTCTCCTTAGTTCCGGTTGCTTGTTGATTTTGGTTGCCATAGTGGTTTCATTTCCACACTTGGATTACTGTAAACATTTTCACTCATTATTATGAAGGCCGTTCCATCAATTTTCTTCCATGCCAATGTGTTTCTTTGTGTAAGATGCATGATCCTAAAGTATTCTGTGGTTTTGTCTAAGCGTGATCTGCTATGCCAGTTTTATTCGTTTCTCCCCTTGCGTGTTAGATTTATGTTCTTTTATTCTTACTGAGAGAGGTATTTTTGTTTCTACTAGTATATCTCTCCGCATGTTCATAGATTTTGCATTTGTGAGGATGCTGCAAAGTATGGTGTTTTTTGAAAATCTAATGTACGCTGGGGTTCATTCGTGTTTCTACTGTTGTTGGTGTTATTTTCGTTCAGAGCATTTATCAGCCGTCTTGGGCAGTCTTATTAAATCTACTTTGATGCGACCGATTTCTTCCTGGAGATTTGTTTGCGTGTTGTAGAAGCTATTTGCCTGGTCGATGAGGATTTCACCTAACGGCGATTGAAGATCACATCAAAATCGAAGTCCAAGAAACATTTCAAGAAAATTCAATTCACTTCTGCTACTCCAAGTTAATACAGTAAGAGGTGCTAGATGGTTACTATTGGGTATGCCATTATATTTGATTTTAGAAAAAGTAGTGTGTTCCCAAAGAAATGGTTAAGGAGGTAACAATGGAGCTATACTTTCCGCGCAGGAGCGACAAAGTTGGTTTCACTGTTCCAAATATGACGAATCTATTAAACAGAATTTCCTGGGATAAGATTACTTTCCCAGGTGCCTATCTACAAACTAACAGACAGAAATGATGAGTTTTATGAAGAACTCTGATATCAAAAGTAATTTGTTGAACTGAAAACACTGTCGTATACAAAAAAAGGTTTCTGGGAGGCTTGAGAGCAGATCCAGCCTTTGACTGAGGCGGATCACTTATAGTCACATGGGATTATGTAAAGAAAAACGTATGAGGCCGTGGAGTTCTGAAGCTAAAGCCCTCCCACCTCCCCATAATTAAGGCAGCGACCTAAAGTACTCACCCTGTATATTTTGTATGATTGTTATTTTTATGGGTTTAGTTGAAAATCAGATTAGGCTGAACTACGCCTTTCATCATTTTGTCATTGCATTAATTCTCCTTTTTTCTGTAGTTACCTTGAATAATGCATAAAGTCCATTTATATATAATTCGTATATTATATTCCCTATAATGCCACTAAGTTTATTCCGCATTTCAGGAAAACGGCATTTCGACTACTTGGATGTCTGAAAGATATAAATCAAGCTATAGTCGTTTCACCATAGCAGGATTAAAGTCAGACACAGAATATTCAATCAGAGTTTTGATTGTCGGTCAATCAACGCAAGCGGACACGTTAATTGATCAGAGCTTAGAGAAAATGATACCGAAAGTCACATGTAAAACCAAGTGTAATTGTAAGTATATTCATACGCTCACACGGTCGCTGCAGAGTATACTTGCTGTCAAAAAATCCCAAAACTATAATATTATTGACTCTGCAGAACAATATCCGGTGTGCTACTTTTATACAGACGAAAACGTGACTGGCAATCTAGCTAGCTAGGTGGTACCGTGGTAAGTGCCGACGTGTCGGCGTGATGCAACTAGAAAGCGGCTAGAGATACGTTACCAATCTGGTTAGTTCCACTTGGATGCCGCCAGATGGGGCATCAAGCATCTTCAAACAGCAAAAGAACGGTGACGGGGGTAAAATTCAATTTGGTTCTTACAGTCTATTCTGAGAGTTGGTTGGTAGTTGGTGCTCTATACTAATTGGCTAGGTCGCGCTCATTCAAAAAAATAGTATACGGGCTACTTACCTCGCACGGACGGTGCCATGGTGTGTGTGTCCACGAGGCGACGTGGCGCAACTAGAAAGCGATTGGAGCTACCTTACCAATCCAGTTGTTTCACTTGGATGCCGCCAGATGGGGCACCAACGCAGCTTAAAAGAGCAAAAGTACAGTCGCATGGATATGATTAAATTTGAATTTGAACAGTGGATCCTGAATTTGGAAATTTGGTTGGCAACCGGTGGTGTAGACTAATTGATTATGTTGGCTCAACGAAATGGAAAAGATGCGAGTACAAATCCCGCCGGCGACCATTATTCTTTTATCTCGAGTTGTTGTTTACTGAAGGTCCACTTTTACTATTCGGTGATCATAATTTGTTCCAATGAGCAAATTTGACCCCTCATAAGGCGTTTTTGAAGTGATCGATCTAATGAATATAGACAACTAGCCTGAACTCGCGTGGAAATGATGTAAAGTATAGGTCATGTGTTTTGCATCAATGTGAAGGAGATTAGTTTCGGAGAAAGAAATGCAATAATCAGAGTAATGCAATAGTTACTTTGGAAATGAACAGTTCTTACTCAACATTTCAATTCCGCAATCTATGTAACTGTTTGTGTATTTTTGACAAAAAGATCAAAAACTGAACAAATAAAAATGCCCAAACCTCGTTTTCTGATGTCGCAGAGGATCCTGATTAAGTTTGATAAAAATTATTTTAGGGGTTACAAATTAGGGGGTGGGGGTCGTAGAGGAGTTCACATCTCATTTTTTTTCATGTTTGTATGCTTATACCAATCCTGGTAGTCCTACGTACCTATTAGCCATATTTAACACATCATAGGTTTCCCCGTACATTTGTCTATAAAACTTAATATTACAGAAATGTTCTCGATGCGCGTCTCCTTCTGTAATCTGGGCTCAGCACCCGGCGTAACGAGTTGACTGGTCTGACGATATTCAAAGGGACGAAGTTGTAAGGTGGACGATAACGACACTAGGACAGTGCGCAATTAATCTTCTTGATCTGATTGTTTCAATAATCTTCCAGTGTATACATCTCACGCAACTCGCTGCCCACGTGATAACTTATTTATCTATTTACAATTAACTAGATTTTATAGGTATACAATACATATCAGTTATCTGAGGATGACAAACGAAAAACAATGATTTCACTTGTACTAATCCTTCTAGAACACTGATGTTCTAGTAAGAAATTGATTATGACATAAGTACAAAACTAAACTGGAAAATTAAAAAATATAAATAATATGCGATTTGTTTCACAGTGCTCACACCCGATAAGATAAAGATTGATCCTGGAAACACCACAGCTTCTGTAAAGCTCGAGGTAAGTGCTTATCAGTGATAACGTCCAAGCAAATTGAAAGTAGAAAAAAAACTACATATACAAATTGCCCCCAAAAGTAGCCAAATCTGGAACATTCCAAATTCGGTCAAATCACCCTAGCCAAGGACCCCTAGGCTCAAAAACGTGTCTCTGTTTAAACACATTTTTAATAGGCGCAGTTTTGTACAAAAGATTTGTGGAATGTGTAGGTTCAAGAACAAAATCTTTTGAAGTTCTATTTCGAATTTTAGGTTGGGCAATGAAAATAGATTCTAAATCAGTGCTTTCTTGCGTTCTTTTCAGATCCACTAACAGAATCGAAAACACTGTGCTAACATAAAAACTCATCACATGTTGACCGAAGCTTTTCTTTCCTGATCAGAAACGTCAAAATTTTAAAATCAGCGAATATGCCGTTATTCTTATTTTCGCAATTTGCCGGGAGACAAATCAAAGCTTTTTGCTTGAAATAACCTGCAAAAATACGTTTGCTTTTCGAGTATTGTTAACGAACTTATGATGTCCTACATTTGAAATGGCGAAAATTGGAAAAAATCGGTGAAAACGTGGTTTTTTCAATTTTTTGCCATTTTTCGGGCAAAAATTCCTGATTTTATTTGTGGATCTGAGAAGAGCGTAAGAAACCACTAATATACAGTGGATCTTTACGTTTGTTATGTTTATTTACCCAGAATTGGAAAAAGCTTTAAAAATTCTTTTCTCGAACATATCGTATATTCCAAAAATCTATCAAAAATCACGGTTACGTAGGAAATAAGAATGTAGGATTGGGAATTTTTTGAAAATTGTTGGGCAGAATAAAGCCTGTAAAAAATTATTTTCGAAAAAACACGTTTTTGAGGTTGGAGGCCCCTAGGGTAGCCTATCGATGTAAAGACTCAGCTAAGGTGATTTGACCCAATTTGCCTTAGTTTGGATCAATCCAGATTTGGATACCTTGTGGAGACTTTTGAAAAAATAAGATAAGAAGTCATAATCTTTAAAAAGGGATCCTTTTCAATGAATCTGAATGACCAAATTTGAGTCAAAATCCTTTGCAAATAATGTTTTTAACCAATTCCCAAAATTGTTTTTTTCGCTCTGGTCAAAGTTTCTTTTTAACATTCTGAACAAAAAGGATGATCTCTAAAGTTGACAGTTTTCAAGATAGAAATGATACAATATTTGAAAAAGTACTCAATCTGCCATCTTCGAGCCCGAAAAACAATATTAAAAAACCAAAATTTTATAGTTGCCAAAAACAAAGGCTTACAATTGCAATACCTCCTCAGATGCTTTGGGATTTTGTTAATGGATGTTTGAAGAATATTTAAGATTATCGGTAATATTGAAATTTTCGTTTTACCAAATTGATTTTCGGGGTCGACGATTGTGTATTTCGCACTTTTTCAAATATTGTATTGCTTATATTCCGAAAACTATCAACCTTTGAGAAAAGTTCTGAACTACCTTTTTTGTTCAGGTCTAAAAACACTTTTACCGGAACGAAAAAAACATTTCTTATTTATAAAAAATGTTCAAAAAAGTTTCGACGCAAATTTGGGTCTGGCTATAAATTCGTTGAAAGCCGCCCTTTTTGAATGAGATTATGCAAAAAATCTTCAGAATACTTTTCCCATCAGATGTGTACTACATTTTCTGTCATTTTCAGGTTGGTACAAATGGATGCAACATAGGCAGATATTCATATTTATTTAATAATCAAAGGAACTGGGTTCCTGGAACCCAATTTGATCTGGCATGTGAGCCATATACCGATTACAAAATTATTTTTATCAGTGAAGATAAAGATATTGCATCTATACATTTCCGCACGAAAGAAGGAGGTATTGATATTTTATTGACTTTGTTGACGGTTGGGAAAGTGAACAGTATAGGCCAAGAAGTAGGGAGATTTTCTACAAAGGAATCCTAAGATTTTTTCAACAGTACATTTTTTTTGGTGTCGTTATTAGGTTATTGTTTCCTGATGTTAAGTTGAAATTTGCGCCATGATAGGGTTGGACCATTTGCGGCTATTTTTATAAACACGATCGTTCGAAAATCTCGAAAGTCATCGATGCTATGTAAGAAATAATGCATACAATTTTGTGGAGAATATAACTCTTTATCATTTTGCTTCTATAAAAATTTGTCGTATAATCAACAGCTTGCGAGAAATTTAAGGGGAAGGTACATGATATTTTTAGTTATAATGGCTAAACTAAGAATTTAATAGTATGAGGCACTATTCCTTGTAGAGAATACAATTTTTTTACAAAAAAGGTCTTTCCGACACTACCTTGATGATTCTTGAAGTATAAGGAGCGAAACTTAAAAATTCGTATCAAAACAGTCGCCCGTCATAGTCCAGCGGCGACGCGTGACTTTTCCTAAACTGTTACCAAAACCAAATGTGAAAAATCTTATTAAAAACAGTTTATTGTGAACCTCCCAAATATAAGTTTTTGCTTATTTTAGGTATTTTATTTAAACTATTTTTAAATTAAGGTAAACATTCCTGGACTGAGCGTCTGGGGCACTTGATATACCTCTTCGTCTTATGCTATGACTAATCCAAGCCGTCCGAAAAAACAGTCAAACAGTCGACGTTTCTAGATGTTCGGAAAATTTTTGATCTTTTTTGGCAATGAACGTTAACAATTCCCTGTAATTTCTTCTTTTGTCAGAGTCATCTACTTCAAAATGAACGGTAATTCCTGTTTTGCTAAAAAGTGTGTAGAAGTGTGCTGCCTAAAAACTTGGTTAAGACATCTTTCGATTCTTGTTTTGCCAAACTGAATTAAATTGGCTAAACATCTCATATGTAACGGATAAATTTTATGTCTCCTCTTTAGAGCCCTAAAACTATTTAAATCGTTGACTCCGCTGCTGGTCCACCCATTTTTTTCTGTATAAAACAGAAGACGTCGCCAACAATACAATCTGTTTTTTGGCAACCACATAACCAAGAGTTTCCATATACCAACTTAATTTAAAATATTAAACTACGTTTTTTTATTCCTTTTTAAAATTATCTAAAATAGGTGTTGATCTTCCATTTTCAATGATATCCTTTTTTTCTTAAAAATTATACAAGGAGAATGACTTTTCAAGTAGTTGATCGATTACGCAGTGACACTCATCCATGTTTAATTTCACGCACACTGCAGCCGGTAACCAAAACGGCTACTAACGAGTGAGAAGTGAGTAACCAAATCAAAAAAGGGTTACAAGCCCACATAATAGTCGCAGCGCCCCACGCACTCGGGCGACCGCGATCAGACACGAGCCGGTACCGACGGTCACCGACGGACTACCAGGTGTATCCATAAATGAAAATGGTAACAACGCACAACCAAGTCGAGGCGAGTCAGCTTCATCGTGTTCGCAAAACCTAGACACTGTAGGGCGCATCATTTTCGTGGGGCTAATTTGCTATTTACTGAATTACTATTACACATCGCTGTTGGTAAACAAATAAATGAAATTATTTCACAGTACTTAGTCATAAAATGTTTATTTTTAAGATTTTTAACTGTTACCAATGGTAACAATGGTTACATGGACGCTTCGCCACTGGCATAGTCCGCATGTTACGCCTACACTACGACTATAAATTGACCCCCACTCTAACTTTTATTTGACTTTCTAGAAGAAATAGTTGTATCTGAAAGTTATAGGATCTTATGTAGTTTTTCGTTCCGTATATCTCAGAGAAGTGCTATCGAATGTTGTATATTTTGCCAACCACAGACACCTGTTTCGTGCTTTTTTAGCAACTCATCAACATCGTCTTGGCTTGGTCTTTATCTATCCAGGATATAAGGTTTACGGCGCTGTCTTAATTCGATAGGGTTTGACTTCTGCTGAACATAATCCTTTATGAACTGATGACGGCATTGCGTGTAGAGTTAACCTACTTGACGCTATTTTTTACATGGAATCGATGGTTCTCGAAATTTTCGACCAAAGGCGCTTATCAAAATAGCGGCAAATGCGGCAGTCCTATCTTGACGCCAATCCATAAGAAGCAATATAACCTAACCATGCAAAATCTACTGTCATAAAAACTTGAGAAAAAAGTTACCAATTTCCTGGCCTACTTTATAGAGCAGGAAGTAAGCGAGAGAATAGTTGCAGAGACGGTAATTAATATGGTGATTAAAAAAGTCAATTGAATTTTCGAATAGTCTATCTTGGCTTCACAATCCAATCTACACTCTAGGTCCAACGCAAAAGGGTAGCTTGTTTGGTAGGGCAAGATTTTATTCGAAAACTTGAAACGAAGTATTCGTTAAGGTAGAAGTATAAAGCGGTATATTTTCTATCAGGGAATTTTTTTTTTAATTTTTAATTCGTTTTATTAACGGCTAAATAAAAGTTTGTCTTTAAAAATGCATTTTCTACTATTATTTAATTTCCAACAGCTAATATTTCTTTTCATTTATAGTGCCTTCTCGCGTTACCGATTTGAAGATATATGAAGGATCATCAGAATACACTAGAAGCCTAATTTGGGCTAAACCAGAGAAGAAGTACGGAGCTGTAGAATACATGGTGTCATATAGAGTAAGTATTTTGGATAAAGGGGATCTGATTTGGTGTACGAGATGTGAAAAATATTTTCAGATAACATAGCTATCTGACATTTCAGTAGTTCTTCTATATGTAGATGAACTAAATATACACATTTTATATTCGTTAGATGGAAAGAAGACAGTGCGGTTACTACGGAGAGTATACAAATGCAACGACACAATCGACAGAATTCAAACTAAGAAACTTGAAACCATATTCCCACTATACAGGATACGTTTGGGCAACGACAAAAGCTGGATCTGGGCCTGTGCAGGACTTCCAATTTGATACAGTTCAATTAGGTATGTAATGTTGCAGTCAAGAAATATCTGTCAAGCAAAGCTACCAGTCAACCCATCAAATATGTTTTAGTCAAACCTTGACATATACAAAAAATAAATGATAGTGATCAGGGAGTCTAATAGCAGGAGAAGCGACGGGAAGCACGATCGTGTTGCAAAAACTACCCAGAAACTTGACGCCTGGAGTGTCAGTGGTGCTTTCACAGGGTTGCCATGTTAGGGAATTTTCTCCCAAATCTGGGGGACTTTTACTTGGGGAATCTTTTGGGGATATAATATCCTCGGGGATATCACAGGGTTCAGAGATAGAAAGCATCCCCCTATTCTTCGAACCAAAGCTCCTCCGCTTTATCTTTAAAGGCAAATATGTTTGGGAACAGTGGAGCGCGCCACCAGGTACAAAGTTTCCAAATACTACCTATGCTGCCACATCTAAAGGGTTGATAGAGACAACTGTATTTAAAGACTATTTTCAAAGCAGTTTGCTAAAGAATATTGGTTCAGAACGACCTGTGTTAGTCATTTATGACAGACACGTTATAAATATGGCTATTGAAAACCATATTACCATATAGTACTTCCACCTCATACCAGCCACATACTCCAACCATTATATTTGTGCGTATTTAAATCACTCCACTTCCAAATTTGTTGAATGGGAAAGACAAATGTAGAGGTTACCGCAACGAAAAGTGTTTTCCAAGATGATAGGAGAGATATGGATGGAAACTAGTCCCGAAATATTAGTACGTGGTCTTACTAAAGCGGAGATAGTTCCGTTAAATAGTTCGACAAGAGTCAGTTGATCCAGTGGTTTTCCAACGTTGGCAAAAAACATAATATGGCTAGAGTAGATGAACCTGACCATGACTTAAATCTGCCTAGTACATCAGCAGACATTAATAAAGTAGCAATCACCGTCGAGACAAAGCCCAAGCTCAAGCGCGCAAGAAAATATTTCCATGACTTCCCAAGAACAACAGAAGATTCCGGATGTGTCGTTGAATGAGTTTTTGAGATCAACCAAACATGAAAACAACTCGGGTTCGAAGAAAAGAAAATGTATGTGCTTAGGAGCAGAGGTAATAATACGAACCGATATTGACAGAATTTTAAGCAATAATACAACAAAAATGAGTAAATCAGAAAATAAAACTAAAAGGTATCTGAAAGCAGTCTTGGCGATTTTAGTAATTCTTGGCAAAGCGATTCAAGTGAAGAAGGAATTACTGAAATTGACGAGCCAAGTAAAAGTGATTTGGACGAGTTTGATACAAACGAAACTGGAATTCTGCACTTTGCCCCGCGTAAAACACAACGCATTATTAGCAAAAATAATGTGACAAAGGGGGCTAGTGCGTAACATGAGATTACAAAAAATATATGTATGTAAAATTGTTGAGTAAATACTACTAATCATCTTAATCATATTAGAGAAAAATACCCCTGGTTTGCGAAATAATTGTAAAGTCTGTTTCTATTGGCGCAAGTTGTTCAAGGCAAAACGTGGACGCATAAAATGGGTACACCAATTTTGTGGGAAATTTTTTATTCGTCAACAAAGAATGAGAAAACGTGTTTTTTGAGATTCAATCGAAAGTGTTGGCAGGGTCGAAAAAATTCTTAAACTGCAGTTTTTGGCACTTGTTGGTAATGCGACGATGGTTTCACGCAGATACTTGAAATTCTTCAAATTCATAGGATTCGTACTTCTAAATAACAACAACAAAATTGGAGTAGATTGGTCAAGAAGTTTTTGAGAATTTCTAATTGTTTATCCCAAACCACCTGTTTTTCGGCCATCACTACTAATTTAATGAGCAATATACAGGGTTAGTTCAGAGCGCATTTTATAGCAAATTACATTAGTTTACCGCAAACCCTTCCGGAAGATGAATGTTATTTTTATGCAAGAAGGATGGGTTACGTTTTTTCTTCTAAACAAATTCGACCATCTCGTTTTTGTGAGTAATTAACAACAAAAGATGATAGACATCCGCTTTGTTTTAAAATGTGTATAGTAACGTATGTTTTTCTAATATCGTAGCGCATTTGTTCAATTACCCACAAATACGAAATGTTTGAATTTGTTTAGAAGGAAAAAACGTAACCTTTTTTTCGCATAAAAATAACATTTATCTTTCAGAATAGTTTGTGAGTCATATCGGCAAGGTAAACACGTGTATTTTGCTATTAAATGCTCTTTGAAAGAAACCCTGTATATTGTTCAATAAACTAGTAGATATTGCCGGAAAGCAGGTGTTTTGGGATAAACAATTAGAAATTCTCAAAAATCTACTTGACCAATATACTCCAATTTTGCGTGAAATTATCGTCGCATTACCAACAAGTGTCAAAACCTGCATTATGCCTCGTTTGTCGGTCATAACATTTTTGCTATTCGTCTAATCTTTTTAAGTGTGATCTGATTTTGTAGGTCTCATAAATACCTAAAAATCTTAATAAAAAGTTTTTTCGTTTCCGTCAACAATTTCGATTGAATCCCAAAAACCACGTTTTCTCATTCTTTGTTGTCAAATAAAAAGTTTTCCCACAAAAATTGTACCCATTTTATGCGTCCATGTTTTAAATAACTTCTTGAACAACTTGCACCAATTAAACCAGACTTTACAATTATTTCGGGGAAATTTGCTAATATGATTAGACTATAATGAGTAGGTGAGAGATCGTTATAATATGACAAACCTACGAAAATTCGTAAATTTAAAAGGATCAATTATCATAGCTAATTAAGTATAAACTATGAAATTTTTTTTAGGGTACTGCGCGGAAAATTTCATGATTTGCTTTAGTATCAAACTGTGGTATCAGCACAAGTTGTCAGTTTGTGTTTGTTTGTTGTCTTCTAACCTCAATACTCTGCGCATGCTCAGTAGCCGACCAGTGCTCCCTGAGTTAGGCATCAAGTTTTGGGGTTATCCTGGTATATAGGCTCCATGATAATGATAACGGTGTCGCCATATAGCTACCGTGTAGGAAAAAAAGTTATGTCAAGGTGACCTCAAAAATAAGAACGGGGTCACCTCCAGAACATTTTTAATTTCCAGACCCCGTCCAGGTCCCCGTATTTTTGAAATCGGTGAAAAAGTGGTATCCGTATAACCATCACCGTTGCCATGATGACAATGAGACCTTGTTACACTCAAAAATAGACCGCGAGACTGTGGCAGTTTCAACAAAATTTATATAAAAATCTATATTTTCTTCCTAAGATGGCTAATATAATTCCGGGTGTTTGTACTTAAATGGATATAGTGAAATGGTAGCTGGTATCGGTAAATAAAAAAGTTCTAAAATCAGTTTTTACGGACGTATACAGGATGATTTATCTAATTACGATAAATCTTTAACATTACATATCTTAGGCACTATTGAGCCGATCTTGTTGAAATGTTGCACGATAACATAACTACATCGGAGTAATGTAAAACTAAACAGGCGGTTTTGAAAACCAGGGCTTTAAATCAAAATCAACACGTTTTAAGCTAGACAATGGAATATTTTTCTATGTGCAAAAAAATAATAGTGAACTCATCATTAGGAAACAATAATCTAACCACACCATCAGAAAAAACACTGTAGCCTAGGTTGTAGGATTTCCTTATATAGAATATTCCTGTTTCTTGGTCTAAATTATTGTGAGTACTTTAATTTCTTTTTCCTTTTCGCTCCTGTTTTACCGCGTATTAGCGTTATTATCTCAAGCATGATTAAATTTTCTATACTTTTAGAGAAATTGACCCCAAAAGAGATGCCCAAAATTACCAAAATAGTGCCAGAAAATGGTATAGTGACTATACAGTTTGAACAAATTCCATGTAAGGACGTCAAAGGGCCCATCATAATGTTTATGTCAGCAAGCTGCACTAACAAGTGGTGTACAAAAGTAGACAATACATCGATGGATATTTTGAATAATCAGCAGGCGAATTTGTCAGAGTTACATCCGTTTTCCGAGTATACGTTTGCTATCAAAGCAACTCGTAATGGAAAAGTATTTGAAGACGCTGATTTGAAGAAAATTCAAACACCTGCAACAGGTAGGCAGGGCAAACATATATTTTAATTCATTATAATCTATAGTACTTGTAATAACAGCGGCTTTCATTTTACTACTTACGCCACAAGACGAGGATGTATTGGAATCGCGCAAAATGAAAATGACATGACATGAAGAGTTGCGAATATTATAAATAAAAATCGCTGGAACATAATGTTACAACGTTTCCCGCTCATTCAGACCTGTTAGACATAATAACTCACACATGTTTTTCCTACATTTGCCATGGAAACAGAAATTTAATAGATTTATTTTATATATTTTGATATGTAGAGGTCGAAGATGTAACGAACCTACCTAGTCACGATTTGATTCCGGCTTTTGAAACGAGTTGACTCATCCATTTTCTTTGAAATCTGCAACGAATCGTAGGAAGTATAGAGTCAATCTACTTGACACTATTTTTTTTCTACGTGACAGGTTCCATAAAATCTGTTATTCCCGTGTTTTAGTACCAAAAAAAATTACATCCCTGGATATAGTTTCAACAGATGAAACTTATATCACTCTGCGATGGAAGCCTCCCTATCCACCTACAGGAATATTTGAAGGATATAAGATACGACTGAACAACATAATTTACGGTGTAGACACATGGAGGAATTATGAGGAATCGAAAGTTACACCATGTCATTTATGGAAGAAATATGACTGTATTACGTTAATAAACCTTCCAGAAAAAATAGGTTACCATAGGATCCAGGTAATAGATATAATTATTATGGGTCGCATGAACTTGTCGATACATGCTTCTTTCGTTGAAGACCAAAAACTTGTCCAGGTTTTATTTATAAAATATAATGAAACGTTGCGTCCACACTATACTGTAGGGTAGTCATATAGATACAGAACCACAGAACCACATTTGACCCCAGAGTCTCAACATTCTATATAAAGGGTCAGTTTTTAATGTGGGCTTGACCGTTATTTCGCACGGTATCTAAAAAAGATTATTACAAAAATTGTAGCAAACAGTAAGCCCGTAATTTGGAAATTATTTCATTTCTAGAGGGTGATACATAACTACGTGGTGACCCAAATATACACTTTATAAATGGAAAGACCCACACTTTATTACAGATTCGGATAGCCACTTTTAAATTAACAATTTGACACAGCTTACTATAGGGTTTTATTTCGAGATTGTTAGTATATTGTACAATCTACCGAAAAAAACATACAACTTTGACCTCCGTAACTACTGAATTTTTTCTCAGCTGAATTCTGTGATCCCAAATTTTCTTCCAATCTACTCAGTGTTTCAGTTTTTTTGATAGACTATACAGGGTGATATTGTAGAGCCAACGGCAACAGTGGTAGAGGTGCCTCCATTAGTGATTTTTCCTCAAAGCTTGTCATGGGCATGAGATTTGTATTTGACCTTCGATATAAAACGTAGTACCTGATGATACAACTACAATTAGTAGTCTATATTAAAAGTATCTTCTGAGTGGAAACAGCAATACCCAATTCATGTCTGTGTGTGTGCGAGAGCGAGTAGCAGCTATTTACATATTTCGTTTGATATTAAGATGTTACCGACAAAAGCCGTGATAAGAACTTTGCACTCAGTGACTTTTTCCACAACCTCAAAATGCAAAGCAACTGAAGTTGAAACTGGGTTGAGGTTGAGTTGCTGTCGGGTTGCCTTTGGTGAGAACAGTGCCTTAGGCCACGATGGTACCTACTCCGAGGCAGTTGGATGGCTATGAGAGAGCACAAATTGGAAAAATATCCATCGCGAATTTAGTTTTATATCACTAAGACGATGAAGACTTTTATAAAAGAAGAAAGTTGTCAGTATTCACTCACCCAATCCATCTGAAGTATGGCGAATTCTGCCATCTATACACTGATCTCAGGAACCATCCCGAAAATTATCTGGAAGCAAGTTACTCCAGAGGCCATGTGACCACAGGGTAGGTAACTTATTCGTTTTAAAACCAAACATAAACATATGAAAATAGCTTTATTAGGAAAAGATGAACATACGTTTGGAAACGAATATTGAATATTATAGAATAATATCCTACCGATACAGATAGTATCGGTTGCTTTTTGCATCTAAATAGTCTATCTGTATTATTGAGTTCCGATGGAAAATTCATGATTGTAGGACGTAGAAGTACTTTGCATTTGTTCGTGTTTCTTATAGGCATCACTGACATGTTTCTGTAACTTCTCTCTTAGATCAAGCTTTTCTGACAATGTCAAATGTTCCATGAATGGTAGCAAACTCATTAAAAAGTGATAGTCGGTACTAGTAGCGTTTTGCATAAATTGTTTATCAGCTTCTGAAATCTGTTGTAGAATCTGTATCTTTTTATTTTCCAGTTCCAACCTCTCCATATCAACTTGGTCGTACTGGCGTTTGCTACATTTGCGTTTTGATGGGCTATTCTGTCGATTTGAAGGCACTGGAGAATGATGAGAATGTTCAGAGTCTGGAGAAAGGACGGGTGCATCAAATAGAGACGAGTGAAGTTCACATGGTTTTTCTTCTATATGCATGGTTGTATCACCATCGCTTTCATCTTCAGAATTCTGACACGTTGTGAGGCTGCTTGCCGCATGGGCAGCTAATATAACATTTTTTAAGAAATACATCATGTCGAAATACTCCCAGGATGACTTCCAACCTTTAACAGGGTCTCCAGAACTCGTCTTAGGCATTTTTAGGACTTCCTTACGCATTTTGGATCGTAAATTTTTCCACTTGCTTTTTATCTCAGCAACTGAAAACAACAAAAAATATTACTAAGCCTTCTGCGGCAGCGTCGAGCAATCAAATGTAAAGTGACAAAATAATATAAATGTAAGAACTTCTTATCCCTGTGACTGTTATGTGCTTTGAGATAAACCAACAGGTGTTAAAAATTGTTTTTAATGATTTTATTGGCAATTTTGCCAAAGTATCGGCGTTTATTTTACTCCTTCCTCGGTCTACAAATAATGTGAAAAAATACATTTGAAATTTTAAAATTGTCAATATAACAATGAAGTGCAAAAAAGTCAATTATTGGATGATCGCAGCCATGAAGAAGCACCAACTATTACACGAAAATAAGCGGAACGCTCTGGTAAGGAAGCAGTGGACACAGAGGAAGCATCAGCAACAAGTAAACCAACGGCCATAGTCAATCTTTCATCGAAAAAACTTAACGACACAGTCAATACTCCTTGCAAAAGGTCTTGATTACCCCAGTGGAAACACCCAAATTAGACATAATATGTGCAGTGGAAACAGCATCTACAAAAACGAACGACACAGACAGAAGAATCCAGATGGAAAGTGAGATCGGTTTTGTAGGGGAGAAATTCAATAAAAAAAATGAAATCAAACAGGAACAACGTGCTCTCAAGACACTGAAACAAGACATCTCTATAACAATACTGCCAGCAGATAAGCGGAATCCCACATCATGGATACCAAGAAATGTGTTTATCAGGTGTCATGTCAATGCGGACAGATGTAGACAATACAAACATAATGACCACTCTACGAAAAAACAAAAAAGCATATATCCAACACGGAACGGGGAGAAACAAATACATCTGGGATGGCAGATCACACTTGGACAAAGCACCCGATTATACCTCTTAGACAAAACAACATACTGTCACCGGAGAACATTCAAGGAAGCGGTCGTCATAATGACGAATGAAAATGTTTACGGTAATGCAATTGTGGAAATTGAACCAGTCTGACAACCGATTGTAAGCAACATCAAACAATTGCAACTCAATCAACCAAAACGAGGGACACAACACAACCAACCACCGGTCACGACAGCAAACGGTACAAATAGTCAAACAAGGGGCATGTTCGCCAGTTCACCTTATGACGGTTAAATATCACATCAATCGAAACGTCGTGAATCAAAAAACCCTCATAGACAATGAAAGCCCGAGAAACAACAGCTCAACCATCCAAATTATCAATAAATTTCCAATAAGAATAAATGGTGAGAAAAAGTCCTTCAGCAGCCCTTTACGTTACTGAAACTGCCGCCTATAAGAGCATGTAAAGGTTGTCCCATAAATAACCCTGGTGAACAAAATTAAAATAATGTTTTGTGACATGGACAAAACAAGGTGGTTATTATGTAAAACGTACACAAAAAACCGGAAATAGCATTCGATTTTTTCTATCACCCACGGTTTTCTGGCAATAAGGCATTTTATTTGCTGCTTATACTCGTTAAATATAAGGATATGTGTGTAAGGGTACTAATAAACACTCAAATAAACATTAATCTCATAATGTTGTTTTCGATGTTTTACGGCGATATGTTGCTCCTGGAGTATCTCTTAAAAATGTCCAGCAATAATCAGCAAGCACTCCATTTGCCTTGATACCGTTTTTCCATAGCAGAAATGTCTTGATGGAACCGTTCACCATGTTCATCACTTACCGCACCTAAATTTTCCGGAAAAAAATCGAGATGAGAATCCAAAAAGTGAATTTTTAGAGACATGTTACATCCCATTCCTTTATAAGTATTAATTAGTTCACTGACAATATCTTTATAATTGTCCGCCTTCACATTGCCTAAAAAATTTGGAGTAACTGATTTGAAAGCATTCCAAGCTCGTAATTCAGTTTCATTTAGAGCATTGTCAAATTCAACATCCTTCGTGATTTTCCGTATTTGTGGACACACAAATATGCCCTCTTTAATTTTTGCCTCACTAGGTCTCGAAAATGTTTGTTTTAAATACAGGAACCCTCTTCCATTTCGATCCATAGCTTTCACAAAATTTTTCATCAGTTCCAACTTAATATGCAAAGGTGAAAGCAACACGTGTTTCTGATCAACTAGTGGTACATGAGCAACATTTTTGAGGCCCGGACTTGATACCTGACGTAGTGGCCTCTCCTGTTCGTAATGACGATCTCGCACACGACTGTCCCATTCAGAAAGAAAACAACAATATTTGGTATATCCCAGTTGCATTCCAAGAAGAAGGGATATTACCTTTAAATCTGCACATATGGCCCATCCATATTCATTATAACGGATATCCTCTAACAGAACTCGCATATTTTCATATGACTCCTTCATACGAACTGCGTGCGCTATAGGTACACATGGATATTCATTACCGTTGTGTACCAATACCGTTTTTAAACTAAGCTTAGAGGAATCAATAGCAGGCGCCAATCATTTGGATCATGTTTCTGTCCTAGCGCATCAAGCAAATTGTTGACATTGGAGCAATATATCAACTCCCTTCCTTGACGGAAACAGTGTGTGAGGTTTTGTTGCCGTTTTCGGTAAAAAGTAACACTACTTGTGTTAACATCACCGTGGAGAAGATTCCATCCTTCTAATCTTGACGCTAAAGGTTCTGACTGGGATTTTGACAGATTTAATTCTCGAACTAAGTCATTAAGTTCGCCCTGTGTGATCAAATGCGGCGCTGTTGAACATCCTGGCAAGTCAAACGAAGGATCGGAAATTTTTACGCTTTCTGTACCATCACTTTCAGAATCGGTGGATTCGACTTTTTCATCCAAAGACCAAGATTCTGGTGGAACTGGGACAGAAAGTTCATCACTATGCTTAAAGGGACGCAGAGCTGATGGTAAATTAAGATACTTAACAGTATGTTTCGATTTTGGTCCAATGCCTTTAATATTTGTGAGGTAAAAATAGCAATCAGTAGTATGGTTTCTCGGTTCTCTCAAAACCATTGGTACCGAGCATTTTACGATTGTCGCCTCTTAACCAACCTGTCAACAACGTTACACAAGTCTTACAACATATATGGGGGCCCATAGTTTATCTTCGACGCCAACATTAATTCCAAAATAAAGTTCGTATGATTTCAACCCAAGGGGGGTAAAAGTACGGTTTTGGGATTTACAAGTTAGCTCTCCGCACACAACAAAAACTGTTCGCACTATTTACACAATTTCTAGTCATTGTCCATAGTCTCGATCACAATAAAGTAAAAACAACACACCGCTTTAACAAAAATTAACAGTACTCAGAACATCTCAGTACTCTTCAACACAGAAAACGTAACTGACTCGGTTGCTATTAGTCTACTAATAAGCGGAATATGCTCTCTAAACATACAGCTCGCATATAATAAACAAGAATAGACAGGTCTTAACATTATATATGTCAACAACCCCACAACCACCCGTGCATTACAAGGGGAAATTAAATGATTCGTCAACGAAATTCAGCCACCATTATGCAGAAAGGTCATGAAAAATTCCGACAAAAAGTGCGTATGTGCCAGCAAAGTCGTGGACACCATTTGCCATTTGTGATATTCCATAATAAGTACTTTATGGTTCCATGAAAAATAACAGTCTAAAGACTTAAAGCTGTGTTTTCTATTTGATTCTAAACTTTCGTTAATTTTGGGACACCCTTTATAAAGCGAGAGACGGCTCCTTCCAGGAGATGTTACCGCAAACAATCTTTCAGTATTTTCGGTAAAAGTGCAGAGGGCCAATAACATCATGAGATCATATTTAGAATACCCGCTCATCATAGCTATGAAGGAAGAAACAAATAGATAATAATTTTGCCTCATAGTTTCGAATTTTTCATAGACGGATTCTTTTCTAATGAAACAGTAGGGCGGGAATATGTATACCTGGAAGGCAAAAGCGTTGAGGAAGCTTCGCGCTTGAAACCTACACAAGTCTTCCAGGCAGAGGTGTTTACCGACTTAATGGTGCCACACTTAGAGGTGCTGCAACAGTGCACCGAGTGGGGCATATTTATGTGCTCAGGAAGTCAAGCAACCCTGAGGGAGTGCCGGATAACGAGACAGCCGATTATCTGGCTAGACTAGATTAGGTATATAGGTCAACGCCACATTCAATGAATTTTTTTGTATTATTTAAATCTTGCCACTTTACGGTGGCCGCCATATTGGATTTATAATGACATCGCAATTCTTGTTACGTTTCTCTCATAAGGCCCTTCAATTTGGTACGTATATCATGAGAGTCATTATGATAATTGTTAACGCCATCTTAGGCGGTCACCATATTGGATTTAGACTGAACTCACTGTGCTTATTGCATTTTTCTCATCAAGCCCTTTCATTTGATACCCATATCATAGGGGTTACTGTGGAAACTATCAATCGCCATTTTGTAGCATCCGCCATATTGGATTAAAAATGGCTGCAGCAATTCGTTTTGTGGTGCCTCGCAAACCAAACGTGTGTACCAAATTTCGGCTAGATTAGTTAAGGTTATCTTCAAAATTAAGTTATAAGATTTGTCCCACACCTACATACTAACAAAAAAAGAACAGGTGAAGTTAAATAAAAGTTTGTAGAAAGACCGGATTGATTCATAAATACTGAGATTATCTCAATCATTTACCTTGTCTTCTCATAATTTGTGCTATCTCACGCCACTTCTTGTCTACATAAACACTGCTTTTATAATTTGGATCGGCATCATTCCATATTGCAGGTCTTGACTGGATTTCACTTATCAAGACCTCGCGATCTTTTCTGGATATTGTACCAGCCATTTACACGTAGGTACTCACACTGAAGGATACAAATTCCTACTGCGAATATTGCCGAGTCGTCGGGTGGCGTCGCCCGCATTTGCCGCATTTTGCAGATGCAGGTGGCAATGCCGCGTCACCGCCGCCTCGTGTCCCGCCACCTATGTCGACTACAAACGAGTAGGGGAGAGCTGGGCAAAGGAAATATCCCCGATTACAAACAAACCACAGAATAAGTAAACCAGAAGCCCCACTCAGGCAATTTTCAGACACCGCCAGACAAGCGATCGGCTATCGAGGCTCAAAGCACCGCTGCTTACAGCGTCAGTTGTTTCCAATAAGGAATTTCCAATAGGCCCCGAAGAATCATTTATATTAGACCAAACCAGAGCTACTCTTAGCAAGGCAAGATCATATCATTAATTGGTATGGATGACTATTCGATAGTTTCTCATATTCAGAACTTGCTTGTTGGAAATAAGCGAGTAATTTAGTAAAACGATCTACTCACTACGAGTGAGAGTTGAGTAATTTGTACAATGCATGAGTCCGAATACATCAACAAGATGATATAATGTATATCGAGATGTGCTTACTAGGCAAATCCTCTGGTGATTCTGTCTGAATTGTACCAACGTTAAGTATGAATATTTTTACGTTTTATTACAGTCTGATAATCTATTTCTGTAAAGCAGCTATGAAGCGAATTGTAGCAGCGAAAAACACCGGTAGCGACAAAAACGTATGACCTATACCAATAAGTTGATCAGCAGAGTAACCGTATCGCGTCGGTGACTGTGCTAATCACGTGAAACAATGAAAACGAATATTTCGTTGCTTCAGTTAGAATTCAGTATACCAGGGCTGTCCAACTTAATGTGGCCCAACGGTCACTTCAAAAAAAATGCAGTTTGGAGGGCCGCATCATAAAATCTTTCTATACAACATTATTACTGAGTTTTAATAGGTATATACTATATATATGGTATACAAAAATAGTTTTTCAATTATTTTTATTTATTCAAAAAATATGAAATTACAAAAAATCAGTGGGACATTTGAGGATGTTGGTTTTCTAATACTAATGCATCAATATCAACATTAATATTTGTTGTTGATAAACGAAGTAACTGAGTAAGTGACTTATCAGAGAGGGAACATCTATACTTTGACTTGATAAATTTCATGTTGGAAAAGCTGCTTTCGCAAAGATACGTGCTTCCCATCATTGATCCCATTGTAAGTCCTAAGTTTCGCAAGTTGGGGTATCGTTCTCCTGGCAGTAACTTAAAAAAGTCCAAGCCAGTTTCAGTTCTTCCTTGGTAAAGAGGATCTGATTGCAAATCACACAATTCCAGTTGAAGGTCTGCTCTGCTTACGTTCTCAACAGAAATTGTTAGTGGCTGAGTAAAAACTGAAATGTCGCTTTCGATTTTTTTAAAGTCACTAAATCGGTTTTTGAATTCTTCTGCAATTGCGTCAATGTATTTTATATGAGGTAAATATGAAACTTCCTCAAAATCCTTCATTTCTTCGAAATGTTCTTTACAACTTGGAAAAAATGAAAAATCTTTTTTTTGTAATGAAGACTTGAAAAGCTGAATTTTATTCTTAAACCCACTTATGTGTCCAAATAAGTTGGCAATATTCTGCTGTTTTCCTTGTAGCTTCAAATTCAATTCGTTAAGGTGAGATGTCATGTCTGTTAAAAATGCAAGGTCTGCTAAAATTTGTGCATCTGTCATTTGATTTTCCAGTTCCGTAGTGTCAGACTTCACTTCATTTTTAAGGGAAATAGGAATTTCCTTGCGTAGAGCGAAAAATCGTTGCAAACACTTTCCGGCGCTTAACCAACGAACATCGGTGTGAAGTAACAAGTCCTCACTTCGGCCAAAAAATCACGAAACTTTCTGTGAGTCAAAGCACGATTGCCTCCTCTAACAATATTAGTTATTTTAACAACCACTTTGAAGACATTTATTTGACGTAAAGATTTTCCACATAAGCTTTCTTGGTGAACAATACAATGTATCATAGGACAGTTGATGCTGTTTTGTTTCAATAGTAGTGCAAATCCAATTTCAGTCCCTGTCATAGCTCTGGCGCCATCAGTGACAATACAGGAACATTTATCAAATACTCCGTAGTCTGACACCAACTTATTCACAGCTTCAAAAATATCTGTACCCTTGGTTGTACCATGGAGAGGAATAAGGTCAAGCATCTCCGCTGCTACACTGAAGTCGTCTTGAATAGTTCGGATAAAAATGACAAGCTGGCTAATGTCAGACAGATCAGTGCTTTCATCCAGGCATAGCGAAAAATATTTACATTTTTCAACCACGTCACGCAATTTTTTGGATACACGTTCATTGATATGGTCCACCCGTCTTGCAATTGTTTGATGCGATACTGAGACTGTTTCAAATTTTTCGGCAACTTTTAATTTATTGAATTGTTTCGCCATTTCTATTGCACACTTTTTGATAAGCACTCCATCACTAAAAGGTTTTTTGTTTTGGCAATTTCCAGCGCTATTTTGTAAGAGAGGGCAATACTGCACTTGTTATCAGAGTCCGATTTTTTGAAAAAACTTGTTTGTTGTTTTAGTTTTTTCTTGTAATCCGTTATGATAGCCTGCCTCGAGTCCCCTGAATACTGGCGAAACGTTTTCTCGTGTAACGTAGTGTAATGTCGTTTCATATTATATTCTTTAGGAACCGATAGTACTTGCATACAAACAATGCACTGAAGTTTATTATTGTTTGAGATTAAATATTCTGATTCCCAACGGTCATTATAAACTTGATGTTCTTTCGTTATTTTTCGTTTCTGTGAAGACATATTTCACAGAGTATTTCACTTTAGAGTTGCTGTGTACTGAAACGCACTATACTATAACTATCTAAAACTGTAATGACTCATCGATGTTCACGTGAACATCACTTAACTACCAGTAGTCGGCTGTTCATAGGCGGGGTATGAATGTTTAACATGGGTGAACTAGATTTGTCACATGCTTAATAAAGAGTGGTTTGAAACATATTGTAAGTCAAAAATTTGGGAATTACCTTTATTCATCGTCGCTTCCACTTACATCTGACAGTAATAAACTGTCGCTATCGCTTTCCTCGTTGAAATTGACTATAACTGGCTCTACGATGGTGTCCATGTGGTGGTCAAGCTGCCACATTTTTGTTTCTTCCTTCACAACATGACGGATAGCGTTCTGCCAAGCTTCGGACGTTACTAGCTGTATGGAAGTCTCAAGTAAAACCTTAACGTCTGGTAATTTGAAGGTTGTGTTATGGTGCGCAATATAACCCTTCACTTGAGCCCAGATGAGCTCTATTGGGTTCAGTTCACAGTGGTAGGGCGGTAACCGCAGCACAGTGACACCACTTTGACGGGCCATCTCATCAGTCACGTAACTAATGTTTGCAGGTTTGTGCTGTTTAATTTTTTCATACAATTCCGCTTTCACACATGAATCGTCAAACGGGATTCCTTTTTCGCGCAACCATTGCTGCATGTCACTTTTTCGAGATCCCATAGTCGGTACACGTTCGGCTCGACGACTATGGTAGGAAGCATTATCCATGACGATCACAGAGGTGGGCTCAACTCGCTGAAGCACCCCTTGAAACCAGCTCTCGAAGCAGCTGGCATTCATTTCGTCATGGTAATCACCTCCTTTCTTAGAGACGAATATCAAGTCACACTCTTCTAAAAAGCCACTATCGCTACCAATATGAGTTACGATCAATCTTTGACCTTTCCCTGACGGTCCACGAAGACCTGTTGACAAACCTTCAATGCTTGCTTGTCGGTTACTCACTACGTTTTTGTCTATCCAGGTTTTTTTAACTGTGTGACCTGCATTTACCCATGTCTGGTCCAAATAATAGATTTTTCTGCTTTGTCGCCTATATTCAATCATTTCGCGTAGGTATTTTCGACGCCAGGCGACTATTTCAGGTCTCTCTATCAATACTGACTTCCGATTACGCGTTTCGTAACGAAAATTAATTTCGTGCAGGGATTTCCTCATTACCTCGACGCTCATTTGGGGTATAATTTCATTTTCCTTGATCGCTGCATGTACAGCCTTGAGGGTTGGTATCTCACTCCTAAAGAAGAATGAATGTACAGTTCGCCTTAACGCCATTTTGCTATCGTCATCCAATTTAACGGCCTTTCGTCCCTTCAAATTAAACTTTGGATCAGTAGTAGCTCCAGTTTTCTTCTTTTCATGCACCACCCTGCGAATGGTCCACTCTGGAACGCCTGTCATACTTTCACAACGCGCGAGTGCATCTCCCTGCGACATAGTTCTGTTCAGATAATTGAAAACGTTGAGCACGATTTCTTTCGCGTCCCTCTTCAGTGCTTTACGAAGCCGTCTACTTGTTCCCTGGCTTTCAGTACTTCCACTCGTGCCATTTGTACTCTCCATGGTTGAGTATAACCAAAACAGTAACCACAGAAACCACAACAATAACAATCACACAACAATTCTTATAAAAACACACAATATGCGATCGCTCAACGAAACACGTTCCAATGCGTTGCCGTCGCCTATGAGTCTGCCGGTCGAGGCGCGTCTTTGATTTCATTGGTTCTACCGGCGGAGAATAATCAGCCATTATTTCCATCTCTGTCTGTGCTGTTGACCACCGCAAAGCCACAGAAACTACATATGTCGTACGCTATACGGCTGTACTGGAAGGAAGCCGGGATCGAGATCTGATCACGTGTTGATCACGCGTATGAGTCATTACAGTTTTAAATAGTTGTAGTATAGCACTAGAACAAAACTGCCTGTCCCGCTTGATTCAACCTTCTTATATACGCGCCCGTGGCTTCTCGAATATTCGGGGATGATCAAGAGATCGGTCCAATTTCCAGTAAATTCGCTGCGGCCTGCTATCGGTCGCCAGTGGCGTCACATGTTATTGTATTTTATCGTTAATGTAAGAATTGTGCATATTCGGTATTTGAGAGTAATTTATACATGTGATGTATACATGACCCGTGAAGCGGGCCGCAAGAAAGGAGTTCGCGGGCCGCATGCGGCCGGGCGGGCCGTATGTTGGACAGCAGTGCAGTATACCATACTCGCTTCGATGTTAAAGTGAAGACCAATAGTTACGATCGGGCATAGGACCCACTGAAAAGAAGCCTTGTTGTTTGTTTTTAGTCGATGCATAAACTAAAGAGATGAATTATTCTGTGTCTTGTTCGATCTACCTTGCGCTACAAGAGCTTTCATAACTGCAATGGACAAGTTTACCATTTTTTTTTGTTATAAGCTCAAATGAAGTTTTAGGAAAAATAAAACAAGATGGTGAAAAAATTATTAATTTATCTCTAAAAACAATGAAGTTACAGCATATCAAAGTTGCGATCCGCGAGAATATTTTTATTCAACCTGAACGCGACGCGTGACGTCACACTTCGCTATCCAGTTACGACGGCCGTGGTCACACATGTAATTAGTTGCCTACATACAGTCGTCTAAATGCAAAACCCGACAAGTCCATTTAACGGAAATCGCAAACAACGTTTATAACGTCTATTTGTCTTAACAGAAACCAGCAAATTGAAACAAAATTTTATCAAAAAAAGTGTGTAACGAAAAATTGGTTCACAAACATATGTTATAATTAATAATTACTTAAATTAAGATTAAAGTTTGGACTTGTCGGGTTTTGGTTATTAACTTTGGCTAAAACAAGGCGAATCGGCAAAACACGAACAAACTTTTGGATTATTTTATTACAAAGTAGTATTAAGAAAATGCACATTCCAAACAACATAAAATTTGTGTTTTTTAAATATCAAAATCTAAAGTTTCTTCTAAACAAAACAACTCTGTATTGGCCTCATTACCATCTCGTGAGGTTGAAGTGGATGGGAGAGGAAGTTCATCGAAGGCACTTTTGAAAAATGATAAGGCTTCATCATTTCGCCAATTACTTCCGTAATGTTTTGCAATCAAATTACTGATACTCTTCTTCTTATCCGATTTCAATGGCAGTCCAATGTCTACAGTGCTTGGTTTGATGTCCAACTTTCTTCCTCTCCTCAGCAGCGACTGGTTGGTGCCCATGTCATTCTTATAGAAACTTTCACCTCTTACTGCATAACCGGTTTGAGTTTTTGAAATTATGATGCGTTTGGACACTTACAACTTGAAATGCCACTGTGATGTTGGTTTCATAACTATCTGAACTTTTGACTTCCAGTCCTGTACAGGAACATCAACTCCCAACTTGTAGATGCTTCCCCACTTCTCTATTACTTTCATGTATTGTTCTGGACTTGTAATTTCAGGTGACTTTTTAATAACCTTCTCAATTTGTCCAAATAGCCTATCTGGTGGAATATAGGAATACCCCACAACCGGAAAAAATATTTCAATTTTGTCTATGTTGGGGGTATTGCACTTTAATAACCAATGGGATAACATCCCAATGACGATGGAGTTCTTATTTTGCGCACCGCAACCATCACAAAAAAGGCGAACGACTTTAGTAGATTCGCTAAATTTAAATGTGCTGAGAGTATGATATAATGCTGATGCTATTTCATTGGATCCCCTTTGATGATCTAGTTCAGTCCATACATAGGAATTGACTGAAGTTGGACTTATTTTTCCTTTAGAAGTCCCCTGTACAATTGCAAAGTGATAAAAGTTTAGCTGCATACTGAAGTAGGCTGCTTGATCTGCGATTTTTGGCAGAGCCAGGTTTTTTTGACAATCAAAGCTGAATGTAACAACCTCATTGTCAGCATGGACTTCTTGCAAAAGCTCATAGAAGCACTTTGCTCGAATTTTGTGAGCTCGCTGTTGAGCCATTAATCGATTCTTTGTGTTGATATCTAATGACTTTTTTATTTGGTCTTGAAACTGCAGGCATGTTGAACACATGTCAGTTGTAGGAGTACCAAAGCCAACATTGTATTTTCTGGTGAAAAAGTATCTGAAAAATGACTCCTTAACCTGAAGATCTTTGTCCACGGTATTGTTAAACATTCTCCAAAGTTTCCTGATATTTAGTTCTGCAGGCAAATAAACTCTACTGAATGTCTTAGATCGGCAATAATGAGACTCTATGCACTTCAGTGATTTTATAGCCGCTCGCTTTGTGTTATTTTTACCTTTTGTCCGATCACCTCCACGTCGTTCTTTGGGCATTTCATTGCTTTCCTTGTACCGTTTTACTACATTCAAAATCCTGTCTTTCTTCACTCCCAGAATGTTCATGAAACTCTGTCTGCAGACATTAACCATTATCCCATGTCTTCTTTTCACATAGTATTTCACTGACATAGATTTCGGCTTATTTTTTTCTTGTTCTCGTTTTCTTGATCTTTTGGGATCAGTAACGCTGCAGTGCTTCAATATAAAATTGTCCTGGGTGATTTTCTCTGATGTTTTGTAAAATGAGTCATAAAAAATTTTTATATCTCTCATGGTCAGCAGTGATATACATTGAAAGGGCTGGTACGGCTTACCTACATGCCCACATTTTGGAAATTTTGGCAATAATTTTGCAGAATATCTAAAAAAATACATACAAATAAATTACTATTGCTACCGTGTAACAAGTATCTAAAGGGTGTTCAGATAAGGACGCTCGAAAGTTAAAATGGAAAAAAAAGGAAAAAAAATTAAGTCAGCACTAAAAGTCTATATTGATCGTAAATAGCATTCGACGACATTATGTATGGAAGATTATATCGTTTAAATGGCCACCGCGACTGCGCTGTACAGCGTGCATTCGCATGGTCCAATTTTCGAGCACTTTTCCGCACATTTCAGCGTCTACCTGTCCGAGGACGCGAATGATGTTGGCCCTTAATGCTGCAATTGTTTGTGGCTTATCCGCATACACTTGAGACTTCACGTAGCCCCACAGGAAAAAGTCTAAAGGCGTTATATCGCACGATCTTGGTGGCCAGTGCACATCGCCGCCGCGCGAAATAATGAAACCGTTGAACTTTTCATGCAGTAAATCCAGCGTTGCGCGTGCGGTGTGGCACGTAGCGCCGTCCTGCTGGAACCAGATGTCTGTTAGATCCATATCGTCCAGTTGAGGCCACAGGAAATCATTAATCATGGCGCGATACCGATCTCCATCGACCGTAAGCGCGTTGCCCATAGCGTCCTCAAAAAAATATGGACCGATTACGCCGCCAGCCCAGAAACCGCACCATACAGTCACTTTAGCAGGATGCATAGCAATTGAGCAAGTCACTTCAGGATTTTGGTCAGCCCATATACGGCAATTCTGTTTATTGACATACCCATTCATCCAGAGATGCGCCTCGTCGCTGAAGATGATTTTTCGTGCAAATGCAGGGTCGACTTGCAACTGCTCTAGAGCCCATGCGGCAAATGTACGGCGCTGTCCATGGTCTTGCGGTTTCAATTCTTGCGTCAATTGAATTTTGTATGCGTGCAATTTCAAGTCTCGACGCATAATTGTCCATGTTGAGGTCTTTGGAAGGGCAAGTTCTTGTGCACGTCGCCGCAATGACTGATTCGGGTCTTGACGCACGCTCTCTCGCACAGCAGCAATATTCTCGATTGTTCTTACTGTTCGTGCCGTACGGGTGTTGTTTGGTCTGCCACTGAGCCAGTTCTCTCAAATTTATTGAGCAGACGTCGAATAGTGGACTCAGCAGGACGGCCATGCGCACCATAAATTGGACGCAATGCGCGGAACGTTTCACGAACCGAACATCTGTTTTGATGATAAATTTTCACAATTTCCACGCGTTGTTGAATCGTGTACTGCTCCATGATTAAATGTCAAGACTAACTTAATAACCTCACAAAATTTGACAGCTGTATCCCCACCGGTTTGGGCGCGCGCGCCGTTCAAACATCGAGCGTCCCTATCTGAACACCCTTTATTAGCTTACCTGTTGCGTTTTGCATTTTCCCGCTTAGACGGCGTTTTAACTTTCTTTCGAGATCTATTACCTTCCGATGGTAGTATATTATATTTTTCGCAATGCAATTCACTCATATTTTAGGCTAAAATACCATCAAACTAGATCGCACAACCTTAATCATTCGAGACTCAACGCAAAATAAACATGTGCATGCAAGTCAGGGCGACAAACCTCGATTGCAACACGTGATTGACCAAACACGAATTTCATTGGTCGACATGGACATGTCGGTATTTGAATTGAAACGATGCGTGGACATGTCGGCTTTTGCATTTCAAGGGAATTTTCTGTATTAAAAATAGCGTGTTAGAAGTCGGGTCTCGCCCTAAAAATATTTCAAAGCTCATTTCACTGTACACGCGGATTTGGGGATTTGGGATTTGGGTACAGATCACTTACCTTAACTCGGCGAGAATACCTGTGAGCTAATATATATATATATATATATATATATATAGTGTCACTTACCCCCCTAAAAAGACGTCAAGTAGGTTGACTCTGTACTGCATCATGTGCAATGTTACTACGTTCATATATATTTAAGGGGATTTTAGAAAAGTAACACCATCAAATTCGGTTACTTCAAATTTCGACTTTGAATGCCTTTTAGGTTAGGATCCTCTACTACGTCTAAATTTGGAGAACTTTAATAAACTGAATACTACTGCCAACTTTAGATAGCGCCGGATTCATCCAGTAACATTCTACCGAAGTACTTGCAAGTTCCTCGCTTCTTTTCAAAAGCCGGATCAAAAACTTTATTGTATGTTTACATCCACCAAGCTTAGCAAGCACAATAAATGACCCAGAACAGTTCCAATTTTTTCCTCACTTTCGTCACAGACCAATCTGCAGTGGTAAGGCGTAGCTTTCACTTTATGTTCAGGTTTAACTGTGCATTTTACAATGCATTTTGTACCTTCACGTTTCAACCGAACATAACCAATAGCATCTTCACGATACGAATCTCTGCCTGCCCTGGAAAATATTGTGTAATATTCTCAAATCTGTACTCAAATTAGGCATCAACACCAATTTGTTTAAAACCTCATTAGGGTATCTCACATTTTACAGGTAGCTGTGATAGTATAACAATAGGCATAAATCCTTTCTTCCAAAGTTTAGCACATTTTACTTCCGCGCTTGTATATGATGGATTTGAATGAATAAATTCCACCACTGCATAATTGTCAATTTTGGGCAGATTTTCACTTAACCCTTTTACAAATCCGGCTTCCATAATGGTACGAACTTACCACTGGCGGATTTAAAGGAGGGCGCGGGGGGCAGCACCATTGTGTTACTTTCTGGCACATCATGGCGACGGAGGCATACTAACTATAAGTTATAGCTATAGGAACTGAGCATTATGATTTTTTAATATCCTTTGGTATTCCAAATGCTGTCCCTCTTTGATATCACTTGTTTACAGCACAACTCTTACGATTTATACGTATATACGAGTATTGTGATTTTTGACAAATCTAAGTCTGGGTAATATATTGCCTATACAGATTGCACTTAAAAATTGATTTATGTTCTGTTTGTTGCTCAATAGTAATTTGAAAAGTGTGTAAAGCTTGACTGATTTTGTTCAGGGTTGGTGTTGCAGCGAAGCACTTTGTTAGATGAATGCCTAAATTGGAGATAGACAGTTATGATATTTGTTTAGCGGTGTGCCTGTGGCCTGTCTAGAAACTGCGTCCATCGATGCTCAAAATCAATACCACACATTCCGCATTTCTTCTCGCGTATGTGTCTATTTATGTTGCTATATTGAATTCGTTTAAATCACAGAGCTGCTGCACTATACGTGAATATGTACAGCCCTGTTTTCCTGTACTTGTTCAATACAAACACACATTATCAAAATATTTACGATCTAACAGATATAGTTTTTTTTAAGGATTTCCAACATGCGATCAACACCGGTTCGAAAACTGAGAGAACAACTATGCCGTAAATCTAAGTTCGACAACGATAGTCTAAAAAATAACTGTAAAATCTATATTGAATTTGAAAAACTCCAAAACCCTACTGAGCGTTGCCGTGGCAAATGCTTGTTCCGGAAGTTATTGTATCCAGCATACAACTTCTTCCCGTACAAATGATTGTACACGCGTTAAGGAATACCTCAGTATCGATTGCCGGGTGGCGGTACAAGTCCGCCAACGGACCACTTTAGGTCTATTTAATATCATTAACACGCAAAAAGAAGGTCGTAGACTAGGACCAGTCGACCGGGGCGGTACCACCCTATAGCTTTTCCCAGGGTGTCTTATAAATGTCTGCATGTTTCCACACCTAAGATATTCAGTCGGTTATCTTCCAAAACAAAGAGATTAATGATGATGGATCCCACGAGTACTAAGAATTCCGGATGTAAGCTCACTCCACTCTCAGAATGTCCGGGTGGAGGGTGGACTCGAGGGAACAGCATCGAAGATAAAATTTGTTTCACGAACATCTGCGGGATTAACAGCAACACTGATGCTGTTCATCACTACTTGCAATCCAATCGTCCCGCCATGCTTTTCTTGGCCGAGACAAAAATCTCAGAGTCCGAACCGATTGACCATCTTAGCTTACCAAATTACGAGGTGCACTCCAATCTGAGAAAGAACGGGAGAGTTGTGGCCTTTGTCCGCAGTAATATTTCCTGCTGCAGAGATGTTTCTCTGGAATCAGACCGGAAGGACATTCTGTGGATTCGCCTCAACTCCAAAACATCCCCCAAATTTATTTGCTGCCTTTATCGCTCCCCTCGGACCATAACTGGGATGACCTTCTTGAATACCTCGCCGTCAAGATGGACTTTCCTGAACATCAATCTTCCTCGCTGATTTCAATGACCATAATTTGCTTTGGTTGTGCTCAAACAAGACCGATGCAGCAGGTCGTGCAGTTAAAGCGTTCACTCTTACTCAAGGTCTGACCCAGCTGGTGACGGGCCCTACTTTTTTTGCCCCGCGTCTCGTCACATGCTAGTATCCTGCTGGATCTCTTTCAGATCACGCATCCTGTCCCTTACAGCTCTGCTGTCCTGTCTCCCCTGGGTAACTCAGACAACTGTGTTGTGGATGTTAGGTTTCGGTCAGAAACCGCTGTTTCAGCAGAAACTCGCGCAGACCGCAAAATTTGGCATTACGGACATGCTGACTGGGAAGGGACTTCTTCTTTACCTTTCCTTGGAGAAATCTGTTTCACTGACGCGGATGCGTCGGCTGCCTGTTCTTGGATAACCGAAATTATCCACTTCGGAATGGAGGAATATATGCCTCATACTGCTGATATAATAGAAGTGCTTGCTTGTGTCAGTATTTGCACCATTTACTTGATTTGTTTAATGGGCAGTTCAGAGTTTTAATCCTTAAGCTTATTACATACTAGTAGACCCCATTGCGCAATTTTTCTATAGACAGTCTGGAGACGGTTTCGAGACACGATCTACAGATGGTCTACAGACATCCTTCTTTGCATGTCTAGCATGCATACGATAATGTGAATTTTTTATTCTCATGTTCGTTTTCGCAATCAAAGGCATTGTTTTAAGTGGAATGGTCTGGGATATGTCTCGGGGTCCTCCAGAATGTTTTATTTATTTTTATTCGGTTAACAGAGCAATGCAATTTTTTATGTTTGAATCTTTAATATTATTACACTAGTTAATTATAAATGCCACGTACTTATTTTGTTTTCATGTAATAAAATATTGGCTTTCTGAGGATTTCTGAGCAATTTCCATGTTTTTTTTCAAGCTGGCCTTGACCAGATAGAACACAATGGGTTTAAGGAGCAATAATAGGATGAATTTTAGAAGTTCCACTGAAGTTAAAAAATGACCAGCCCCAAATATCGCTTGCGCCCCCCCCCCCCCTCTAGACGAAATCCTGAATCCGCCCTTTGAACTTACGCAGTACTCAATAGTTATCAACTAGAAACCACGTGGCCGAGCGCACAGATGTGTCTTATGCCCTTAGAGTGTACACTAATTACTAAACGCACAGACTCTGTCGGCACGCTCGGCATTAGCAAAGTGTGACGTCAGACGCGAGCTTACGGCAGCAGTGATTTCGCGCTATAATGCGGCAAATTTAAGTATTAATTTTTATGTCCGATTTCAATAATTTTTTCACTGGTTGATTATAATTCATCTATATTTTGCTGATGTGTCATTACTTATGCGATTCTGAACATCACGAAACTTCTCCACTCTGCAAAGCAATGAAATTTCAACTTTTCTTGCCCGGGTCTCCCCTACTGTGAAGACAATGCAAGGCGGATTGATACCAGCGACGTTGCCTGTCGCCTACCTCCCGCCACCCATCGCGTTTCACCATAGATCAAACTGACAATCACAACCCAACCGAAACCGGCAGACTACGTCTTTTTCAGGGTGCAAATAGTTCATTGCGCGTTTGATGGCTATGATCGCTGTGAGCATCCAACTATTGTTGGTTGCAGAAAGCAAGTATATGTTTTGTGAAGCGAGTAGCCTATAGTGCTTATCTCTGAAGATGTGAAAGAAAGAACGTTGGTTGAGTAGCAAAATCGCATCTGGATGGTTATGTGTATTGGTCAGTGATATTTGCTATGTGTGAAAATTATCACTGAATATGCTGCCAATGAAGTATGTATATCTATTAGCTGTGCCCGACGGGCTATTTATGTGTGGTCCGTTCTGAAGACAGGTTATGTTCAAAGTTATAAATTACGATTTTTCCCGTTTTTTTTTTTTGTTTTCAAAAACTCTAACGAGTATTACGGGAAAACGCCACCGCGCCCGCGTTGTGTGCAATTAAGCCACATTATAGAAAAATTAGGAATGGCGCATCACACTTCAAGCATTTTCGCAGTGCCTCACATCTAGGCGCTGATTTGTTTTTTCTATTGACATCGCAAAATAAATTTCTATAAAATATAGATGACTGGAAATAAAAAGTAATGTAATAACCTTTTCACTTTCATAAATATTCATGTATGTAGCTGTAGCATATTTTCTCACCTGTTACTTCACCAACCAGGGATTTTTTTCTTATTTCTCTCATTTTTGAAATTCAGCAAATTTGCATATGTAATTTCCAGAATAAATAAGAGAAAATGGAAACGCAACTAATTTCTAGCTTTGAATCTCAAGTAAGTGTATTTGAGACAAGAAACCAATGCAATTACCATCAACACATATTATTAGCACACAAATGATCACTAAGCACTGCTGCTTCCTTCCAACTACGGTAGACAACTTACAGCTTAGACCTCTAATAATTCCATTGACAACTGAAGCATCATGACGTTTCCGCAACCCGTACAGCTACAAAACGAGTTCACAACAAGTGTCTATCAGCTAGTGCTAAGTTAACATATTGTAGTAAAACCGACGTTATGTAAAAAAAACGACCTAATGTCACTTTTCAAGATACGTAATACCCGTGCCGGACTCGGCACATGTCTACGGTATTAAGTACAATAAAAAAAACAAAAGTTCACAATAATAATACGTCCTGAAATGAACTGGTATTTTGTTCATCGATGTTCGAGAAACGTTTAGGAACATCACCTACATTAAAGTTTTCGTTTTTTCATATTGTTTTTCGGGGTCGAAGATAGCATATTTCGCGATTTCTTTAATAAAATAATTTAATAAACTTCGCTTAATTCTCAGATCCATGGTAAAAACCAAGATCCACCCGAATTCGTTACGCTCTATGAACTGGATGTGGAAACAAAGTTAAGCGGTAAGTACTATTGTTCTGCAAAAATGATTGAATTAAGAAGAGACAAGCAAGCCAAACAAGACAAAAGTGTTGCTAGGTACTACAAGACACTCAAAATTAGATTTAACCATGCTTAACAACTTAAACAGATTTTCCCCAAGCATCAAAGTACAGAAAGTATCGCATAATGTATTTTTAAACATTTTGTTCGTTTTGTTACTAATGCGGCTAAAACAAAATTTTTGTGTGCCAAGTAGATTGATATATTGTTCTGGTACATCCGATTTACAAAAAAATACCCGACTTATTTAAGCTCAAAAAAAGAAATCTGATAAAGTTGAAAATAATGCAGTTTTATGAATCCTGTTGTCGGAACATACGTACATGTTTACGGGCAATAACTATAATCCAGGCACTAACTTGTGGTAGGTCGTGCATGAAATGTCATAGCGTTTACGCTTTTCATTTTCAGTGCCTGATCCGCCCGGTAACCTGTCATATACAACAATAAGAGACAAAAATGAAATGTACATTTCTTGGCATCATCCAATAATAATGAATGGAAACCTAACAAAATTCGACATCATCATAAGCGGAATGAAAGGACAACAGATCGCTTCAGAAAAAATTGTTGATTGGAAGAACTACAGTATGAGTTATTCTTACAAAGTACGTATCAAATTTAGCAGCAGACATAATTAGGGCTTTGAGAATTTGTGCTGATATAATTTCCGGAACTACGAATGTGTCGCTTCGTCCACAGGTCGTACTGAGCATGTTTTCAATGTTAGGATAACATTTTAACCATGTCGCATACTTTCAAACACCACTCCCTTTGGAGATGAGAGCAAATGATTCATGAGAGTCAAAAATTATTTAGGGGAGCTCAACAATGTGTAACGCATTATGAAGTAAACCGTTTTCAATAAGCTTAAAGAAAAGTGAGTGGACCATGGAAGACAATGTTCTTTGTAAGGGCGATTCTTAAATGTCGTAGTTATTGCCAAGCGATGACAAATTTCTTCTACTCACACTAACTAACCCATCGAAAATAAGAGCATAGACGAGGCGGCGAATCACTTCCGTCGTTGTTTTGTCAAGGCGGTCCATCACTTTATTGACTTCGGTCGCTAACATTGAACTTATAAAACGAACTCACTGCAAAACGCAAGTTCTCAGATAAATAAACTATCATTATCTTTATTTTGTCTTATTATATAAATAACGTATGTTCTAAAAGTTTTGGCACAAAATTCATTGGCTTTAATCTTAACAAACTCAAAATTATATCAGGTTACCTTTGTTTGCTGTGACAATGTTAGATATGTAAGAGATGATATGAAGAGATGGTAATAGAAATATAACGATAAGCGTAAAAACAACAATTCCACCTTACAAGCGTTCGAAGTTCTACCCTGTACCTTTTCACTTTTATTACGAGAGTAGTACATACACAACTTAACAAGGGCTTCAATGTCAGGATAATTTTAAAGCCACTTACTTGGTGACGTAAATGACAGGGGAGTTGTTCTTCCTTGCGAGAGATACGGTCGCTTGAACTGGGTTGTCGAGGCCTATTTTTAAGAAAAACCTTTTGAGTACCTTCCATATTCTACCGACTCATGACATGCACAACTCTACTGTCTATTCATTATGTTAATTAGCTGTCTCAATACTGATCACAAAACAATATAATAATGGCCATGATATTTCTCAATTATATTATTATAAATTACAATACATTGCATGGGAGAACGGTAGCATCCTACCGCATCGAAGTCACACCCACATCCATAGCCAGGGAAACGGTAGCTTCCTACCGCATGGAAGTCACGCCCGTGTCCATACTCGGGGGAACGGTAGCTTCCTACCGCACTGAAGTCACGCCCGATATGGATACCTTTATAATCGGTGCTTAGACAGATATGCCAAGTACTTGATTGTTACGAAAAGCAGCCCAGAAATCAGGATATCACGTTGCCGTGTCAATACCCAAAAGCTCCGACGTTACCTCTGATTGAGAGATAACCGAGCACCGGACAACTTTAAGTAACAATCCCTATACACATCTTGCCATGAGATACTTTCAGACTCCTGCGATTGCCTCGAGAAGAACCTAGGCGGTCACACAGACCCACGATACCACGCCGGCCAATGGCCGTTGTGTCAATACCCAATACGCTCCGACATTTCCTCTGACAAAAGAAACCGAGCAGTAATTCCCCCGATGGCAACCCGGCTCTGTAGGTCTCATAACAGCCTCCAGGATATGGAGGCGTCATACCTCTGTAGATGTTTGACGCTAAGTTACCTTTAACTTTATCTTAACTGTTGATAAACATATCTCATCTGACTAGCTTTGACTTATTACAATTATTATCATGATTATAAGGGTACCATGGTTAGAAAATACACATAACATGCAGTACAGTAAAACAATAAAAGATACTCAGTGAAAACCCTCACCGTTTGATTGATTGACCTGAACTTGATATGGACACTATTCACAAAATCACAACACACAGACACTTCCACCTTTCAACTGTTAGAACAATATTACAATGAACTAAGAGGGCCTGTGCCTCAGCGTGCCCTGGGTTTCACGAATACGCAGGATCGTAAGTGGTTGTTGAAATGTGTATGCCAGCAGTGCCTTTCTTAGCATTCCAAGTGTCAAGCAATACTTTTACAGGGTGACTCACATGCAGAAAAGTATCTGAAATATTGTGTATGCTTACAGATACAAACATAAACCGAAATTTGCAGATAAAATCCTTGTCTGGAGCGCAATTTCTAACAAGGGTGTATCCCAACCTTTTGTGGCAAGAGTGAGGGGTGAAGCTTTGAATAGTCAGACCTATATTGATAAGTGCATTTCCAAAATGCTTCAGTTTGTTCACGAACATAATGCCAGTGACCATATCATGTTTTGGCCAGACCTAGCATCATGACATTACTCAGGAGATACCCAAACCTGTCGTCGACAACACAACACACCTATTGTTCCCAAAAACGATAATCCTCCAAACTTGCCGCAGGACCTCCCAATAGAGGATTTTTGTGCTTTACTCTCTAGGAAGGTATTATCATGAAGGCTGGGAAGCCCAAGATGAAGAATGATTAAGACGGAAAACTGAGAGAAATTGATCCGAATTCCGTCCAGGACCTCATGGACAGACACATTCGAAGAAAATTGCGTCTGGTAGAGCAGAATGGGCCAGTCCACATAATTCGATAGTATAGTTTATTTAAGTATTGAGTTGTAATTTATGATAACTGGTTAGTGTTCAGATAAATTTCTTCATTAAATAAAATTCGATAAATACTTTGTGCCAAAACATTTAGGATATGAGTTATTCACTACGGTACTTGATAAATAATTTATTGATTTATTTTCGATTTAGGTAAAATATAGGTACTGTTCCTAGGAAACCCAATAGTTGTAGGGGCCGTTCAAGCATTATCTGAGCAGATTTTTTACTATTGTCAACCACCCCCCTGCCCCTCCCTTGACAGTAAAAGTAAGCAAACCTCTAATGGAAGTCCCCCGCCCCCCTTAGTGCTTACGTAATACTTGAATGATCCCCAAGGCCGCACAAAAAGCTGACAGTTGGCTTTGAGGAGTTAAGAATCAGAGATGGATACTTTCAGGTGCCGCTTTTAAAGCTGGAACCGTGTAACACCTTTACGTTCAACATTAGAAGCCACAACAGAAGGTACTACAGTAGATCCGAAACTCTGGAATTCAAAACACCTCCACCACCGTCATCGATGTCAGAGGATGACATAGAAGTTCTTAAAACAAATGATACTATCAATATACGCCTTTTAAAGACTACACGGGACTGGAACTCCTTATATGGTTTACTTAGTAATCCTGGTGTTGAAAAAGGTGCATAGAAGATTTAAATATTAATGCTACAATTTTTCATTTCCTAATTGTTTCTATAAAGGAAGTATTCTGTACTTAAATGGACACATATGTATAAAAATAAAAAAGTTTTATATTCTCTTTCACAGCTATACAGAATGACTTATCTAAACATAAATCTGTAATATGACACATCGCAGTCACTATGTACCGAATTTGGTGAAATTTTGCACGACTACATTGTTACCTATACGGACGGCTAAGAAATCTATGGCTTGACCCTTTTTGTTCACTTTTTTGTTTATTATCACAATCAACACGTTTTAGGCTGAATTATGAAATTTTTGACTATGTAAAAAGCCATTGAATGGTGCTAATTAATCAATAAATTAGATTGATTGCACATCTTCTTTTTTAAACATTTTACAATTTGTTTTAAACGGTTCATGTCACTCAAAATTTGAAGGATTATCAACTTAATTCCGTCAATATTTTACAGAATAATGCTTGAAATTGAGCTTAAGATGTTTTGGAAATTCAAGTAAGGATTCAGTTTCTTTTTATTTCCTTGTATTTTATTAAGTGCAACGCCCTGCAAGTCATAATTTTAGTTCATCATTATTTTTCAGAAAAAGGGCACTTTATGATATAAATAAAACGGAAGATTGATGTTATGCTCCCTACTAAGTTTTTTCGGTAATTTTTTATGGTTTACTTCAGTCAAGTGATGTTGGTTTGAAGGGAAATACCTTTAGTATACGGATGCACCGAATTAGAGTCTCCATATTAATTCTAGATTATTATGGAAATGTAGAAAAACCTAATGGACAGGTCCGTATTCAGCATTCCAGCATAGTTAGTTACGTTTATGTGCTCTCACCACAATCCTACGATATATTTAGTTACGTAATGCACACATGGTATATGCCACAACTAAATGTTAATTCCGGACCTGCATACTATATTTTTGTGTATGTTTAAGGTCAAATTTAGTGGAATTGTGTATTAAATACAGTATCCATTTCAAGCAGCACTCGTGTTGTAGAATATCAATTGGTAGAATAAAATGATTAAAAGAATCTCCGAAAAAGGTAAATAGGCTGCGTAACACTAATTTGCCCTTTTATTTATGCCCTTTGTTTGCGAAATAATAATACACTCAGAATATAAGTTATAGGGCGTTGAACTTAATAAATTACAAGGGAATGAAAAGAAAACTGCATCCCACCCTGGAATTTTAAGTTATCGAAACATCTTGAGTTCAATTTTAAGCATTATTTTGTAAATAATAAGCATTATTCATTACCTTTTTGTACATAGTCAAATATTTCAATATTGAGCTAAAAGGTATGAATTTTGATAGAAGTAAAAAATTGAATCCTGCCCTAGATTTTTAACCGTTCTTCTAGTTTTACTTAACTCCTAGGCAACTTCGTTGTCGTATAAAATTTCTATTCGCTAGTACCTGAGATATGCGATATTAAAGATTTGGTATGTTTTGATAAGTCACCCTTGTATCCGTAAAAGCTGAACTTAGAACTTTCTTTATTTTCAGATATGAAAAGGTTGATGTCCATACTGCCTACAATTTCACTATGTCCATTTAAGTACGGAACACCTTGATTGTTTCAGATCTTGACATTTTCGAAAGAAAGTTAAGATTAGGTGACAAAAAGCTTGCTGATCCCGAGTTGGTCATCCAGTTAGAAAACATTTCCAAAACATCAAAAATTAGATCAAACCATGTACTAAGAGTGCGACCAAATCAAGATTATCTGGTTATATTCTTTTTGGTGTCGAAGTGTAACGATATGGTGACCGTTAAGCGTCTGAGTAAACATGTTTTGACTCAAAGTTCGTCAGCTTCTGGATTATGGGCGTTCTTACTTCTTCTTTTGGTCCCTGTTGTGGCGTACGTGTAAGTATTTCTCTTCAATCGATCAAGTTTTAGCTGGCCGATAATTGAAAATAGATATACGAGGTATTCCAAAAGCTGGGACTATAATTTTTCAGGTATAACTGGCCTTAAAATAACAAAACTGATATACGAAAAGTGAAAAAATAGCGTCAAGTAGGTTGACTCTGTGCTTCCTAAGCAACGCTGTCCTCAATCCATAAAAGGTTATATTTGGCACAACTTAGTTCGCCTTAAAAAAAGTTGGCTGTGAACATGTATAACAAAGGAATTAAATGTCAAACAGGCTCATACAATTAGTCTGTTACCATAACAAAATGATTCTCCGAATATCTATACATATCTTTGTATTTCCAGGTATTTGAAAAAACTGCATCCTAAGCTATCAACAGTATGGAAGTCGAGAGGTGAGTAAATCACAAGAGGAACATTTGTTTCTTCATAAATATCACAGGATAATTTTCACTTTACTACCCGCCTACCCTAGAGGAGGGTTATGTCTTTTGCGCGTGGGTATGTATGTACCAGGGACACCAGACAAAAACAGTTGAAACTCACAAGCATAATAAGTCAAATGGTGGCATGTGTTCTATGTGTCAATTTTAATAATTACTTTCCAATTTATAAAGTGAATTAAAAGAAAAAATGAGTAACTTGAAATTAAAGTGACGCAGTGTCACCAGCCGAAAATAATTCTTGAGAGAATGGTTTCCATATTATCTAGATGACGCACCATAATATAACACAATAAAATTTTGGTCGGAACAATTTCGATAAAAGACGATCCCAGAAGTGGCAGACCCTAAACAGCAACAAATGATTTTGAATCTTTGGCACAAATTGTGACAGGTGACAAAAGTTGGGTGCATTATTGGGACCCAGAGACAAAAACGATTCCAAGCTGTGGGTTCATAAAGTGTTTCTGCTGCATGACAATGCGACCGTTCATAAGGCTTCCAAAATTAGTCACGCGGGAATGCAACTTCGTTGAGATATACCAACCTCCCTATAGTCCGAACTTGGCTCCGTCTAACCGTTATCTGTTTACATTACTAAATAAATATCTTCGAGGATACCATTTTGACGACTTTTTTGAGAGTCAAGGGAAAACCTTTATTTATAAGGGTATAAGCTCACTGGAGGAGAAATGACGCAAGTGCATTAATGTAAGGGGGATCATATTGGAAAATAAAATTATCAAAAAATCGTACTTCTTTTTTTGGTTCATGGCTATGTAAAAATTTTATAAAATCAAAATGGCGGATTATAATAAATAAAATCGATCCTTAGATTTTTATTTCACAGGTTACAGCCTAAACGGGTTGATGGATTTTGACATACGAGATGTCTCTAGATTCGTCTTGACACTGCGAGTTATAATGGATATACTAAAATTTTATAAAACCAAAATTGCGGGTTTTAAATCCAAACTTCAACTTCGAAATTTCTGTTTCACTAACTACAGCGAAAACGGCTTGATAGATTTTGACATTGCAGGTGTTCTTAGATTCATCTTGATACCACTACTAAATCTTCACTCTTTTCAGTTACTGCAGACAAATTGTTTACATTTTTTTAAAAATGAGCTTGCCTATTGGTCGCCCCTGTCCATAAACACACAAAAATCATTCCAATTCTACAAACAGAGGCATTGCAGTTATTTTTGTTTTCAGCAGCAATTACTGCATTGTGGTTTTAAGGCGAACCAATAATTGCAATAAGTGTTCTGCTGTTGCAAGTATTCCATATTCAAACAAAATTTTCATACTTATTCATATAGGGTTCACTTAATTTTCAGATAGCTCGATGAGTACAACAGAACAGTTGCCACTGAAACCTACTGCAGTGATAGAAAAAGACATCACCACAATTATTCGTACCAGCAAGGTAAGTCTAAAATTGGGAAATACAGGGTGAGTTTTTAGTGTGGGCTCGGTCGATAACTCCTATATTACACATACTATCTAAAAAAGTTCAATACAAAAAGCGTCGCCAACAGTATGCCCCTTACTTCGAAAATCTTTTTATTTCTACTGAGTGATACATAACTACGTGGTGACCTCAATAACCGTTTTTCTAAGTTGAAAGGCATTCATTTTATTACAGGTTTGGATAGGTCCTTTGAAATGAAGCAATTTCATATAATATATTTTAAGGTTTTATTTTCAAATTGTTCAGATATTGACAAGGATTCAAAAAAAATACTTAACTTTGAGAACTCGCACCTCCGTAACTCTAGCTTCAATGACAAGAGATTTTTTTACGACACCTGCAACATCAGCGTCCATTTAAAAATTTTCCAATGCTGCACTGACTACCCCCCCAATACAGATTAAGTGTTAAGTCCGTTACATAAGCTGATGGAAAAATGTTTTTTTTTTATTTGCGTTCAGAGTTTTATCGTTATTTTCTTTGTTACACGATCAGCAAAATATTTTGTTCAATATGTATTGTTTTCTCTTTAACTTGTTTCAAAGTCTTTCCGTTGTGCATTACAAAAATTATCAAGTAATCTCAAGTCAAGTTGAATATTCAAGTCCTTGACGTAAAAATTATTTGACTTGATTTACATTGCTAATATTTAATACTTGCTTGAGCTTGACTTGACTTCAAGTCAAGCAGCTTGAAAATCAAGCCAAGTAGTTAATCCCTAACTGTTATAGCTAAAGTACAGACTTTTTCGTAATTAAAATATATTTAGTACCTATCTACTTATTTTTTCAGTTTTCTGGACGATTTATACAATGTGGTCAAGACAGCAAAATGGACAATTTAAAAAAAAATTAATGGTACGGTATGCCTACTTTTACATACCTTAATTATCCTTTCTACAAGATTTTTATTCGATATAAGGTTTATGGCTTTTGAGTTACAGCTAACCTTTTTGTAAAAAATTTTACAATACCTTTGAAAATAAATAGCCAATAGTTGAGAATTTATGTATTCTCATTTCAAATTATTAATATTAAAAATTAATCTAATTCACCCAACATCATCCAATAACGTCGAAAAGTCAAGAAGGTGTATCAAGTCTTACATCGTAAAGAAGCTTGTGAAAGGGAGACTCAAAAAATGTGAACATATATGGGGGTTCCATTTGAAAATTTAGAAAAATAGTTCATTTTGTTTCATGGATCACTCTGTATAATCTATCCAAGGAAAGTGAAAAAGTAAGTGCATAAAGATAAGATACGGGACCATAGGAATTTTTAGATGAAAAATTTAGTAGTCTAGCTATAACACTTCCGGAGGAACGAGTCGTTGAAGTTGAGTGTTTTTTCAACAGATTTTCAATCCAGTCGGCCGTGATGGCAGTTTACTGATTTACCAAATCCTTGTTCTGAGAACCATAATTCTTGATTTAATATCAGAATTACAAGTCCATCTCACAGAAAATTGTTCTCCAGTTTGAGAAACATTTTACAGGAAATCGACCAAATTCATTAGATCCATTACTTCAAAGACGCCTTCTCATCAATCCAAATTGCGCCCAAGGCGCAAAATTTTATTCCCCCAGTTAATAGCAAAATCGGGTCCAAGAAACCGCCATCGCATCGTCGGTTCCAAGAGAACTGTTCATATTCAGGAAGTCAAAAACTTTTAGATATTAATAGTTCGGTCAAATTGACTGGAAATCATAAATGTTTAAACTACTTGTCTTTGTATATATGCGTATTAAGCAATATGATATTACTTTCCAGAAGCAAGTATCAAATACAACTGCTGATCATTCTAAAAGAGTTAGGTTGGAGGAATTCCAACAGTACGTGCGCAGTGCTATTGCTGATGGAACCCTAGAAAAACAAATTGAAGTGAGTTTACAATGACATTCGTCCGCGTACGTATTTTAGTTTTATAAGGAAGACATGCTCCGTTTTAAGGCTTAGTAAAAACCATATACATAAGAGGGTGGGGCCTTCTCTTCCCACGTAACGCTGTCATCAGCATAAACTAGCCCATCTGAGAAAAAAACTCAGTCAAACAGGTCCATACAATTAGTCTATAGACATTATTTCCCTGCCCTACCAGTAGTGCATCTACGTCGCCTCTCCCCGATACTTAACCCTGATAGACGTGGCAGCGCAGTCAGACCACAGGATACACTATGCTGTGGTGCGACCGAAATACATGTAAGACCGTACCAGACCAACAGAACACAGGCCGGAGGCACGCCACTGGGAACAGCAGCCGCGGCCAGTAGGTACGGGATCCGTCTGCTGAGAAAATTTTAAGGGCTATAGTACAGAAAAATCTGTGATGATTGAAATATGTCTAGAAATGTACTAATATCAAAAAAATGAGACAAACACTCGCCACCTCCTACAACACCCACCTCCAAGTTTTTTTCACCACTAGAATGTTTGTTAAAGATTATCAGGATCCTCTGAAACTTCAAAAAATGAAGTTTGCGCGATTTTTTTTATATCACTTCATAAAGGATTAAGTAAGGCAGAAAGTATCCCCTCTGAGAACAAAGTTAGTTACGAACATTGCATATTTTATGCATGTAACTTCGGATAACACATTTTTTAACTTCATTATTTTTAGTGACTTGCTATTTGACCCATGTGATTGAATTTTTGGTTGAATTAAATACTAGTACTACTACATCAATCTAATCTGCATGTGAAGGAAGTATATCCTTTCGTTTACGTACGCTGCGCTCTTTCTAAATGGATTAGTTAGCGCCACTGTGTACAATAATTTCAAACCACTTGTATGATTTTCTCACGAAGAATCTGGCTTCCCTGCACGGCGGCCAGAGACGAATACGCTTGTGTTGAAAATATTGCATCATGCTACGCGTCTGATCAAAATTTCTCTTGCACTTGCTCTAAAACGGGTATTAAGGATATGTGACAGGGATTCTCATTATTTGAATGACATTTTAGCTGTTTCCTAAAGGACTCTTAAAACCACATGGCTATGGGTTAGCAGCTCCAAATAAGAGCAAAAACCGGTACAAAAATGTTATAGCATGTAAGTAGCTAACAATCAGTAGTAGTAGTCAAAAAATTATCAAAAGACGCCGTGAAGTAAATAATTTCTTAAGGTTCAGATGTTTTATTTTGCTCTGTACTGTTATTTAAATCAGGACTGAGTAGGATAGGGTATGTTCAATGGAATATCAGTCTGAACCGAACCGATAAATGTTACACAATATCGATTAGAATTTTAAAATGTTTGGTGCAAAATATGAACTTTTATATTATGATAAACTATTAGCAAAGCCCATAAAATTCGTTATTGCCTTAATGTAAATTTTGTAGATGATCACACTAGAGTGAAGTTGAAGAAACTAGAGGACGACGAATACTCTGATTACATAAATGCAAATTATATCCATGTAAGTACCAAAAATGTGGCTTTACGTAAGTTATTTAGATATTATTTAAAATATCCCACTAAAAAAATTCTTTATGGTTTCTGAAAATCTATGAGGTGGTGGTAAGACAATCATCAAAAAAACGTTAATTTTTGTAAATACAATATATATATATATATATATATATATATATATATATATACAGGGTGTCCGCAAAGTTGGGGTTTTCCTTTACACGACGTGTAGATCTTGAAAACATAAGCAATTTTTCTTAGTACCATATACACCAATGTCTTAAGGGAACTGAGATAAAGGGCTCTGCAACATCAAAAATATCTTAATACCGTCCTGTAGCCGCGACCCGCGATATCTCAGACTGGTACCGGCTACTAGCTGAACCCGACGACAGAACTGGGTCGGGGGTCGGGGTCAGTGTGTCAGGTCAGTCTGCAACCTACAACCGACGGTAAAGGGTCACGCGTATAGAGGTAACGAACCCGTATAATCGATTGCATTTCAAAAAAAAATAATAATAATGGCACACTCATACACCAATAATGAAATCGTTGATATGTTGTTAATTTATGGCGAATGTCTTCAAAATGATACAGAATCGTCGCGAGTGTATGCAGATCGTTTCCCTAGACGACATCATCCAAGGTCCCGCAGATTTGTGTATCAGAGAGTCAGGGATACGGGCCATTTGGAGGAATTTCGTGGTGGGCACAGTGGGAGGCCTAGACAACCACGAATGGTGCAAGTTGAGGAAGAACTACTGAATCGCGTAGACGAGAATCCCTCAACAAGCACTAGAGACGTGGCTAGAGAAGTGCAAGTATCAAAAACTAAAGTGTGGCAAACGTCCAACGTGTACAAGCCCTTCAACCTGACGATTTTCCAGCAAGAGTGCGGTTTTGTGAGTGGTTGTTGCATCAACATGACAATAATCCGGACTTTTTGAAGTGCATATTGGTGACAGACGAATCTACGTTCACGCGTAATGGGGTGAATAACTTTCGATTTCAGGCAGAGACGTACTTAGCCCTTCTCGTCAACTGGAGAGTGGGTACTTTTTCCTTTATTTTTTTTTACTTGGTCGCCCTCGTTTCACTACACATTACCTTTGTTATTTCAAGGGTAGTTGTTTCTGAAAAAGAAAACCCCAACTTTGCGGACACCCTGTATATGTATATATATATATATATACATATTCTATATCAGTACTATTTCAGGGATATAAAATGCCCAGAGTATATATTGCAACACAAGGACCGAAAGCATGCACTTTAAATGACTTCTGGCGAATGATATGGCAAGAAACTGTTAAATATATCATAATGCTGGCGAATTTGAATGAAGATGGAAAGGTACACAATGTATACAATGAGCATTATCGGTTGATTTCATTATTATCAGAAATAGGGAATATTAATCCTTACATATCTATTTGAATATATAAAAAAATGCATTTTTTGAAACAAGCTTTTATTTAGCTGTTTAAAAAAAATTAAGAATATTTTTCCGATCAGAAATATATAAACGATAATGAAGATACTCAAGTTTCCGAATAAAAACGAGTTACACCCTTTTTCCATCCTACTCTCAAAACGTAATTGGATTTAAAATGACATCGCGCTGCTTGTTTTTCTCATAAAGCCCTTTAATTTGGCACCTATATCGTAGCGGCGACTAAGACAATTATAACCCCGATAGCATTAGATATTTATTAAATATTTTTAAAAAATGTTTGTTAAATATATGTCGCGACAGGTTTTTTATTATTTAATAAATATATTTGTTATATATTTATAAAATATTCATTATAGGTAGTATATATACTAAGTGACATATAAATCCGAACACCCAGTTTAAATGGTTTTATTTTAATAAAATTTTGTATAAGTACTTAATGAAGCATAATAAGTAAATGATAAAAATTTCAAAATGATTGCACTGCTTTAAAGTCCTTTGACCTTTAATAATGTGTGGATGCACCCTGATGTGCTACGCATTCTCCAACGCGCCTAGGCATGCTTCTGATCAGGTGGTCAATGTCCTCCTGTGGTATCTCATTCCAGGCAACCACCAACTCCTCTCGAAGTGCTTCTAGAGTCTGAGGAGGACGTTGCAAATTGAGCAATCTCCTACCCATCATATCCCACACGTGCTCAATTGGGGATAAGTCGGGAGATCTTGGTGGCCATGGTAACAATGTGACATCATTATGTTGAAAGAAGTCTATTGTGACTCTTGCAACATGTGGTCGGGCATTATCTTGTTGGAGAGTTGGATCTGCCAGGGTGTCAAGATAGGGTAAAAGATGGGGTTCTAGAACTTCGTGCATATAACGCTGCGCGTTCATGTTACCTCTGATGAAGATTAAAGGTGACCTGGAACCATAAGCTATAGCACCCCAAACCATAACTCCAACAGTGTGATGAACATGTCTTTCAACAAAAAACTGTGGATTCCTCCTTTCACCACGTCGCCTTTTGAAATTTTTATCATTTACTTATTATGCTTCATTAAGTACTTATACAAAATTTTATTAAAATAAAACCATTTAAACTGGGTGTTCGGATTTATATGTCACTTAGTATATAATTCATATATTTTTGCGATATTTTTACCAAATATTTAGAAAAGATATGAGGAAAGATCTTTAAATGTCAATTTTATATTTTCATGAAATATCTAATATTTTCCGTAAATATGTATGGATTTTCAAGCATTAATCTGATACATATTTTCAGTATATGTAAAATATTCTTCATTGGTTATTTTAGTAAAATCTGTAGGAATACTTATATGAAATTGTGTTTATAAATAAAATTCATTCTAGATAGAATGGTTTAATCTGCTAGAAAAATATTATTACAAAATCATTCTAAGCCTCTTCTGCATCTTGTAAGTTCACTACTCTGAGAAAAAACTTACTAATTATGAAGTATTATTGAATACATAAGCTGTTTTCCAGTGTATATATGGGAATATGAAATGCAGTGGAACAATATTGGTGATGAGCACTGCTGAGTTACTCCGAGTAGCTCAATTGGATCGCTTAAAAGCAGCTCTATAATGTACCTATGATAGCTGGAAATTTGGTTAATTTTTAAGAAAATTTGGTATGTTATTTTAGATATCTCGATGAAAAATGTCCATGGGCACAACTTGATCCTTAGACTAACTTTTAAAGAATAGGTTTTTGCCAATAGACCACTTATTGATTTTGTTGAAATGTGACTTTTTTTAGTAAGGGGGCTAATTTAGCCATAACTATTTCGTGATTTTATATTAAAATTCAAGGGACAAAAATATAGTATTTTCGACTGTTAAAATTTTGAGACAATTATAAAAAAGCATTTTTGATGTATCTCGATCAATTTCCACCAATACCAAATAACTGTTACACTTCAAGGCTAGTTATTTATGGTCTTGGGAATATACCCAACTGGGACAATAATGTTTACTAGTCAGATAAATTAGGTTATGTAATTACTCAAAAAACACTCAAATAATGTACGACTTGGAGGTACACAGGAAGGACGCTATCATAGTGAAAGTCACAGGTAAAATGGATGCCGGCAAACGCGCAAAGGTCGGCGTAGGCCGGCTTTCTATTATGCCATTGATCGCTTCGGGTCACACGTACATGCGCCGTAGCCGAAATTATTTAATGAATATTTTCTAAATTTATTGGAGATTTAATATTTTCCATTGATTGAAAAGCAAATATTTAATGAATATTATAGAAGAAATATTGTATTTAAAATATTTATTGAATAAATTTTAATAAAAATTTTATATTACAAGTATTTAAGTAAGATAAAAATATTATTAAATATTGAATAAATATTTAATGAATATTTTGTGCCTTCGGGGAAACGCCATCTTGGGCAGCCGTCATATTCGGTTTGGAATGTGATACCTTGCTTATTGTGTTTTGATACCCTTATCGTGGGTGTGACAATGAAATATGTACTGGATCTGTAATAACGTCACTCAGCTTGTTGTGTTTGTCTCATCAAACCCTTTAAATTGATACCCATGCCGTAGAGGTACCGATGAAATATGTAAATCGCCATTTTGCTGCAGCTACCATATTGGATTTAGAATGACGTTACTCTGCTTATTGTGTCCCTCCCATCAAACCTTTTCATTTGATATCCATATCATAGGGGTTACTATGGAAAAGATGAATCGCCATTTTGTAGTATTCGCTATATTGGATTCAAAATTACGGTGGTTAATACGTATTATCACTCAAACAAAACGTGTGTACAAAATTCAGTTCCAAGATTTGTCTCACACATACTAACATACTAACGAACAGGTCAAGGTCAAGTTAAATGAAAGCTTGTAAATAAAATAGAATAAGTATTGTTGTATGCTTACTCAACTGATAGCCATTTTCAAAAACATTGTTTCAGAAAAAAGTGGAAAAATATTGGCCTGATATAAACAAGACTACTGTGTATGGTGAAATCTCGGTAGAGTTTATATCAAACAAAACATTTGCAAATTATGAAAAAAGAGAGTTCAATATTATGTTGAAAGATGAGAAACGAGCGGTAAGATATACTATCATTTATTAGTGACTTCGGGAAGTGTAATCTTTGAGAATATCAAATATAAATACAAAGCCTTCTACATTATTCGATTCATCTGACATGTATTACATAAAGAAGAAGTCAATTGTAAAGTCACATAACGTCTTTGTAATATAGGTTCGGCTTCTGTTAATTGTGTTTCGTTCAGAACATTGGTCGATAGACATTGGATAAATTGTGCTACTTTTTATGTGTTACAGATAACTCAACTGCATTTTATATCATGGCCCGACCATGGAATCCCTTTATATCCACAATCATTAGTACCATTTTTGGAAACAGTATTGAAAATTTCGAATAATCCCAGATCACCAATTGTTGTACACTGCAGGTAAAGTAAATCATATCCCAGGACGTACTTCCGGATTTTGTTTTTAAATAAAGGCAACAATTTCGGAAATATTCAAGTTATAAATAATATACTATATATATACTTCAATAATATATAATTACGATAGGAGAAATTGTATAATAATGAATTTAGAATGACTATTTCTCTCATTGAACTATTTCATTTGACACCCATATCTATGATAATTATAAACGCCATCTTGTGACGGTCGCTATATTGTATTTAGAATAACTTTACTTATTGCGTTCCTCTCATCCAGCCCTTTCATTTGATACTCATGTCGTAGGGGTGATAAGAAAAATGTAAATCGACATCTTTGCTTATTTTGGATGATGGATGGGGGGGGGTAGGGGAGTCTAGATGATGATTACGTCATCGGTCGTTATTTACTTTTTTACACGAATGGCACATTGTCTTTGCTTGAAAACGAAACGCATTTTCGGGCATTCCCGCAAATAATGTATTCGTTTAGTGAACAGCGCGCGGTAATTCCCCTACTCGCTTTAGAACCGAGTAGGGGAATTACCGCGCGGTGTTCACTTGTCTAAATTTCCTCTATCAGTGTATTGTTTCGTTTGGATACTATAGCGAGTGGACGTATTGTAAGTATAGTAAAGCAAGTTAACATTTGTGTTACCATTGATCCCATTAGCCAAAGTTTAATGTTTGAATAAGATGTAGTTTCACATAGACAAATCCAAGTTATACCAAAAATTGTTTGAAAGTTTTAAAAAATCTCATACAAGTACGAAAGTACAAAATGTACAAAAGTTAGTTAACGAAGTGTCGCGAAATTACAAATTACAAGCAAAATTCGACAAGGAACTAGATATTATTGTATCTAAGAGAATCGAAGAAGAATTGCAAGCGGCGACTAAGAATAAATCCAATCTACTAAATTGTGTTTCTAAGGTGAGTGACGAAATCATATTAGGTACCTATGAATACTAGAAATATTAGAAAATATTATGGCCTATCTCAAAGTTTAGAGGTAATATTCATTATATTATAGATTTATTTCTTATGATTGATTCCGTCAATTGGTCACAAAGTACAGGATGTTAGTTTTATACATATATTCAGAAAACTAACAACCTGTATTTTGTGACCGGAACGAATTGCTCGTTTAAACATATTAGATTCAAAGCCATAGGGTTTTGTATTTACCATATATATTGCCATACTTTGTATTTATGTAGCTTAATAAGAGAATCTTTAGCAGAAGCCATAGAAAGGTTTTATTTTTAGGCAACCTGTAAACCTGCAGAAAAAACACAAATTATACAGTCAGCTTCAAATATTAAAAAAGAGGAAGAAGATAAAATAAAACCCGGTAATGAATCACAACAGCAGTGCGAAATTTATGAAAATACAGATAAACAGAGAGCAAAACCTTCTCAGGAAGCTATGAAAAATAAGACTGCTCTACTCGAAAAAAATCTGAATGCTTTGATTCTGCCAGAGATACTATTCCAAGCCGTGCTGAAGTTGATAAACAGATCATTAAGTTGCGCGAGGAAATAAAAACAGCAACACAGTCTTTAAACAGGAAGGTTCAAAACGCAGTTGCCCAGAAGAAACACATGGATGGTATGAAAAGAAAGTTAGACGATATTTGTCATGAAAATCCAGAAATAAAAAAAATACTATCTCTGAGGGATTCAGTGGGACGTCTTGAAAGCAATCAACATTCACTATTGAAAACAATCGCGGATATAACTTTATTTGGGAGTGCAGCAGATGATAGAAGACGAACGGAATCAATTCGCAGCGTAAAAACTCTTGATGAACTCACACAAGAATTACGTAAAATAGGATTTGACATTAGTCGCAGTGGGACATATCTTCGGTTGATCCCCAGAAAATCTAATTCTGCAGAGGGACGAAGACATGTATCGACAGTCTTTGTTAAGCTCATTCGGGCTCAAACTGATCACCACAAGAGCCACTTAGATAGCAAGTTCGCTGAAACATCAATCCATTATTTAGAGAACATAGCATCTGGACCAGATCAAGTATTTTTCATATCTCAAGATGATAAAGCTCGAGTCCCTATTTTCGTAACTGCGGCAAATAAGCAAGCACCTCTTCTAATGCACATGGAATATAGAATCCAATTGCCTGATCACGATTGGGTAATCGCTGAGCGTCATAAATTAATACCATCTGTTTATGCTGGTATCAAAATCACTTCCAATATGCCAGGACAACCGCAAGCCGTTGGATATTCTGGACCAACATACATCGCGATTCGAAGTGGAAAGCATAGTTCATCTACTGCTAGTACTCATGCTCAGGATTTCGAGACGCTTCTCGAACTTGAAGAGTTTCGACCATTAGCTAAAACTGACCATGGGCTAGTAAAACCAGTGGTAATCATGATGGTTGATGGAGGGCCAGATGAAAATCCACGTTATCAAAAAGTCATAGGGTTTGCTATACAACACTTTAAGCGACATGATCTCGATGCATTGTTTTTAGCTACCAATGCTCCTGGAAGAAGTGCGTATAACAGAGTAGAGCGCAGAATGGCTCCTCTTAGTCGGGAACCTGCTGGTTTAATATTGCCTCATGACCATTTTGGGTCTCATTTGGATGGACGTGGCGTTACAATTCATGAACATTTAGAAAGATCTAATTTCGAATTTGGAGGAAATGTATTAGCTGAAGTATGGAGTTCAATGGCAATTTATGGCTATAATGTTAATGCAAAATATGTTGGGGCAGGTGAACAAGGTCTTCCTGATTTTCCAGACATTAAATGGTATTCAGAATATGTGCGTGAGAGCCAATACTTGCTTCAAATTGTAAAATGTAGAAATACAGAATGCTGTCGTCCAAGAAATGGCCTATTTAGATTACTAGACAATAGGTTTCTTCCACCACCTGTAAAAGTAAAACAAACAGTTGATGACTTGGTTTTGGATGAAGGAGGGCAATTTCTTAATCTTCCAGTCAATTTAGCTCTACGCTAAGTGCTTCACTCAAAGATTTCCTGCAAATGCCCTACGATTATTTTTGTCCGACGGTAAAATTGAGACTATCAAGTCGAACATGCAAAACGTGTGGTCTTTATCATGCTTCCTTCCGTCAAGTCACTAAATCGTCACATCGAAAATATCCATAAAAAAGTAAACACGCACACTGATAGGAAAGTTAGACCTGTAAGAGTCGCTGCTCGTCGTGCTAATGAACTGATGTGCATTATTCAAAGCGATCAAACTCACAACACTGAGCAGCAATCGAATCAATCCAATGTCATCGAAAACTTAGAATCATGGATTCGGGTTTCATGAACTGAAGACTGTTAATTTGAATGTAATATATGTACCAAAAATTTAAAATATGTTTGTTATGTTAGTAAGATATGGTATTTTTGTCTTTTACTCTATGTTGAATACCGTATCAGTAAAATATAATCTCTATCCTAAAGCTATTTCCTTATTTTTCAAATTATAATTGTAACGTTATAATTATAATATTAAAAAAAATACATTAATTGGCTAATGTTTACGTAAGCATGGGGGGAAGGGGGTAAGAGCTTTGCTTACTTTTGCTGACAAGGGGGATGGGGTTGTAAATAATTGTAATAAATCTGCTTACGTAATACTTGAACGGGCCCCTATCTTTTATCTTCGTCATTACGTATTGTCTAACTTTATTAGTTCGTTCACCTTATCTTGCCTTTACGTTATATTGTCTTGCTTTTGTTGATTCCATGATTTTGGATGTGTCATAGCTCATTTACTGATCTTGATCTTTTTGTTACCAATTTTGACCTTTCAAACCGATACTGACCTTTAGTGTTGTTTCGTTTACTTAGGTTCAGACTATTTTTTGGGTGGCAATTTTTTGTGAGTTTGGATATTCACTTGGATTAAGTATAGTCTGCTTGATTCTTGGCTTTATAGGTTATTGGTAGTTTAGCATTATTTATTATCGTCGGTTATCTACTCTGTAGATACCCTCCTGCTCCTTTTTACAATTTTGATCACTTACTAGCAATTTGAGTTTCTCTTTATTAATGGTAGAGTGCCCATTCCTAGACCAAACCCTTTTCAATGATTTTTTTTTGGTAAATATCATAGTTTATTGATTGAATAGTTTCACACGTATTATATCTTTCTTTCTCAGTGATCCAGTATTGTATTGAAAAAAAAGCTCTGTTGTTTTTCTCCGTTATTTCGCTTCCTATCGAACATATCTTCTTCAAGGCCACTCATTGAACCTTCCTTTATGAAGTTAGGTGTTTCGCATCAGTCACTTTCCTCCTGAGATTGTGGTGTGAGCGCCATTTGGTTAACCTCCAGATTCTGGGATGTTAGGTGCCGAACACCACTTTGTGGAGTAGTACCCTTTCATATTGTACCTTACGTTTAGTTGTTTTGGTTTGGTTGCTACCTCGTCCATTTTCTTATGGGATTATAATCTTCAGTGTGGGAAGGCATTGCGGAGAACCACCACACACTCCTCCAGCTATGTTTTGTAGCTGTTTTGCAGCTGATATTGCCGGAAGCAAGCCCCCCTTGACAGGCACTTTGTTCTTTCGCGCTGTGATCATTTCAATCAAAATACGGAAGCGCCGGACGAAAGCGACCTCGTGTGAAAACATCACGTTTCTATCGTGTGAAAGGGGCGTAAAAGAACGCGATTGATCTACTGTTACGTATCATTTGTTTGTTTTAGATTTATTTAGCATTATTGCTACAATATCAATGTTATACATTTACCACATAATATTTTATGTCTTCAAGTCCACATATTTATATACAAACATTTTAAAACTGGCACTATGCATGATCGACAATGAATCACTGAGGTCCCACGAATTTAACGTGCATAAGATGGGAATAGAAACATGTATGCTAGAGCGAGATGCGTAATAAAAAAGAAGTCTCCGTCACAGATTCGTTGACTTTGGTGACGGGCATGGTTCGTTCGCGTGTTTTTGTCTATATACCTCTCATACACATTAAATACGAGACATCAATGATTCTCTGCCGATCATGTATAGTATGATACGACATACTGAGAAAATATATTATCACGAATGACCTCTTTTTGTTGCAATTAAAATTAAATTATTCTCGTCTTTCCACGTTTTTTTACTCAAAAAGTCATAAAACTTACTTTCTAAAAAGCTCAAGAATGCTACTTTCGCGAATCATATCGAATGATCTAGACTAGACCTAAACAAAACTGATAACTATCTGACAATTAACTGATAAAATACCTAACCACTACTTGACAACGAACTGACAACATCCCTAACTTAGTTTGCCAACACATGACAGAACTCAAACTATGACCTGCCACACTACATATATGGCTTGATCGTACTGATAGTCGGCGACAAGTCATGATCTAGTTTACGCAGTTAGCTGTCACTGACACGTTGCTGACTGTATTAATTGCGTACAGGAGAACGTTACGAGTTGGTTGAGGGAGGTCAGACCGATTACCGACAACAGTTGTTAGTTACTAATCCGCTATTCGTGGAGAAACTTCTGACTGTTTGATGACTGTCAAATCAGTCAGCCGATAATTTTCCAGTAGATTGTCAGAGCTCGAAATCAAGTACAATAATTATTCGAATGTAAAATTTTTCAGAATGAAGTAGACAATTTTGAAAAAGTTGGGGGTTCATTTGCTGTAAACCAGAATGATCTAGGATTTTTCGTCCAACTGTCCAAATGTGCCCGAATTTTCCTTTAGAGAGGAAAACATGGACACTTTCTAGAAAAAATAACTGCACCCAAAAATGTCAAGTAGATTACCATTCAATTCTCATATATAAAGTATAAACATAAATTGGAAGAAATATGATTCCACACATCGAATGACAAGTTGAAGAAGTAAATACATAGTAAGATCTCTGAATAAACGTCTGCAGTGATTATGTATGAGAAATAAATGTACAAAGTATTGTGAATGACGTTTAATAAAACTCGGATAGTAGGGTTTTTGTTCCATGTCCCCTTGTCGCCCAGCCTCGAAGTGCATGCACATACAGTATTTATAGGTGTATATTCTAGCTATTTAAGTCCAACCCAAAGCTGATGAAAAAATAAAGAAAATAACGAATTCTGGAGATTTTGTGATACAGCTTTTTCTCACGGGTGCCCACGTAGAGGGAGTGACTGTTTGTGCTGGGGTGAAAATAATATTTTCCCTATACAGGGTATTTTAAATTCGACTCTCACCATTGGGATCTCGGAAACTTCAAGGGATACGAAGTCATTTAAATAGAGGCAAAGTTGTGTATTCAGATAATTACCAAAATGTCGCTTAGAAAGTTTTGAAATTGAAAGTACTTCCGGAAAGAGACGTAAAAAACGAAATTTCCCAAAATGGTTTTAATTTTCTCTTGACTTCATTTCTGGTGGGATTTCAAAATAAATTGCACATGAACTCTGCCACGTTTTCTCCTCTACAAAACGGCACAATTAGAGTTTCAATATGACGTTTCGTCTCTTGTCCTCCAGCATCAACCTAATTCCCTTCTTATAGACGCCATATTGGATTCTAAGATACATGAATAGAATTTTTATTGATTTAAAAAATGTATGTCATATACATTGACATTGCAAAACATTAGTTCTTCCAGAATTTCCTAGGTACACTTTTAAATTTTTAGATTCCATTTGTTTGCATAGCAACATCAGAGTTTGGAAGACTGTGAATACCTCTGCTTATGGTTATTATTGTCATTACCATCAACAAAATTTTCATTTCGTATTCAGGTTTCACCATGTCTTTTTATTTCCTTTTAATTTTCATCCAACAACAAATTTATGGTCAACTAACAATCACTGAATTTAGGGCTTAAAAAGTCCATTTAAATGTACCAAATTCCAATATAGTGTCCGTATGAAGAAACAAATTTGATGATCGAAGTCGAGAGAAGAAATGTCGAATTGAAAATTTGACTACGCCATATTGCAGGCGTGAATAAGTAACAATGACAATATGCAATTTATTTTGAAATCCCATCTCGAATGGAATCGGGAAAAAATAGAGCGGTATTGGGATAAATCTGGTGAGCGAAATAAACATCTGATAACTTCAAGGCCTACCTAAGAAATTATGTTGTGCTTAAAGTCATCAAGGTTTGACAAGGTCAATGTATGACGTATTATACATTTTTTGAATCAGAATTAAAAACTCTATTCATCTGTACAAAAATGCAATATAGCGTACTTAAGAAATAATAAAGTTGATGCTGGAGGACAAGAGACGAACCGTCATATAGAAATTCTGATTGTGCCTTCTTGTAGAGGAGAAAACGTGGCACTGTTAATGTGCAATTTATTTTAAAATCCCAATATAAATAAAGTCAGGAAAAAACCAGAACAATTTTGGGAAAACTCGTGTAATAATTACGCATTTTGCAATTGTAACAAAAATTTTAAAAAGATTAGTGATCACAAAAATCATATTAATTATGGTTCTTGAAAGTTATGTCAACTCTCTTCATAATCTTCATTATGCCATTACTGGGTCAATAAACAAAATATTGAGCACTTTGGCGCTGGCTGATATTTAAAATGGAATTTCATTAAAATTTCTTCTACCACTTGCTGACCTGAAAATGTTACAAAAACTTGTTTCTGTTGAATTGTGGCTCTGTTTTCTCTGCAAAATTAAGATTTTTGGGTCTCATTTTTTTTACGCCGAAGCAGCAGCGCAGGTGAACCCTACATGTCAAGGCACCGCGGCTGCATTCAGGAGCTTAAAGAAACTTTGTTATTCCCATTTTTGAACTGCCTAAAGTTAGTAGAACTAGGAAAATCTCATGTAGATTGTTACACGATCTCGACACCCTCGGGACAAAGGAGCGGTCTTATCGGCCAGTTCTGGATGTACGAAGTTCGACACGCTTACGATGGGCACATCGCGAAGCGACACCATGGAAGAGAGCTCTGAGGAGCAAAGCCCGTTGGCGTAGCTGGATCGCCAACGGCCCGTTGGTACGAAGGTGTCATCAGACCGACCATTAGAGAAAAGTTCATTAAATGCCTCTTGCGAAGCAATTTTAGTCCTCAATATAGTTCCGACACATTCTGATACGTCACTGTCACTGTTTGACTGGTGTCCTCTGATCTGTCAGAAGGTTCGGTACGAACAGCGGATTAGCTGTCGGCAAACAGTCAGAAACTGTACGAACAGGTAACATCTCTCTGATTCTGATTTTGACAGTCACCGACAAGTTACCGACTACTGTACGAACAAACCAATTCCAACACTATTTATTAAAGAATACCAGTATATCTGAGTATTTTATTCAGTGCAGGAGTAGGGCGTACAGGTACAATAATCTTGAGCGATATTTGCCTTAGAATGGCAGCATCTGAAGGAGCTATAGACTTTTTGTCACACCTAGAGCAATTACGAAACCAGAGGCCCAACCTAGTGGACAATGATGAACAATATAAATTAGGTAAGCTGCAATCAACTATAGAAACTGTAAAAATTTGCTTCAGGAGAAGTAAAGTTTATTTGCACCATTATTATAACAGGTATTAAAGTCTCAAAATACTACACTTCGTAACAATAATGTAACACCTGCGCTTTTCAAGTTCATATAGTCTAATCATATTAGCAAATTTGCCGGAAATAATTGTGAGGTCTGGTTTTATTGGTGCAAGTTGTTCAAAGGGGTATTTAAAACATGGACGCATAAAATGGGGACAGCAATTTTGGACAACAAAGAATGAGAAATCGTGTTGTTTGGGATTCAATCGAGTGTTGACAGGAAAAATCTTATACGAAGAGTTTTTTCGTTCCTGCCAACACTCGATTGAAATCCAAAAAACACGTTTTCTCATTCTTTGTTGTCGAATAAAAAGTTTTCCCACAAAAATTTTTAATGACATTTCGGCCACCCCGGTAGACATTTTCGAGTAAAATGCTTATCAAATCCATAAAATATTGTCATTCAGCATCAAAAGGGAACGGTCGGTTTAAAATTCAAATTCCCAGCGAGCTCCGCCTTAAACTTTTTCTCAGGCGCTAATATTCCAGCAGAGGATCAGGGATTCATAAAATCCTTAACTTATACTTGTTATAGCACATCTAGTGGTAATGGAGTGCATATTTGGTATGCGTACCAGTATACCGTGTGATGCGGATATGGACAAGGTCATCAAGGAATTATTAGAGAGTGACGGGGTTGAAAGGCAGATGCGCTACATAGACGAAGTGGAGTGGCAAGACAGGGCCATGGAAAATAATTCGGAAGAGATGAATACTCCCGTATGCGATGAGAAGAATAGGTTTCCAGATATTGTACCAGGTTTGTTATTATGTTATCCATTCTTCACACAAGGTATCACATAACGCCCCATTCCATTTAAAGAAGTGCCACAAGATGGCGCCCAGCCACCATATTGAATTCATCAACCCGAAGTCATTTTCACGAGTCTCCGTTACGGGAGAATAAGAGCTGATTATCTAGTGATATTTCAAAATTCCCCATATTGACAAGTGTCACACAATTCTGACGGATCCCTCAACGCCAGGTATACAGAGCCGCCGTATTTTGTTGAGATTAATTGTACGCTACGTATTCATTTTGCACTTGCTAAAAACTCTTTTATTTAGTATACGTCCTAAAAAGTACTGTAAGAACCTACCTCTCGATGATGTCTGACCGCCGCCTCCCCTCCCCTTACCCTGAGAAAAATTCCTGCGATTCCCGTCCGCTCACCAATAAGGAGTAACTTACGATTTTCTTTTCAGTGAACAACCGTGTCTATCTAACATGCCATCCTCCATCTGATCAAAAGTCTTCATACATAAACGCAGTTCAAGTAGATGGTTTCAGAAGCCCAGGAAGGTTTTTGGTAACACAACTGCCGTTGCCTAATACTGTAAAGGACTTCTGGAGACTGGTTTGTGAGAGGGAAACTAGAGTCATAATCATGATTGGGACAGTTGATCCCAGTGATAAGGTATCACTTAAATATGTGACATTCCTCAACCTTACATGATTTTAATTCCAAATTAGTTTGTTACATTCATGGGCGCCCATTAGGGAGTGGCAAGTGCCCCCTGACTTCATCTTGAAAAGTGAAATATACCTAATAGGGTACCCGTTTCTTGAACAACGAGTGGTGCATCTTTTCTTTTTTTTTTTTGTGGAGATCCCCCCCCCCCCCCCTCCAGACGCAGGATCCGACTGCAGTAACTGAAAAGAATAAGGAATCAATCGTGTGTATCATGGGCACCAAAAATGTTAAGGTCTCTCAAGCTTGTTGGGCCCATGAAATAGAAAGTTAAAATTTGCTTTTAAAATCCTTCGTTTCTATTTTATAAAATTTTAGTATACCCAGAGACACATCATATGTCAAAATCCATCAAGCCTCTTAAGCTGTAGACCGTAGAACAGGAACTTCAAAGGTAAAATTTTCGATAAACATCCGCCATTTAGATTTCACAAAATTTGTGTCCGGATAAATCTAGATGCAGAGTACTTGACTGGCTAGCTAAGTTGCCAAGTATTAGTTCTCTGGGATGCAGCCAAAAGCAAAGCAAATTTAGTCAGAAGTCGTGATTCATCAAAAAAAATCTAGAGACACCTGATATGTCAAAATCCATCTATCCGTTCAACTTCAACGTTGAAATTTTGGATTAAAATCCGCCAATTTGATTTTGTCAAACTTTATTATAGCCCGTGTCACTCTCCTCATAATATGTTAAAATCCATCAAGTCGTTGCGCTATATCCCGTAAAATAGATTTTTTTGATCATATACCCACGCCTGGAAAACCTTTTCCTGAGGCAGTCCCCGAAGATGGAAATCTTGCTGTACTTAAGCCATGTACAGATATGTAACAACACCGCGAACAAACCACGCGACGAACCGCGCCGCACTAGTGTAGACGGTGAAAAGAACGCCGTCGCGAACCTAATTAGCGTTACAGCTTGCCGTTCGGCCCGATCCATACTCTGTCGGTTTTTCAGCGCAACATGGAGGAATGGCTCGCGACGAAGTTGCACATGTTTGGACACACATACCGGTGCGGCGAGCACCAGTGTATTATTTTGTAATGTAAAATAATTATTTTTCTCACTTGTATATTTTCATTTAAAACTTTCATCAATGCCCCACAAATTTTTGGAATGATGTAGCTGATCGAAATTCGAAACATGTATTGCAAACTACTGTATAAGTCACCGGTCGCTAAAAATCGCACCGTTACTGCAAGTATTTCTTGTACTGTGATGATTGCTCTCCATTTTGTATCTTGTCGTCGTATTTTTGGTCCAATCAACGTGAGAAGATATTCAAAGTCTGTCGGAGATATCCTTGTTGTACTGTCCACTTACTTCTTAAAATTTCAATTCCGCTATCAAATTGTTGCAACCGTGTGCTGATCTATTGGTATAGGTATAACTGCTTTTGCCACCATCGTCTCGGACGTTGTCGCCGCTTGTTTTTGGCTAATTCGTAGCGTATTGAATATAAGCTACAGCTCATGTGGTTTTACGTATGACTTCCTTTGAGATTTTTTGCTATATTTCATTTGAATAATGTGAATTAACAAAAGATATGTTGGTACTCTGACGTTTCACCCACTGCCGTACCGTTCCCTTAACCAGAACTTGAAACATTACTGTTTATGAACAGAAATTCCGCAACATTCGTCCACAACGCTGATGCTATGAATCACGTGTTTGTTTCGAAAGATTAGCTGATTTTTTCCTTCGAGATTGTTTAGTTTATTTAAATAATAATATTAATTATTAGGAGACATATGTGTTACAAGTGATGAAGACACAGTATATGATCTGCAAACAAGTTTGGTCTTCAGATATGTGAAATTTTGGGTTAGGTTATGCGTCACGCGCCTTAGTACGTTTATAAACCGATTTTAACTGGGGCAACATCACGACGATGGCTGGCAATGTCAAAGTTTATAAATCGATCTTTATCCGCGAGCTCATCCTCGATTTTGCCTACATATACAAGGTATACACCTCATATAGATTAAATAGTCGAAAGATAATAGCCACGCATTTTGTTGGAAAAAAGATTCTAAAAAAAGTTTCAAGATATCAATGACGAAAATATGACCTAGGCAATGACATTAAAGGCCATTTGGTCAAATTTGTAAATTCGAACGGCAACCACCATTTTTATGACAGCAGATTAATGTCAAGCTCGAGATTCTAAGTACATCACGAACACGAACAACCCGAAAAATTATCAACCACGCATTGTTTCGGAGGTTTTAAGAAATTTTTAAGACAACTAAAAAGTAATTTATCGATGACCACAAAAATATATCCTCCAAATTATATCTGAAGTCATTGTCTAGGTCGTATTTGAGGTCATCGACAAATTGCATATATCCTGAAACTTTTTCAGGACTGTTGTTTTTCAAAAAAAAATCGTGGTATTTCGGGGTGTTCGCTATAATATACATAAGAGCAAAATCCATGATAAATTCGCGGATAAAACCATGCCAATAACTTTCCTGGGGTATTTGTACAAAGTTTACGTCCCTCCGTAATGTGGTTCAGCCGTAATGCTGACAGACTGGACAGACATTCACATTTATACAGGGTGTCCTCAAAGTTGGGACTTTCCTTTACAGAGCGTATTGGTCAGGTAATATTAGGCATGTTTTTTTTAGTAACATAACATATAATATACCAAAGCTTTAGGATAACCGAGACATTAGGTTTCCCAAAAGCAATAAATGAGCAATTAACGTATGTCCTAAAAGCTATGGCACAAAATATCGGAATTTTTTTAATGAACAAATTTATTTAAACACTAACTAGTTATCATAAATTACAACTTGATACCTAACTAAACTATACTATCGAACTATGTGGAGTGGCGCATTCTACTCTACCAGACACTTTCTTCGAATGTCTCTCATGAGGTCCTGGACGGAATTCAGATCAATTACTCTATTTTTTATAAAATCGCATTCTTAATTGTTCTTCATGTTGGGCTTCCCAGCCTCCAGGATAAACCTTCCTAGACAGTAAAGTCCAAAAATCCTCTATTGGGCGACGATTGGAGGATCATCATTTTTGGGAACAAAAGGTATGTTGTGTTGTCGAAGCCAGTTTTGGGTGTCTTTTGAGTAGTGGCATGATGCTAGGTCTAGCCAAAACATGATATGGTCATTAGTATGATGTTCATGGACAAACTGAAGCAATTTGGAAAGGCAGTTATCAATATAGCTCTGACTATTCAAAGCTTCACCCCACACTCTTCCCATAAAAGGTTGAGATACACCCCTGTTAGAAATTTCGCACCAGACAAGGATTTTATCTGCAAATTTCGCTTTATGCTTGTATCTAACATTGTCGGGGCATTCCTCTATGTTGTCCGTATAAAATGTGTTGCCTCCCTTCGTTTCGGAATGACTCTCATCTAAAATAATGATTTTTCCATTGGCAAAGTGTATCCGTCTCAGTTGACGACAGCATTTTGGTCTAGCACTTAGGTCTCTTTCGATATTTTTCCATTCCTCCCCAAATCCAACGATATCTTACTCTTAAAAGATCTGTATTGACAAGCTAGTCTCCTTGTAGACATTCCAACCGGATTTTTTGCTCTTCTCACCAATCTCTCTGACCTCTGTGCAGTAAATGTAAGTGATCTTCCACTTTTTGGGAGATTCAGACATGTATTCCCTGCTCGCAGTCGGCTATTGTTCGATAAATGGTTCTGCGTGAAATATTTTCATTCTGGATTATTCGAAAGATTTCAGCTTTGGGTACCCGCCCAAGCAACTTGTAGATACTTTTTCTTATTTCTAATTTATACATCTTAAAGCGAAAACTTCAAAATGAGTGAACCGACAGTAAAGTTTTGTTCCAAAGGCAACTTGATATTATACTAAGTGACATATAAATCCGAACACCCAGTTTAAATGGTTTTATTTTAATAAAATTTTGTATAAGTACTTAATGAAGCATAATAAGTAAATGATAAAAATTTCAAAATGATTGCACTGCTTTAAAGCACTTTGACCTTTAATAATGTGTGGATGCACCCTGATGTGCTACGCATTCTCCAACGCGCCTAAGCATGCTTCTGATCAGGTGGTCAATGTCCTCCTGTGGTATCTCATTCCAGGCAACCACCAACTCCTCTCGAAGTGCTTCTAGAGTCTGAGGAGGACGTTGCAAATTGAGCAATCTCCTACCCATCATATCCCACACGTGCTCAATTGGGGATAAGTCGGGAGATCTTGGTGGCCATGATAACAATGTGACATCATTATGTTGAAAGAAGTCTATTGTGACTCTTGCAACATGTAGTCGGGCATTATCTTGTTGGAAAGTTGGATCTGCCAGGGTGTCAAGATAGGGTAAAAGATGGGGTTCTAGAACTTCGTGTATATAACGCTGCGCGTTCATGTTACCTCTGATGAAGATTAAAGGTGACCTGAAACCATAAGCTATAGCACCCCAAACCATAACTCCAACAGTGTGATGAACATGTCTTTCAACAAAAAACTGTGGATTCCTCCTTTCACCAGGTCGCCTTATAACCCTGGCACGACCATCGTGCATGCCTAAACAAAATCGAGACTCGTCACTAAAGACAATACTGTTCCATTCCTGATCCCAGAGTGACCGTTGTCTGCACCACTCAAGGCGATTACGTCGGTGTTCTCGAGTTAAAGGGAGAACCCAGTGTGGCCGGTATGAAAACAAGCCAAAACTTCTCATTCGTCGGTAAACACTTCGCATGCCAATAGGTCTTCCGTGTTCTGCAAACCATTCATTTGCAATGGACCTGGTAGTGGAGAAACGGTCCCTTAAGGCCAATAATCTTAGGCGGCGATCTTCACGGCCTGTTGTTCTACGGCGGAGTCCAGTGCTCCTTACTCTTTGCGTACGGCCTTCTCGAAGCCATGCCTGACAACACCTAACCACAGTGTCTACACTTCTTTGCACTCTAACTGCAATTGCCCGAAAAGAAAGTCCAGCTTCCCGAAGTCCCACTATACGGCCCCTATCAAACTCACTAAGTTGACGAAATCGTACAGGTCTCCGTACTCTAGGCATCGTAACCGATCGTAAAGGATGTCAAGAACCAAAATCCGCCAACGTTGATTCTTTACTGCGGCTGAAATATTCATTTTTAGAGCGTTAGTGAATTAAAAAAAAGCAGTATAAAAACCGGAATGTCCAACTGATAAGGCTGAAAATTTTTTCACTTGTTATTTACAGTAAGATAAATACATTCACCAACATTTATTAAAATAAAACCATTTAAGCTGGGTGTTCGGATTTATATGTCGCTTAGTATATTTTGTGTTTGTTAAAATTAAGGCCAATGAATTTTGTGCCTGCCTCTCCTCACAGACACACACACTCAGAACGTTGCCGTCTTCCTCCGATGTTTCTTTCCATCAAGGCTGTTTATATTGTTTTTCATATCATGCAAAAGCCGTCTGCTTGAACACTGTTGCAAGTTTAGAAAGATGAAATCAAACACGTATTTTTGAATCGAACAGCAACAACTTCAAGCAGTGTTTACAAGCAAAAGTGAATACTTTCCTTCAATTTCTTTTTTACATTGTCGGTGTTGTTTTGCCGCAAACGTAGTTGACTCTGAAAAGGAAAGTCCCAACTTTCAGGACACTATGCTCGATTTTTATGTCCCCACCTAAATATTTCGAAAACTGTGCATTCTAGAAAAAAGAAACGACAGTTGCAGGATTCTTGAATTTCCTGCATTTCCAGTAAAGAAAGAGAAGTTTTGGCTTGACCTTGACGGTCATGGTCAAAGTCACCCTTGTGTGATCCCCACAAACGTCACAACTGTGCTGTCGCAATTTTGCTAGAACAAATTGTTCTCAATGTCTTGACTTCACCTTGAAATAGCTTTGAAAGCAATGGTCAAGGTCATAGCTATGGTGATGCTCGGACGTAAAATTTTATTTGAAAGGACCTTAAAGGTGGTAACCACTATTTTGCCTTTTCGACACTCTAGAACTTTTGTTTCGAACTATTTTCTCTAGAATGCGTAGTTTCCGAAATATTTAGGTGGGGAGATTGAAATGGGACCCCGTGTATATAGATATAGATTGATTTTTTATAGACCATCTGTCAGTTCTGGCCATCACAAAATTCAAAAATAAGTCCAGTCGACTTCATCCATATAACCTGCATAGCAAGAACGTCTTCAGAAAAATCTGAACAAATAAAGATGAAAATTCATGACAGTTCGAGAAAGGTAAGTTTAGTAGAGAACAGACTATAAACAATAAAGACTGGTTATTTACTTTTATGGGTGAAAAATATTAGCATTTGCTAGACTATGTGCATACATGTTGAATAATTTGTATTGCATGAATTTTCAGATCGAGTTCAATGTGAATATGCTGGTGTTTAACGAATGGAAAAATCAAAACGCCGTGCCTGCGAACGTGGAAGATCTTCTTTCATTTTTACTAGCAGCGGAAAATCTCTCTAGAAATATGCAGAATGTTATCGTCACTTGCTAGTAAGTATGGTAGATGGTTGATGGTGTAACTTACCGCTTAAATGAAAAAGAATACAAATAACAAAGAAAGCTGTATATTACGAGTATGTATGGTAAAAATAGATCTTTAAATGGCACCACACTTTTTCTCCACCTTTCCTTGGTCAGCTGTTTGTTTCGCTAACTCAGTGAAACAGATCGTGCGACCCTGCTCATCGGCAAAAGATCAAGGTACACAGAACTTTCCTTCAAAACCCCATTATAGAGAAGGGACAAGTCGGCGTCGAATCCAGAAACAAATGTAACGGAGCGGTTCGCAGCGTAATGGCATCCAGTCTATCTGAACGCTGGCCAAGCGTGCTTCTCAAAGAGTAGCCTTCCACCGCTTACCTGTCAGAATGGAACGATTTTTTTTAACTCCAATAAACGCTATTATTATTATTATTTTTGTAACGGACTCAGAGGCTAGGATAGAAGTGTTTGCCAAAATCTTTGACTGCCAACTCCTCCATGCACGTCCCCCCACAGCGCCCGAGTACCGTCCATTATTCAAATGAAGTAACCATCAGGCATAACAAGACCGTAAAACGTCTGGACTTGACTTGATTCCTGCCGTTGTACTGAAGAGATGTGCAACGGAGCTTACTGTCGTTCTTTCGCGTTTCTTCCATACATCTTACGAATCCAGCACTTTCGGCATAAGAGGAAACTTGCTGATGTCCAACCCATCCCTAAAAAAGGATCAAAGACCCACCCTTACAACTACAGGGATATAGCACTGCTTTCTGTTATAAGTTTAGGTGATTACGTCAGGCAACTGTGGAGTAAACTCATTCAGTCATATGGTGAGGCTTATGTCGTTGCATTCGATCATTTGTGCTGCCCTATGATGCAAACTTCCATCCTATGGCCTCCCAAAGAAGCTTTACAGATGGGCCGCTGATATCCGTCGTAACTGAGGAGTTGTCCTCTTCATCCCACAACGTCAACGCGGGTGTTCGCCAGGATCGGTCTTGGGTCCGACATTGTTCTTAACTATCGACGGCCTGCTTTCCTGTACGATCAATCTGGTTCACAGCCGATCTCTGCCGGTGAGGTGGAGAAAAGGAGAGTAGAGACGGCTTCCTTTCTGTCGAGAAACCTAGAGGTTATCACTGCTTGGGGATGCAACAATCTTGTACAGTTTAATACCTCCAAAACAAAGTACTGTACGTTAACTAACAAGAAGCGTCCTAGTGCTCATCCGGTTTCGATTGATGGTCGAGTTCTACCAAAGAGCCATTCACTTCGGCTGGTCGCGTCAAGATCACCGAGGGCTCGATCTGGCACGAACACGTCTCATCAGTAGCTGCAGCAGCTAGGAAAAAGCTCTATCCACGCTCGAAGCTGATCAGAGGAAGGTTGTTCGTCTGACCGATGACTCTTCTGTGAGTCTCGGGATCCTTTTGCTCCGCCGGGCCGTCGACGATCTAGCTATGTTCTGCCGCTACTCCAACGGGCTTTGCTCCTCAGAGCTCTCCTCCATGATGCCATCGCGCGATGTGCCTGCCAGACAGACCTGCTTGATTTCTACGTCCATCTTAACCGTGTCGAACTTCGTAGATCCAGGGTATCGACAACATTCTTACCCTATTTCACGAGTATTCATCACGGTAGAACGACAGCTGGTTATCTAGTAATACTTAAAAATTCCCGATATCGACAGAGAACACAGAATTCTGACAGATTGGTCAAAGCCAGGTAGACAGAACCGTATTTTGTTTTGGTTTTTTGTATGCCAGACATTCATTTTATACTTGCTAACAGCTCTTTTATTTAGAAAATTTTATTTGCATACAAAAAACAAAACGCCACAAAAAGTGTTACTAGATTTATACCCGATTCATTATTGCCGACGTTGCAGGCTAACATACCTGATGAAGCTTTTCCCAGTTCTACTAACCTTAGCCAGTTCAAAAATCGGATTAACAAAGTTTCTTTAAGCTCTTCCTAGCAGCCGGCGTATCCTGACATTTAGGCTTCTGCCTGCGCGGCTGCTTCGGTATGAAAAAAAAATCGCAAAAAACGTTTCTTATCGTATTGGATTATGAATAATCATATTTTTTAGACCCTCGTGTATTTACAAGTTTTTTTTAATTCTCAGTGACGGTGTGAACGCAAGCGGATTGTACATCGCCTTATCATTCTTGATAGAGAAGATGAAATTAGAACACGAATGTGATGTTTGCCAGGCTGTTAGGAATATAAGACACATTCGGAGGCAATTCATTTCAAAACAGGTATTCATTGCTTGATATTAAACTTCTGTGAATATTCTACATTGACAATCATCACAGATGAATAATTAGTTTGGAGCAGTTCCTTATATCAGTTGTTCTCATGTCAATACATGCCGTTCAGGTATTATCTAACTGACAAATATTTATTATGAATAAACGGTATCACTTTTGATTCGGCAAGTACTTTTCCATTTCAGGAGCAATACGAATTTTTACTCAAGGCATGTCTGAGCTACATAAAAGGATTTGAATTGTATTCAAATTTTACTTGATGGTAAAGCGCAACATCTGCAACGTAGTAGCATAGCCAAAGCAGCACCACAAAAAAATGTTAGGTTTATTTGAGGTTGTTATTAAAGGAGAATATAATAACATTAACAAATAGAATCTTAAAAGTTTATTTTTTTATTGTGGTTTTAAATTGTTTTAGTCACAATTAACTTTAGGAGTTTTGTGAACTTGCGGGTTGTTTACGTTCTAGTTTGTGACGCTGTGGTTTTTACGCAGTTTTAAAGATTATCCTAATAAAAGTAATAAAACCCGTTTTTAAATCTACTTAACCTTACCATCATTGCGTCACTAAATAATATGCCTTAAACTTATTTCTTTAGTTTTCTTTGAAACTGCTTTCTCATATGCAATTAGTAGGCTATATTAAAGCTGAACCCTCTTAATGAATTTGGTTAACGTGTAAGGATTAAGAATATTTATTATTTCTTTCATGTCCATAAAAATAATAAATCACTAACTTAAAGGCATAATTCCAATTTAACATTGAAACTTTTAAAATTGTAGATAACAAGATTTTTTTCAAATTGATGTTTTTCATTTTTTAAGTTTTTTCAATTATTTATTAGAACTTTCGAGGCGCTTGAATGTTAAACATCTTTTTTGTTAACATTTATCGGTAAAGTTGTATTTTTATATCTTGACACTTCGAAATAGTTTATACTCCTTTGTATTACTTTATAGCTACAAATACATACTGATTCATTATACATAGAAGAATTTGTTGGCATACTATTAACCTTAAGCTTCTTTTATGTAATAATAAATGATTATATAATTGTACAGCACCATTTCCATTTAACGTTACTTGAGTAATGGTCTCAATAGTTATTCATTCATATTATGTATTGTTACATTTTTATTGATCTTCTTTGTTTTATATTACATTTTTTTACCACATATGCAAATCTGTATCAAGTGGATATGAATAAAGAAAGAATAATAGAGATTTTTATTTTTTGTTTTATTGACAGCTATCAGCGTGGAACCTTTTATGCTGTAGGCAAGATTATTACAACCTTAAGGTTTATTCATCCTCAAAGTACTTAATAAACCCGATCCGTGGTATTCTTATAATGCCAGCTTATAACTTCTTAGTAGTAATACACTGTGAACAAAAACTAATTGTCTTTGTTTTAAGACTTTGACTAGTATTTTCCATATTTCATCGTTCATAAGGTCCCAAGATGGGTACTATGGGATCACGTAAGCAAGAGCGTATTAAGGGGCGCTTTAGGACTGATGGAATCACAATCGTGAAGGTCGATTTATAAACGCCGACATTGCCGTAGCTCCAGCGTGCCGTTACGGTCTTCATCACTTGTAACACACATCCGATAATTAATATTATTCTTAAAGGAAGCAACGCCGATTCCAAGAGTAAAGCAATACTCTAATCATATTAGACGAAAGTACCCCTGGTTTGCGAAATACTTGTAAAGTTTGGTTTTATAGCTGGAAGTTGTTCAAGGGGTTATTTAAAACATGGACGGATAAATGGGTACACTAATTTTTGTGGGGAAACTTTTTATTCGACAACAAAGGATGAGAAAACGTGATTTTTGGGATTCAATCGGAATTGTTGGCAGGAACAAAAAAAAACTGCATATAATATTTTTAGGTATTTATGAGACCTAAAAAATGAGCCCACACTTAAACAGATCCTACTAAAAAAGTTATGGCCGAAAACCGCAGATACTTGAAATTCTTCAAATTCGTATGTTTCATACTTCTAAATAACCACAACCAAATTTTAGTAGATTGGTCAAGTAGTTATTGAGAATTTCTAATTGTTTATCCCAAAACACCTGTACTCTAGCCATAACTTCTAGTTTATTGAGCAATATACAGGGTTAGTTCAAAAGCCATAGCAAAATACACTAGTTTGCCTTGCCGATATGAATCGCAAAGCATTCCGGAAGATAAATGTTATTTTTATGCAAAAAAGAATGGGTTACGTTTTTTTTTCTAAACAAATTCAAATATTTCGTATTTGTGAATAATTCGTAACAAAAGGTGATATACACATCCGCTTTGTTTTAAAATGTGTATAGTACGAATATCGTACCGCATTTGTTCAATTACTCACAAATACGAAATGTTTGAATTTGTTTAGAACGAAAAGACGTAACCTTTGTTTTTCGTATAAAAATAACATTTATCTTTCGGAATGGTTTGTGATCCATATCGGCAAGCTAAACACGTGTATTTTGTTATTGAATACTCTTTGAACGAACCCTGTATACTGCTCAATAAACTATTAGTGATGACCGAAAAACAGGTGTTTTGGGATAAACAATTTGAAATTCTCAAAAACTACTCCAATTTTGTTATTTAGAAGTATGAATCCTACCGATTTGAAAAATTTCAAGTAGCTGCGTAAAATTATCGTCACATTACCAAGTGCATTTTGCCTCGTTTTTCGGCCATAACATTTTTTGCTATTAGTCTGATCTTTTTGCGTGTGGTCTCATTTTGTAGGTCTCATAAATACCTAAAAATCTTGTTTGAAAAGTGTTTTCGTTCACTTTCGATTGAATCCCAAAAAACACGTTTTCTCATTCTTTGTTGTCGAATAGTTTTCCCAAAAAAAATTGGTGAACCCATTTTATGCGTCCAGTTTTAAATACCCCCTTGAACAACTTGCACCAATAAAACCAGACTTTACAATTATTTCGGGGAAATTCGCTAATACGATTAGACTACAAAACAGATTTCATGTCAAACAGCGAAAAGCGCACGAAATAACCAGCTGATCTGTGGTAACAAACGCTCCCTTTCATTGGTTAAATCGGGAACAGCAACCGCAGGGTTAAAACTTCGTAAGTATACCGTCAATGTTGCGGACGAACGTTGCTGAATTCCTATGTATAAACAGTTTAAGGCGAAAAGTGTACTAAAACTACAATACATATTTTTAAAGGATTCAATCGTCTGGTGTACTTCAACAAAAATCTAACTGATCTAATGTTTTGGGCGAAATAAAAAACAACATATAAAATAACTAATGAAAGTTTATTTAATATGGATAATAGGCAATAATAATGTAAATGCTAGTAAAAATAAAAGGCAAACTATACAAAAACCGCCAGATTAAAATAAAAAAAAACATTCAGCACAAAATTAATTTTGAAAACTGGGTATTCAATAAATGACAAACGAGTGCTTCGACAAAGACCAAATATATCTTCTCATTCCAAAACACTACAAACAGAAAAATGAAAAATCTTTTAGATACTGTCCGTTAACCTAAGCCAATTATAAGTATTTCAAACACAAGAAATTGGAACATTAATTCATGTTTTTGTTTTTTGCCATTTTTATTTTTGTTTTTATTATAGATTATAGTATAATATAGGTATATATATATAGCAGCTTATGCTTTCACACTGACTACATCTTCACGTCCAGGTTAGTTCACAGCCCTATGTAAACATCTAAATATTGAATATATATACGAACTAATATCCTAGATTAACACTACTTCAAACATACCAAACATATCGAATAACGAAGTTGGAATCCACTACATATAGATTACGGTTCGAAAAGTAAAACTGATGTGGCATTTTGACACTGAGTCACCCCATCTTCATCTGAAAATAATGCAAGCTTCATACCATATTGTATTAGTGAAGCCAGATTACGTACAGATTCAAGTTAAAATAGAGACAAATCCATAAGACCACACAAATTGAATGTTTAACAACATGAACCATTGAAACCCAAAATGTTGCTGTTTCAGAAAGTTGAGTAACTGGATTAACCACAAGTTATTTTTTTCTTCCTCTTCTCATTTCTGCCCTTCCTAGTCAAGATAACTATAAGTCTGATCATAATCAAGATTGATTACAAAAGCTTCAGCATTATACTTGAATATTTGAAGTGTAATACTGTGGTGGGTCTCCCAATGATTCACTTTTCCTTAGCAATGCCAGACGAAATTCCAATCTGTAGCATTACCTCAAACCGAGTGCTCGGCATCGAGTTTCCAGGTAACTCATAAATTCTAATGTTTTCTTGGCCTTTATGAACCAAAGAAGTTTTTGGTAGGATGCTCGTAAAACGCTTTACAAAACCTGAGAAACGTCTACTTCTCAAACAGGTGGAAAATTGACGGTTGAAAAGTTGTCAATTTTCCAACTACCGAAAGCGTCAGTCAATAAAATAATGATGTTCATGAATCCGCGCATCCTAACAAAATTATACAAAAAGGAAATTATAACATCACGTTTTGGCCATATAGGTATTTCCTTGATCCATTTGCTTCAAATCAGTGCCAACGTCACTTTTATGTATTCTTCAAGAACATTACTATGTTTTTGTCAGTATTCAGAAACACGCGGGTAACGTCATAAAAATGACAAGTGTCTATTAATTAAAGTGTTATGCTATTCCAACTGCTATCAATACATCGTACACTAAACCAATACACTACCTACAGAAACACATTTCAGAAACACAACCTTGAACAATCCAAACTGAATCGTATCTCTAGAAACTAATAGAAGATTGTGTTTATAAAATTGAATGTGTAGAATCGAGCGCCGTAACAACTAAAATGTTCAAGCATTTACGATACACTGTAAAGCTGTTAGAAGCGCTACAAAATTATCGACGTACGTTTGAAAGGTGCACTTTTTGATACATCAGAATGTAGAGAGATATACTGCAACAAACGAATGGTATAATACAATTAGGGGAATAAAAACTCTACCCTTTGTATATTTGTCGAGTGTCCATTTCTGCGCTAGGAATAGTAATTATCTGATGTGATAGGTAGAACTTAAAAACAGTAAAAAATGTGAAAATGTGTCAATGTGAGGATGATATTAGCAGATGTAAAACGCACAATGGCATCGGTAGAATATGAATACAGTGTGTTACAGTATTTCTCTAGCATATGTCTCAGTCTGTGGTGTAGTAATATGATTGGAAGTATAGCAAGTGATGTGAAAGACATTTCATCACAATTTTTGTGTATATTGCAAGAATATTTCAAAAGGTGCACTATCAAGGGGACTGTATCTCGAGTACAAATATTTACAAACTGTTGATTCTATGCTTGATGTTGTAAAACAAGAGATTAAAATTTTCAGTTAAAATTCGTCTAACAAACAGTATTTTTTTAGATTGATGACGATTAAATATAGGTTATGATGCTTGTAAAGTGTTTTATATTAAGTCTAACAATTTTGTACTCGGAGATTGCAATCTCCTCAAACCAAAGTGTCGAATTGTTTGGGCCGTGAACTGATGTTGAGACGTTGTTTGAATGGCTGTTTACTCGATGTTATAGAGCATGCAGATGTTGCCTTTGGCCAGTTGAGGTGGTACCAATGGCGAGTTTGGTGATAGCACCGTGAAACCGAGGAACATGAATGTACGCACCACCACTGCTCTGTCTGGACGGTCCTTGGAGAACACCTGCAAGATTAACGAACCGAATCAGCGATCTTTCTGTCTAAACTAAACTAAACCCGCAGCGTGGAAGTAGCGTAAAGTATAGGTCATTCGTTTCGCATTAGTGTGAAGGAGATTGGTTGCGGGAGAAAGAAATGCAATATTCAAAGTAATACAGTAGCTACTTTGGTAACTGATATCTTAAAGTGACCTTGAAGGTCACTGGTCAGGTTCATTGGCAAAGATATACCTGAACTTGAAATTGTCCGCAATTTGAATTTCAGAAAAAACATGACCTTCAAATAAGCTTGAAGGTCATAGTCAAGGTCACAACTTTAATGCACAACATTTTCCTTATGAAACATATTTTTCGAGATATTTTTCCTTTTTCCTTCATCCAGGACACCCTCAATTACGCATGGTCACGGTCATAAGCAAAATAATACTTTCTCGTAAAAAAATTCCACCCTTTACATTTCCAGTGTCAAAAATAGAGGCTTCATTTAAGAAAAGTGCCTTGATCTTCAAAAGACCTTGAAGGTCAAAGTCACGCTTGGATTCATCCAAACCGTACAACTTTGTTGGTTTTTTTTAAGAAACCTATTTTTCAAGATATTTTTATCTATCCATACTTTATGAACAACAATGCCTATAACCTTCTTCGGGTTTCAATTAGTAACTGTACAAATTTTTATATCTCTCCGTATTGTGGTTCGGACGTGATGCTGACATTCCCATTAATAATAATAAACAACTTTTATTTGAGGCGAAGTTTGGCTACAAGCTATCGCACCACTTAACCGTTGAAAAAACTAGCACTAGAATATTGATATCAATTTCAACATAATATTATTCCAAAATTTAAACGAAAATTACAAATTAAATACCGCGTACACGTGTATGTACAAAAAAAACTATGAAAGATTTATGTAACATGCATAAATATGAAGAAATATGGATGATCTATATACTGAAGTTAATTCAGATTTGAGGATCAAAGATAATTTATTCAATTTGCTATTTAGCAGTCGATGGTAATGCATTAATATAGATTGATCGTATTAGAGGTAAAGCATTTATGAAATAAAGAAGTTTTATGAAGAGGCATAGTTAAAGTGTCAGTGACAATGTCCTGTTGGATAATTTTCAATAGAATTGTTTAGATTCTCTATTATTTGTGCTTCTGAAATTTCTAAGTTTTCATGAATGATATGATAATTGTGAGTCGTCTGCAAAAAACTGAATACTATAAATTTTACAGCCCTGTTTATATCTGCTATATATAAATTAAAGAGGAGTGGTCCAAGAACTGATCCTTGAGGCACTCCTGAGGAAAGCAGCCGATCTGTAGAAAATTATGAATCAACGACGACCTTTTGGGATCTATTTATCAGAAAGCTGTGCATTAAACTCGGTGAGGAATCATCGCAACCATAATGATTGAGAGTGATTGATTGTATCGAATGCCTGATATATAGAGTTAGTATGTATAGATGGAAGTAACGTTGGCAGTTCGCAACATTTAATCAACAAACTACCAAATCTGACAGCCAAGTGAAAACCGCTGCCAACTGCCTATTTTACGGCTACTGCGTTATATGTAATATAAAAACGCAGCAATACTGGACCGCTTCATGTTAGATGAATGCACTCCGTGTGCTTCATAAAAGAATCATGTGAAAATGCTGATACTACAAATTATCGAATTAATCAAGTTTATGTTACCCAAGAAATGTTAATAGGTTTATAGACAAATAAAGCTATCATTATTTGTCAAATTTGCTTCTTCAACGTAGCTTTGGGAAAAAACTACACTAACTACTGACTACAAATGATCGCATATAGACCTGAGGACATTATCATTACTTATTCAAATTCAAATCTGAATAGGCAGATGCCAGTAAACTCTCCTTCGTATAACCCAATTAAAACTGATTTAGACGAATTAGCAGATGGCCATCAAGCGGACAGCCTCGTGCCGAATGTTTTGATAAATAAAATAACTCTGTAATGTTAAGTATGTAAGAAAAATAAATTTTGACTGATAAGGTCAAAACTACTATGTTCAACGCCAAACTTCATTAACTTGTTAAAATGTTGTAAATCTAAATCAAACCAAACCGAATTCCAGCATGCACTGACGTGAAAAATATTGGTTTCTCCAGATGTCTGACGCCTAACAATCCAACGTAGTTACTTTTGGGTGATGTACCGAAGTCAACAATGAATACAGTACACAAAACTTCTATATACTCACCACGATAACATGTTTGCATCGCAGCTTCTCTTCAGCCGCGTCCAACAGTGCAACGAATGCCTCCCTGCTGCCCTCAGGTGGTACCTTTTCAGGCATGGCGACATACAAAGTGGTACCTCCAACCAACGCCGCGTCCCACGGTACTTGTCTGCCGTCGGTGCGAAAGCTAAGCCGCAATGGGGCCCCGTTTGGGGCGCCGCCTTCGCCCCCTATTAGATCATAATCTATGAGCACTTACTGGGATAATTTGTCACAAGATATAAAATATTATGCAGCCTGAATAGGATACGTTTGCTTTCCATCTCTGCGACCATAACCAACCGTATACAACGTTGTGTTATCGACACCTCCGCCTATGATGAGGTATAAAATATCAACGATAAAGATCATGATAAGTGATCAGTTTACTTTTGATAAACTATCCAAGGCATCTGCTTTGTTTATATTATGTCAAGTGGCTACAGATACAGAAGGGTGAAAAGTCGTCGCTTAAAGAGGCAAGACATTCTGTGTCGCCCCCTAAGGCGGAATACATCGTAGATAAAGTCCGCGTCTATTTATTCTAGGTATCTCCAATAACTTGAATTATTCGCATATTTTTTAGTCTGTAACAGTATTAGTAGTATAATCAGTTGGAGTCAGCTTACGAGAGCGTTACCAGAAGGGTGATCCAAAATTCCCCCAGAACAAAAACCAATATCACCCAGAACTGCAAATTTTTCAAAAACTTCCATAAATCATACTTCATTAATGTGGGGGAAGTTATTCGTAAAACCTGTAAGTGATACCATCTAGGTGATTAGCTTTTAAAGCCGTACGATGGAAATTTACACGCTTTAGTATAAAAAAATAATCAGTTTAAAATTCAATATTTTCCTAATACGAATAACCTGTGAGCTCAGCCGTAAAACGATAAGCGCATGAACGCAAAACGATGAACGCATTCCGTATGTCCTTTGGCTATACGGGGTGTCCCAATATTCCGTGGACATAGAAAGACCACGTATTTTTAGCCTCAAAATAAGCCGAATGGACATGATTTACCTATATGCAAAAGTGCTTCATTTGTCCGTTAGAGGTCGTCGAAGTTTCCGTTTCATAACACATTTTTTCAGATATTGGAATCGATAGTCCGATTTTAACATGAGCTCTGCTAGACGTCCTAATATTTGACTTTTACAAAATAAAAAACCGAGAAGGGTGAACACTACCACCACCTCTATATAAATTATAGCAGATTATTTTCGCAACTCTCTCAACCACTCTCATTTTTTTTTTATTTGAAAGATCCTTTTATTTACTTCATTTTATGTCTCATAAAAATAGGCCATCTCGCAATGTTTGAGCGAAAAAATATGTTTTTCGGAGCTGGTTTCTCAAAAATGTTCTTATTACATCAAGTGTTTAAATTTTTTTCGCAGTAGGTTATGTGCAGAAACAAAAATGGCCGTCATATTAACACCACCGCCTAAAACAATACATTGTACTTCTAGGTCCACGAAATATTGGGACACCCTGTAGATACAAGCCTACCAACCCACAGTAATTAACCAAAAGTGTAGAGACCAGTCATTTTAGGGTTTTGTGGGGATCGGTGCGACCACGAGGAAACAAAAAACTTAAGAGATATTACATTGTTATTCTGCAGTGGACACTTTCGGACGACTAAAAATAGAATAAAATACCCCGAAAATGCACAACGAATATATTTTCCCCCAAAAAATCCCCCAGAACCTAAATATCCCCCAAAGGCTTAAAAATCCCCCAATATATCAACCCTGGGTGACGGAAAGCAAAGAAGAGAAAATAGGTCTGATGAAAAACTCAATACTGTGATGTGCAATTTTCTCTTGTTTGCTTTCTTGTCCTATGTCACCAAATGCCTAGACTTAGACTGTAGTGATGGATGCTAAAACGCATAAAACAATGTTGTATTCAGTTGGTTGTGGTCGCAGAGACGGAAAGCAAACAGAACTTATTCAGCCTGTGTTTAGTTACTTCATCCTTTGACGAACCTGAAATAAATTATTTATAATGCAACAATGGGACGCCTGTGGTTGATTTTCTTTTGCTAGTTCTTTGATGCCGTACGGGAGCATCGGTAGTACCGCGATTATCGAAACTATTCATAGGAGGACCTTTTTCGCCCATATAATATCTATATTTAAGACTCCCCAGTAATGTTGTCTATTTCTATATAAAATAAAAATCTCCATTCATGTCATTACAATTTTTTGACAACATTTTTACAGAATATTAAATATTTTCCCATTACTTTTCAATTCAAAAATATATTTCTTGCCTTAGCTCTGTAAATTCCGTATTTCTTAAATTCTTCTCTGGATAAAAAAAAACGTCAAAACCAAATGAGTTCCAATAAAACTAAGTTTGAATATTTCATGTACGTACGTTATATACCACAACTACATAAATCCTAAACAACTAAAGACACTTTTTTATAAATCATGGTAGGCTCGATTCCCGATTGTACGGAAAGCATACCATCGAGCATTCAGTCCACATCAATGTTCACACAACTTCCAACATCGCGGCCGACACCCGCTATATACGCAACTGATGTTTTGGACTTGCGTTAATCGAAATCCGCAGGAATCGAAATCGAAAGGGATCGGAATCGAAAGGAACCTGGAGTAAAATGAGTTGGAATGGAGAAGAATCGGAATCGAAAGGAATCGGAGTCGAAATGCATCAGAATTGAAAGGAATAGGAATCGAAAGGAATCGGAGTCGAAATGAATCAGAATCGAAAGGAATAGGAATCCAAAGGAATCTGAATCGTCAACTAATCGAAGGAATCGGTTTCGAAGTCCAGCTCTACAATGTAAGCTAGGAAATACAGAGTTAACGAAATAATGTGTAGATGGGATTTAATTCGCACACAAGATGTAGTTGGATAATTTACCTCCCCCTCCATCTCCATTAGTTCCGCCGGATACATCAGGACCACCACAGAGGCCCGCTGCCCATAGACGCCTTACGCAGGGAGGCCTCGGCGTCGGACGCACTCATAGCTCCACGCTTACTACTCAACAGGTTGCTGCTGAAATTATAAACATATACTATGTTAATCCCCCATGCTTGACTATCCAAGAAAACCAATGTATTGACAGATCTTCTTTACTGATTATTTGTCTTCCAGGTGACAGTAAGTTTTTTTCTTTTCATTATCACATCCATAAACACTGCGTTACTACAATAGTCTGAAAGTTCCGTAACATGCTGAGATTGCGCGAAGTCATCATTCCGAATTTTAAGACGGCCCCACGCAAAACCACCATCGCCCAGAACAGCCAGGAGTAGCCATTCCCGTTCCCAAAAAAGGACGTGCAGCCCTCCAAAACGACAAGCGAGTATGAGGTCGTTTTTTGAATGTACCAGATACGTCACCCTCGTCCATCGTCCTGGAAACACCAAAAGCCCTCCAAAAAATGCGACCACCCACCAAGAACTGCAGTCGCAACACACCGGTTAATAGTTATGCAACTTCGACTAAAATGTTGCAGAATTTTAAATATTTATAGGTGGTTTGATTGGCCAGACAAACTCGAGGGATTAAGTTTCAGATGTTGCATATACCATTTTAATTATGGAAACCCTTAAGCACGGTTTTTAAATCGCAATCAACTGCAACTCTAACCACAAGTTAACTCGCAAAAAACGTTTTTTAATGTCAAGTTTGTCCTACAACGAGATGGCGGATAACGTTATTTTTCAACACCCGTGCTATCTGATACCGTTAGGTTTTGATATCAGTGATTGTGTGTTATATTATCGTGTGTGGTGACGAGCATAGAATGGTATTTTTAGCGAAACTTGCATAATTGATGTAATTTCGGCAGCTAACAGAATTGAAGACACAAGTGGATAAAGGTGTATATATATATATATGTGATCAGTTCTTATCACCCTTTTAACAGTTCCGGAATCCCTATCACTGGACAAAAAAGAATGGCCACGGACCATGAACTATTTCCTTACTGCTGTGAGTGTTATTAAAATTGTACCATTGTGTGGTTGCGATTTTGCTCAGGACACTCGTCGCAAAATAAGTGGAATTCGGTAATTTCTGTTATTCACTTGAAGGAGTCTACGGCACAATCTGGCGGTTGAGTGGAAGAACGGTACATGCGCCGCACGTGTACTGTTCTTTCATTCAGGCGTAAATTAAGCAGACTGACACCGAACATACCAAGCTCGTCGCTGTAACATTCTTTCACTATATGAGGAGTCTTTGAGTTTCACACAATTTGGCTCTCAGTTAAAATTGCAATTTTTGGCACTTGTATTGTTCTTTCACTGACCGATTCAATTGCTTTTTTGCATTAAACTAACCTTAATGAGTGATTCTTTCATTTTGTGATTATTCTTCTGCAAAAATAAGATAACAACAAACTAATTAAACTAAATATTTAAAATTTCAATAAATAGTTCCAATAAAAAATGTTTAAAGCCAGTTTTCTCCATACAATGACTTTGTTACATGACACCTTTATCCACTTGTGTCTTCAATTGTTACAAGCTCATAGTAGTCTATAATCATTTACTATATATTCTGAGCAAAATACCGCGATAAAATCCGTAAGGCAAGATATCGTTTTCAGGCCATGTGGTAATCCTACGATGGCTTACGATTTTCCAACAAGCTGCATTCGCATCCCGCACAACTTCAACATTAGGGCCGTTGCCGTAAAGCGCCTAGTTCTCCCAAATCGTGAGCACGTCACGCTTTTCACTTGTAACTGTGGTGATTCGTGATTTAGAAATATCAGTTACTAAATCATAGTTCGTGAAATATCTGCCATCATAAATCCTAAAGCGGTAGTTAACTTCAACGAGAGGGCCATGTATCCGATAACTATGAAGTTGTTGATGACGAGTTAAGTTGCTTTCTTCCAATTTGTCATTTAACTATCGTATGTAAGTATGTTCTTGTTTGAGTATGGTATAAAGCTAAGTACAAAATTTAGTCTACATGTAGCCTATACTTACATATTTTATGCTAATTTGAGTACCATTATTGACAATATTTATGTTCACTCCGCCAGTGCCAGTGTATTTCTGCCTAACCTTAATTACTGACGTCATGGCTACACTATAAATACCACATTCCATGATAAATAAACAGTATATACAGATCGTGTGATATTAGTCTGATGATTAAAGGTTTACCCGTTAGAAAATCACAAATATCACTAACAAATTGAGTTACGTCGAGATACGAGTGTCGACCACTGCCGAGTGACACTGTCGCCTGACATAAATCACGTGCAAGTATAAGCCCTAAACTAATAGGCTAAAATAAATGAGTATTTCTTCCAGTATTTCCCTTAATAAAACGAAAAATATCGATTTCAATTTTCAAATGCGCAAGATGGCTATATATCCACATATATATGTGCAATTTAAAAAAGCATATTTATCATTTAATACGAAAAGGTGGAAACACTATAGGCTATGATGTGACGTCATACAAGTTATAAACAAACAAACGGCATATGTCACTCGTGGACCAGAATTGTCTTCTTTGAGTATTTCTAAAAAAACTTGTAATCATCGTATAAAGTTATTGTTTTCCCGAAAATTGACACATTGATGGATTGTAAAAATGTAAAATATGTCCCGACCATAAGACCGAGCAATTCACAGTCTTGCGTCTGAGAGGTTATGCTGCTGTCAGCTGCTGATTAAAAAAGGGTATGACGTCAGCACACATTAATAACTATCCAAACATGGCAAATAGCCTTTTCGCCTGTCTAAGAATAATATATTTTTAAAATTTTATAGCCTATCAGGTCTGAAAAAATATAGTATCAATTTTTTTGGGTTAATAGAGCAAATATCAACAACTTAAGGTCTACTTAAAAAACGTGTGAACGAGCCTATTGTCTCATATCCAAATACTGTTCAAACAACTTATTCTTACTGCATTCATTTCCAAATGTTTACAATCCACGCTGCATACATTCCAACACTATCAGTAGGCCTTATTTATGTCTTGAGTAGATTATATGGAAAGTTTGCATCCAGAAACATACAGAAAATGTATCGGTATCGTCTTTGTTTCTATTATCCAATTTATACAACTGATATCACTTAATTACTACTTATACATGATAACGTCAAAATCTATAAAAACTGGTGACAACATGAGCTCAGTACTTTCCATATTTTAGTTTCTTTTTACAATTATGTATTTCGAATTGCAACATTCCTCCAGTCTTCCGCAATAATAAATTGGTTTAGAGTAAGTTCCTCAAAATTGAAATAACCATTGGTATATTTCTATTTATAAGAAAATTTTGTGTTTTTGTAGTTTTGACTGAATTATTTCTAAAATGTTTATTCGTTCTTGTATTATAGTTATGGATTTTGTGATTCTGTTTAAGTTCTAAATTTATCTTCAGGGTTTTATTGTGAATTTTGTGTAGTAATTCAATTTGCAGGACTTTATTTATGGTTAGCAAATTTGTTCTTTTGTAAATGGTTTCTGTTGAGGTATACAGGTTGATAGAAAAAATGGTCTATATAGCTTTATGTTGGAGACTTTTTAATTTTTGGAAATGAAATAATATTAGTATTTTCCCAGCATGGTGCCAAACATCTAAAATGTGGTTCAATGAAATTATTGTATAACGTGTATCTAGTCTTTGTGTTCAACTGGACTATAAATAACGTATAAAATTACGCGAAGGGTTTGATCTGTACCTACAGCAATATTAAAATTATTAATAAGGGTTTAAAACCTGCGCAACTTTATGGACTTTTTAATAAAATGCCACAATTTTTTTTTAATATCTCATAGAGAACATATGATAGATTGATGGAGTGCCAGTGTCAAGGGCTAATTTATCACAATTCGAGAACAATTAATTAATCCTTGATCAGAGCCAGCAATTTTAATATCCAGACATCAATACTACTATGAAACGAAAAAATGTAATGGAAGATAATGTTGAAACCCAAACAGGCAAGGCTCATGTATGGTATGATGCAATATAGTTTTTGATAAAATATTATTTGAATAGAGGCAAATACTCATGTACAATTAAGATAACACAAGTGATAACATATTGTTTGAAACGTAATTTCTCAAATATGATGCTGTTTGTAACCCAGAATTTAATTAAATTAAATTACCTATGTTTCAGATGAATTTGCAGCAGAAGCAACTGTGTTTTGCCTTGACTTTGAAATCATTGATGATATGATGTAAATTTGAAAACTAATATGTTTTAAGGGAAAAATATGTAATATAAATTTAATATAGTATCATTAAATTCAAATTTGACGACCAAGAACATTTCATATAAAGAAATAAAGAGCATTCATAACTAGGCTAGCTTTGTCCAATGAGGTAATGGAGAAATATTCCTGTTATAAAAGGTATTTACCTTTAATATGGAGCACTCTATATTAGAAAATATGAAACTTCAATGTGACAATAATCACAAACTTGAAGAACTGTCTATTATGGAAACAGAAAATTAACAGCAATGTCAATTCAGATGACTATATTCATACTTAGTCATAAGGTCAATACATATAAAGATAAAAGACAACCAATATACTTAATATCAACAAATGAGCCAATTATATTTAGATTTTCATATCACCTAAGTGAACAAATAAATTTTTTTATGACCTCTATCAAAGGAAACATGGGCTATACTATTTTTAGAATCTTTACAAACAGGAATTTAAAAAAAATGTATTTACAAAAAAGACAATTTGGTATTCAGTAATATTCAATATTCACATTTACCTATAATAGGCAGTCCTTTCTAACGTAGTATCTAAATGATATGAATGCTTTTTTGGCAAGTGCACTTGAGTAGTTTTAATACTAATTTACCTCAGTCTCTAAAAGTTGAGCTGGAGCTGGAGTTGAGCTATAATACATAGATGGACCTCAAGCTCATGATCAAGGTGAGTTTCACTGCAACCGGTGAATGTATAGTGAAAAATCCTGAACCTTTTTATGATGACATTGACCAGCACATTCAAAGTGAAAAGAATTTACACCTTAAGTCAAATCTGAACGTGAAATTTCCCGCTCTATCCGATTCTGAGGCGAAAGTCTCATTCAAAAAAATCAAGTAGACCTTAATTTGACCTTATATCTGAAAGATTCACTCAAATTTACTGGCCACAAATAAGACGATTAAGCAAGGTTTTTATTCTAAAAAAGGTACTACTCTCTTTGTTTTTACATTCCTCTCAGACTGGAAATGGGTATGAGACTTCAGTACCTTTTCCACTTTCCAATATGAATTCAAAAAAAAAATCCCATGCTGCTGAAAATTATGCCAGAGCAGTGCTGTGAAGTTATACCTAGGTGTTCCAATGTTTCTCTAGTATTCATTAAGTTTTGAGGTTTTAAAAGGGGGTGTATTCAGGAAAATTAAGAACTACAGGATGGAGAAGACATTTGAGTTTAACAAAAATTTGAATTGCAAACTGACAATTTTCTATTGATACTAAACTAAAGGTAACAGACTCACTGCTGCAGCTAAATAAAAACAGATTTTGTGAGGATTATACACTGGCAACTGCAGATTGCATCATCACATGAGCAGGTTGGGCATAGCAGAAGTCACAAAGTAGGAATAGTTATTCAACAGGACACAACAGTTATTCACCTTTTGTGCAAAAGTCCCTCAACTGTCAGAGTGGTCCAAGCAGTGGAACTGAAGTATATTTCTCCAAATAAGGCAACTAAAATTTGTTGAAAGCTCTGATCTACTGAAGGGAATATAAATAGGTGTGAATTTTAATAGACCAATGAGCCACAGTGGGAGATCGTGATTGACACACTCAAAAAACACCAGTCAGAGCACTTGTTCAACAAACTATCAAATCTGACAGCCCAGTGAAAACTGCTGCAAAGCTTGTGCAATGAACTAACTGCATTGGCCTGTTTGATTAACTTGATCCATTTAATTTCTCTATTGTACATGTTCCTAACTATTTTTTCCTCAGACCAGTTGTAATCTTAAATTGTCATTGTCATGTGTAGGTCTTACTTTGTTCAATTGTAATTTGTAATATGACTTATTATTATTTTTTCCTCCTTTGACTTGTCACTTGTATTAATTTACAAAATGTGATCAATAAATATATATCCATTCATGGGCCTGTCTGACTGACTTGTTCTGTTTAATTCCTCTTTGTACATCTTCATAACAAATTTTTTCTCAGATTAATTGTATGGCCCTGTTTAACTATCCTGATCAATTTGATTTCTCTATTCTACATGTTCATAACTATTTTTTTCTCAGAGGTTTCAACTTGTGCAGAACTTAATCCTCTATGAAACAATTATGGCATTGCTTAGGAAATGCAGAGTCAACATACATGACAATTCCAAAACTGCCTATTTCACGTTTATGCACTCTAGCACAGTGGAACAGTGTTAAAACGTGCTGGGCACTACTGAGTTAATCTGATTAACCTGTTGGAGTAACCCAAAAGAGATTCTGAGCTGCTATCACTGGCAAAATAAATGTAATGTCAAATTCACACTGACCTAAGTGCCAAACTGCAGTACTTTCCTGAATGAACCCATTTTAATTATTTACATCCTAATTTCTTGCTGTTGTGCTTTTCTATATAATCCTGCCACCTGTTAGTTGTTTACCTGGTCACCTGGTCTAACAAAGTACTTCTTCAATGTCTTATTTTTGGCAAAATGGCATATATTTTAGACAAAAATAAACATCTTGTGTAGATGTGTATTGTAAATCAGTAGGCAAAATCAAGGTCGCTAAGAGCATCACAAGCTGTTGTTTATTTATATTTTTGTTTATTTAAGAAGATATCTTTGACCAATTCTGTTAATTCATGCAGTTTATAAAACCTATCAATAGACAGGGCACGCAATCTTATAAGAAACACTGGAAAATTACCAGTCACTTTCATACACTATCATCAAAACGTCTATGAATAAGATTACATATTTTAACGTGTTCCTCAGGTTAGAATAAGTCAATTAGGCGCTATAAAAACATCCTATTTTTAGATGATAACAATTACATAGTCCAAATGCGTAAATACTGTAGACATATATATCCAAATTGCTGCGTCAATCGTATTTGATACGACGAGGATCTGCGAGGGCATATCAGCTGCTTACAACGTGTCCGCAACGATGTTAAAATTACAGGAGTAATGGAAAATTCGATGTTGATCTAATGCATTACAAAATACTCACGAATTACTACTCATTATAGCTGGCATGGCTTCGTCACTACTAAATATATTACCGTCCGTACTTGATTCAGAATTAACTGCCTCAGAGACACTAATAATCATAATTAAGAGAAAACGAAAGATATGTCACACCAAACGTTCGATCTCGTTGCTTTCAACACAATGAAATTTTCAGCACATCTCATGGCTGTCGCCGAGCGGGGATTAAAGATAATGCACAGCATCGCCAACCGTATGAACTAAAAAAACGAAAAGTCCCTACAACACTATTAAGCTAGCCATACACACTACGAATTCAACTGGGCTCAGTGTATATTAATCAAATCCAAGAGAATAACCAAAATTTCTATGTTATGCACAGCGGTTATAATATGGTTCAAGATGACACACGGGTTGATGACGTCAGTTACTCGAATCGCTTGAACGCGTTGGTTTTAACCGCGGTTTTGATGCAAGTTGTTTATTTTAGAAAAGCGTGTATATGATTTCTGATTATTTTTATTATCACTCAATAATCGATGCTTTTTCGTCTACAATGGTGTATGGAAAGTTTTAAAAAGAAACCTTTCATAATATTAATTGACGCAACATTGAAAATCCCATAAGGAACGAAACAATAGAAGTGGGGGTTTTAGAGCAAGTTTATGTAGATCCTACGTTAAGTACCCGCAAATTGGAGACTGTGTGTGATGTTAGTGGACGTACTGTCCAACGGATTCTAAAGGCCCATAGTTTTCATCCGTATAAAATTCACCTGGTACAAGAACTTAATGAAAACGATTTTGATCGGCGATTACAATTTTGTGAAGATATGAGTGAACGAATTATAAACAATGAACACTTTCTATTCAACACTTGCTTTTCCGACGAATGATCCTTTTTCTTAAATGGCGTAGTAAATCGTCATTACTGCCGATATTGGTCCGATTCTAATCCCAGAATTTATCATGAGGTTCATACACAGCAGCCACAAAAATTAAACGTTTGGGCTGGTATTTTTGGCGATCATTTAGTTGGTCCTTTTTTCTTACCTGGAAATTTGACGGGTGAAATCTATTTGAAATTACTGGAAGACGCCATAGATCCTGTATTAACAGCCATAATTGAAAATCAGAATGATCGCCGGTACATTGCGAATAGTTGATAGTTGATGTTCCAACAGGATGGTGTCCCACCACATTACGCATTACGTGTTCGACAATATTTAGGTCAGACGTTTCCAGATCGATGGATTGGTAGAAGAGGTACCACTGAATGGCGCCCAAGATCGCCAGATTTATCACCTTTGGATCTCTTTATGTGGGGTCATTTAAAAAGCAACATCTATACTACTCAGCCAACATCATTAGAATACCTGCGAATTGTGAATGAGTGCCTCCAAATTACTCCTCAAATATTGCAAAATGTGCGGCAACGTTTTGAGCAAAATCTTTATTATTGCATGGAGTCATGGTGGCCATTTTCAACATTTACTTGCCTAACGGGTCAGTTCATTCTTCATTTTTAAATTACTTTGCTGCCAAATGTATTGATCTCCACTAATGATGATGTATTAGTTTTATTTAAGCTTTAAATCAATAAATCTTCAAAACTACTGAACTGAAGTACATTAATTTTATATCACTATAAAGGGAATTGATAGACCTTTAAAATAAGGTATCACTCGACCCCCCTTTCCATTTAAGATTTTGGGGGTGGTGTCACCTCCGCTGAGGGGGGGTGATTTTTTGCCAAACTTGTGTCCCCCTCGAAAACAAAATCGACGGGTCTGAGCGTTTTTCAAAAAAAAACTGAGCTGCCAGTAAATGCGTCTGTTTCGTTTTCGATGCGCCACCCTGTATAAAAGGATGCTGGTAGTCTTACTTTGACCCGCCAAGAACGGTGAAAACAACTATACCAACGGTGGTTCTGAACGAAAAACTCTAAAAGACCAATAATCAGACTTTTATGAAAAGTAACTAAAAGTATGTTTTGAAAGCCTGTGCCATTTACTTTGTAATTTACCGTGTACTGTAGAACAACAGTTATATTGCACTTTTATAAATTGATGTTAAAAAATTCCCAAAAGCCTTTCGTAGCCCTGATTTGTCGAATTTTTATTACTGCGAGAAAAATTATAAATAGTGCTGAACCGTACTTTGTGGTGTATGAAAAAGCGATTGGAGGTACGGCACGGGTATTACATATATTTTGAAAAGTGACCTTATGTCGATTTTTTTGACATTGTAATGTTTTTTGTGACATTATGTAGATTTTTCTACGAGATGTTAACTCAGCACTAGTTGATGGGCACTTGTAAACTTATTTTGTTGTACATGTTGCCTAAACGACATGATGCTTAAGTTATCAATGTTTGGGATGTAAAATCTGCTTCAGAGATGGCATTACTGGAGGTCTAAGCTGTAAGTTGTATACTATAGCTAGAAGGAAGCGGCACTGCATGAGATTCAAAGCTAGAAATTAGTTGCATATGCACATTTGCTGAATTTAAAAAATGAGAGAGATAAGAAAAAAATATCCCTAGTTGGTGAAGGAACAGATGAGAAAATATGCTACAGACAGGAATATTTATGGAAGTGAGAAGGTTATTACATTACTTTATATTTCCAGTCATTTAAATTTTATAGAAATTTATTTTGCGATGTCAACAGAAAATACAAATCAGCGCCCAGATGTGAAGCAAGACGAAAATATTTGATGTGTGATGCGCCTCAAAGTTTTTGTAAACACAAAAAACGGGAAAAATCGTAATTTATAGCTTTGAACATAACCTGTCTTCAAGAAGGACAACATATAAATAACCCGTCGCTCACAGCTAATAGATCATTGGCAGCATATTCAGTAATAGTTGTCTCACACAGCAAATATCACTGGTTTTATATACATACATGCAGACCATTACACATAATCATCCCGAAGCGATCTTGCTTTTTAACCAACTTTCTTTCACATATTTTCAAAGATAAAAACTACAGACTACTCGGCTTCACAAAACATAATTATACTTGTTTTCCGCAACCAACAATGTGTGTAATTGAGTCATTCCTCCATAGATGGACGCTCACAGCGATCACAGCGAGCAAACGTGGAATGAACTATTTTATTTTTTTCTTTTGACGTTTTATACGTGTTTTGCATAATATGCGGATCGAGTGTCGGTTTTTGTTCCCAAATCAAAGTGCACTGATGGAGAATAGACGCGTAAGTTTGTTTAGTAATAATCTGCTGGGACGAGCCGACCTCTAGTTTTGTGCAACACAACTGAATTTCATTTAGCTGAACTCGGTACTTGGTGAATTCGTTAATGAGTTAGCTCATTTGAGTTATTTAAGTCAGCAGCAAGAAGGTTGAGCTCTAGTTATAATGTCTAATATGTTAACGGCACTAATAGTTCACAAAACTTGCTGAAACACAAGGCACTGGAAATTTTGGGGGCCAAGTTGAAAAGCAACCAAAAATAGTCTCCCAACAGAGTCCGTCGGTGAGAAAGGGTCTCGAAACTGTCCGTAAGAGAAGAGTCATCGGTCAGTCGGACAGCCCTCCTCTGAACAATATTGACCGTGGATACTGTAGGCGATGCGCCAGCACCCCAACACATGAAAGAAGTACTCGAGGCTAGATCTTATCTATCTTAATATATTGATCAGACGCATGCGCACTAAAAAAACAGCTATGTAACAGTTTGTCTACAATTCTGGAGGAATATTTAGTAACTTACAAGTTACCAATGTATGCAAATAAATGCGTTTAATTCCTTTTTCCCGAGTATATATCACGTTTTGACGTCTACTGAGGTGAAGAGCTGATTAGCAAATAGTAGTTGTATTAGTCTGGAACGTTGGCAATAGTGAATCGGGTATAAAATCTAGTAAAACTTACTTGTACCGTCTTTTTTTGTATGCATATGAACTTTTCTCAATAAAAGAGTTGTTAGAAATTACAAAATAGATCTGTAGCGTACAAAAAACAAAACAAAATACGGCTCTGTCTACTTGGCGTTGACGGATCCGTCAATTCAGCGTCATTTGTCGATATGGGGAATTTTGGAATATTATATTACTAAATCAGCTGTAATTCAACCGTAATGGATAGTCGTGAAAAGACAATATGACGGTTATATTTGTTTACTGATCTACGTTTGATAGTGTTTTGATATTGGATGGTGATTGAAGCAAGTTTACGGATATTAAAACCATTTGTGTTGTGATTATGAAGGGTAAAACACCAGCAGTAAAATTATAGGTTACGAATGTGTCAAGGAATATTTCATTCGTTTAGGTTGGCTAAGCTTGCTCGTTTGAATCGCGGAGACAGGGACGTTTTACAACTGCAAGTGATGCAATTGTCTTGCAGATAAAACAATGCCATTAATCCCCCATTTATTACCCTGGACAACCAAAACGTGTTGAAAAGAACGTGGAATTGTCGGCAAGAAAGCCACAGGATAGGTTTCAGATATTTGAGGATGCATTGAAAAAATGCGAACGGAGGTTAAAATATTAATATTATTTATTTAGTTTTTGTACAATAAAATAAACGTATATAAAATAAGACTTCATATATACGACCGCATTAAAAGTTTTTTAAATGTAAACATGGTAAAAATATATATCGTCTATACAACTTTAGTAACATCATTACATATAACATTTAAGGCAACAATACAATCAGATAAAAAGCAACTTATGAAACAAAATTAATAAATACAAATCTCCTAGTGGAATACTGACATAACCAATATATACTATTCAAGAACAACAAATAGAATTATCAATCTATCGCACCTTTAATTTTCAATGATTTGCTCATATTAAACAAAATGCAAAACAATGTATAGTCACGGAAGTATAAGCATTGTTATTTCAAGTTACTAAAATCCATGCCCTGCAAAATATTCAACAATATAACTAATTTTGGCATCTGCTCGTTTATCTGTGGGTAAGTACATACATGTTTATTATCTTTGTTATTTCTAAATATGTTTAAATATATGTTTTGTTCTGTTTTAGTTGTCTAGCTAAAGGAGTGCAGCTTAAATTGTATAACTTCGACATATAAAAGTTTAACGTTAAAAATATTTGTCAACATCTCCAGATATCTTCAACACTATTAACAAGATGTAAACATAAAAATGGATTTTTGGCAATCCATTTTATCCATTCACAGTGGCACCGGTTCGGGTTAGAAGTAATTTCGAAACCCTCTTTGCTCCGTCATAATTACCTCTGAGTTAAGGTCTAACTTTGTAGTAAATTTACATCTCACTTGAACTAGGTGTTAAAGTCAACGATAAAATATGTGTTGATGGAACGCTAGGTTTTCTTCGTTTTTTTATGATGTTTTGTAAAAGAGCTCCATTAATCTGTTCACTATGCCTAGAGTGAGAACACGAGAAAGTTTTCAACAGCTTAGAGAGTTCGATAAGGTGAGATAGACTAGTTGGTCATTCAGAGAAATAGCCACCAGGGTGCACAGAAGTATAAATGCAATGGTGCCGTACACGAAGAGTTACAGGGCGTAATCAGAAAAACGTCCCTACACCAAGATCGCCTCTGCTTTTGGTTCTTCGGCACTGTGTTTCGTCAACAAGGTAAATTGCGGACCAATAGTTTGGAGGGCATGAAAAGCCTCTTATATTGCGAATTGTTTATCACCGAATCAACAATTTTGGACTTGGTTCATGCTATACTCAGTTTGACCTATCTCTCACTCCTAGGCACCGAAGTGACTGACTGGCTTGGTGCAGAGAATGACTGAATGGGCACCTCGAATCTAATACCATTACCTTTAGTGGTTGGTCCAAATTGTGTTTAGGGATGCATAATGACCGTGCGAGGATGTGAAGTGGACTAAGTGAAATAGGTACGAGATTTTCAGTTTTCTATGGGTTCGTTCAAACCGAAGATTGTTCCAACATTGTAGCAGTACATTTCAATTGCTCCAAAAGGATTTTGAGGCTGTTATGAGACGATCCACCAAGTGATACAGATTCGTGATTAATCGTAGAACGGTTTCTGTATGGTCATTTCGCTACTTAATCCAGAGCAAGGACTGTGGAGACTGACAAGCGCATTACACAAGTCCATCATTTTTTGACGCGCGTTCAACGTATCTACTTCATATGGCTGTTCTGTTCATTCCGTTGTTTATTCATCACTAGCCACAAAATTCAGTGGTATTCACAAATTCAGTCTTTTGTGATTTAGTCTGAGCCCCAGCTATATTTTTTGTGTCTATTTTATTGATTAACTTTTTTGGATAACAAGAATGGAGACGTCTAACGTTATTTGTGATGAGCTTGGTAGTAATTATGATTAAATCCAGCAAACACAAACCTATGGACTATGAACAAGACTGCAAAAATTGAGGTCAACTTTTATGATGAAGAGAATCAGGGATACACAGAACACGAGGCTGAAGGAGCGTGGATGAAGGCGGATTGATGAACAACTCTAAGAAATAAAGTTGCCTACTATCAAGTATCCCCGTTTCTTTATATAAATTGTTTGGCGGATATAACATTGGCTTTATGGAAAACGGCTTTTAAAAAAATTGTTTGCTACATCTAGATAAGAAATTGTGTTGCAGAAAAGCTAGAGGTATAAAGCGTGTCAGAAGAAGGACCCCACACTAAGATCGCCGACTTAGGCTTTTGGCTGTACGAGACCGTTTCTCGTCCACAAGTTCAATTGCAGACCATTGGTTTGGAGAAGAAACCCTATTAAAATGAGAATTATTTATCGCTGGACTTACTTCATACCATCCTCTGACCTACCTCTCACTCCTAGGCACCGAAGTGATCGACTAGCTTGGTGCAGAGAACGGCTGATTTAAGACCTCGAATGAAATACTATCGTCTTTAGTGAGGAACCCATATTCTGTTTGAGGATGTATAATGGCCATGCAAAGATAAGAAGGCGACAAGGCGAACGACCTCCTATGGAAACACATGTGCACCACACTGTTGGAATTGTGATATCGGGAGCTATTTTTTATAGAAGCAGGTCACATTTGGTGTTCATCAGAGACGACATAACTGTCGTGAGTTACATCCAGGAGATAAGGGAACAATATGTTTTGCATTATATGCGGACACTCACCAAACAACTTTTCCAACAAGATAATACGCGACAACATATATAGCCACAATCACGTTGGTCCATTTTAAAGCCAATCAAGTCGACTTGTTGCCTTGGCCACTAAACCTCCGGATTTATCACCCATTGAAGACGTCTGAGACATTGTGAGAAGAATATTAGTCTGTTTACTCTATTTTCTACAGACTCTAATGGCATGAGGTACAAGTAGCCTAGGATGAGATACCTCTAGAGGAAATCGATCATCTGATTAGAAGAATGTCAAGGCGTGTACCTTAGTGTCAAGTCATCGTGGAGATCCAACAAATTTTTAATTTTTTACATTCTTTTTACAACAGTTGAGTTTTTCTGAAATTTTGATCAATTATTTACCTAACTCCAGAAGACGTTTACAAAAATTATTATAATAAATTTATTACTACTTGGTGTTCTTTTTTATGTCAGTTTAAGTCAACTGCAATGGGAAGCAAAACTGCTGAATTGCAGGCTTTTAATATGTACATTTTTAATACAAACAATTTTTAAAAGTTCAATGTTTTGAGAGATACAAGCACGTTTTGCTTTACCATTCAGTTTTTTTCAAAATATCCCACAGAGGATTCTGTCTAAAAGGTATTTACATTTTTATAATGTAATGTCAGATTTTCAATCCATAATACAAGCCATGAATGTGTTTTGTTACGTATGTTAGTCAAAGTTTTACACAGTCGACGGTATCAATAAATATTTGATTTTAAATTAAGCTTTAATTTGATTTCTCGATTCCCATTACCATCATTTAGCCATATATAATGCGTAGAAAAATCCATTCAGGCTCAGGCTACCGTTCTTACATTTTGACTAATCTGTTATACATCCATTTTTAAGTAGACTGCTAAGGCACTCCTGAAAAGCTTAATAACTACGACCATCCACCTGTCAATTTATGGAAAAGTTCTTCATTCAACGTCTGACTTGCATCTTTCGACCTGGTAGAGAGGAAAATGTATCCGCCGATAAATTCGTGTATTACTTTACAATCAGCAGACAGGCAACTGAAGACTATATTCTCTTCTTCAAATTGCACCTAAAACAAATCATAGAAATTAGTTTCAGTGGTAATATTATGGTAAGCATGCTATGAATGTAGCTTTCCTGTCCGCTTGCTTACAATATCTTAAACAAAGATATATTTCAATAAGATAGAAAGAAAAAAATGGCGTCAAGTAGATTGACTCTATATGTGCGCCTTCGTTGGAGGTTTCAAAGAAAAGGGTCGAGTCAAGTCGTTTTAAAAGGCGGAATCGAATCGTGATTAGATAGGTTCACTTGGGTACGATGAATCTTCGACCTCTGCATATCAAGGTATACAAAATGAATCTATCATAGTTCGGTTCCTATGACAGATGCATGGAAAACATGTGTGCCTCATTATATCTAACAGATGCATGATATTAACGAGATCAGAGCACCTTAATAATAGAAAGTATTGACTAATACTAAACATGCAACAATTTACAACCATTTACCGCATACAGCTTTCGACCTACAATATTCAACCCCTCCAAATAATGTCTGAAAATAAGTTCTAATCTCTGAAACGTTGAAATACTATGTTCCAGCGATTTTTATTTTTTTGCCCGTAGTTCCATTGATTCAATTTTCAAAACTAAGACTACCTAAACCTAAATGATGGATGTATTGAACTCGCGATAACGTTTGCACTTCAGTTCGCAAGACTTTTGTTACTTGAAGATATCTGCTTCGCAGATTTATGTCCGCTTGCCTGTACGTGTCTGTTCTACATAGGTATATCAACTGCGTAATAACTTAATAAGTACTGAGCCAATTAACGAAATATTCCAGAGAGAACCATTACATACTGAGTAACACGAATTAAAGGTTAAGCGAAATAGGTGGGTACATTTATGGAGCATAAAATTCAGAAAAAGATACGTGAAAGTTATCATTTACAAAAGCATTGTATAACGCTAAAGTGGTACGTGCTCCAAATACCCAAATATTCCTAAAATATATAAATATTTCCCTGTAACGGTGTGTCCGAGTTCGAGTTAGTAACCTATTGCTCTTGCTCTTGCTACAGTCTGCCGAGCATATTTTATACATGGAACTTTTATCATTTAATTTTCCCATTGTTACCAGGATCAGAAGTTTCTTAATGATAAAACGTCTTTGAGTGATATTAAAGACGTAACAACCCCCAAACCCAAATGTTCAACCCCTACAATTTTTTTTCGAAAATCAGAATCCTCTGAAACGTCAGAAAACGAGGTTTGATCGATTTTTCTATTTTTGGCCTTTTTCTCTACAAAGCCTTTTCGTTCTTGGCACAGTACTACCAGTGGGGTGTAAACCATATGCACTAGACTAATGTCTAAAGTTGATACTGATCATCCCAGATGGCGTAGTTTAACTTATTTTGTCAAATACTTGTAAAGAGAATTGTCAAAGACGCACTGTCAGCTAGAAGTAATTTGATTTAAATTTAAAATAGTACCCAGGTAATTAACAGAAGAAATTAACAGAACAGAGCGAGAGTGTGCCCGTCGAGAGATACCGATACGGCCACGGTGTCGGAGTCAGCTGGAGGCATAGGTTACGCAAATGACATAAGGGAGAGATCAAAATCGTAAAACACCCTAGAAGTTGTCTGCAGGGACCTGAAAGGAGAGCCTTCGAGCCTGTTGAAGGATTGCGCAACCCCAAGAACGAGACAAAACTGTATACTCGGAAGGATAAGAGGTCATAGGCTATGCCGTCGTCTGCGTCCGCTTCGGAGGTAAGAGATGTTTGTCGAGCCCTCTGAATGGAAGTGGATCCATCCCCGCAGCCCCACTCCGAGTCTGTCGGTAATATTTTTTATCCGATCGTTCTTACATCAACATTGCTCATAACTCATTAAACATTATTTTGATTGCCCATGGCATATAAAATAGTGTGCCAAGAATGGTATGGATCAAACGAGACTATATCTTATATAATACAGCGCCAAAGTGTGTGATTAGTGTTAATAAGCAAGTAGGTATAGTTTGTCTTGCTTTTGGTTGATTTGATAATGACTATTTTGTGTTAATATATGTATTTTGTGATGCATTTGGAAATATTGCAAACTGTTAAATTGAATTGGACTCAAAATTTTTGATAAGGCGAACAAAGTAACAGAATATAGGTTCCTATCAATAGACTTGAAACATTTGTTTTTAATTTTATGTATTTACTTACATGCTTATTATAGGTTGTATCTTATTTTGCAGAATAAAAGTGGATGAAAACGTGGGAACTGTATGTTTTAATGACTAATTCCTATGAGGAATACATATTTTTTTAAGTTAACATAATAGCAACACCCATACATTTATTTATAAATGTAATGCATAACAGAGAGGCAAGTGTCACTAATAGAAATTCAGTGAGCAATCGTCTTAGTTTCATTTATATGTTTGTGTTCGGCGTAATCGTCAGATGGCGCTGTTAACGGTAGTACCAGAGATCATAGGAGAGAGTGTTATCTGTAATGTAGTAATAATTTGTGGTGGTAACTCTGTGTAAAAATTGTGACACTGTTTTGTTCCCGTGAAGTACATGTAATAACATCCAAAAATCATTATATTCGAATTTTTTTACAATACTTCCTCGCCCAATGGCGTATGAGGTAAAATAGCTGCAGCTGATGATTTTAACGATAAACTTGATCATAAGTATCATTTCCAAAGTTATTTCAGTGTCAACAACCACTTATCTCAGTAAACATTAAAAGGCATATTCACTTTCTTGGAATGTACAACAATGAGCTATTGAAGTTACGTAAACCTGACCTCCAAAAATACCGAATTGTATTAGCGTCTAAGATGACATGTCGGAGCAATAAATTATAGATATAAATTTGACCCGACACAGTTCAGTCGCCATCATGAGTTGGAGGGTGCCAATGAGGTCTACTTTTCGAGATGTTCTGTGATTGCTACCCAGCGCGCCTTTCGGCATCGCTCTAATTTAGCCCCATTGGCCACTGTCCCGGACCCAAAATGAATCGTTACGTTCAGACAAAATGCAAGCGCAACAAGACGAAGAACTGGAATCCCTCAGCTTATTAGATCACCTGAAAACATTGAGGTAGTTAGAGCTTCAATGTTGTGATTACCACCGCATTCTGTGCGCAAACATGCGCCTGCTCTTGGAATTTGATCATTCTGTGAGAAGAATTCATGTTGATCTTCATTTCCATTCTTATAAGTTGGCAATGGCGCAGGAACGTTCTGAGCGTGACTTCAATTCTCGAATGAACGCGTGTGAGCGTCTTCTCGAATTCGTTCCTGAGAACGCAATTATTTTTATCTTTATTTTTTTGTTTCGGTGATGAAGCCCATTTTTATTTAAGTGGAGCCGTCAACAAACAAAACATGCGCTACTAGGGTAACACCAATCCTCAAGAATTGCATCAAAGGCCTTCTTTGCATTCACCTAAAGTCACTGTGTGGTGTGCAATTTCCTCAGCGGGAATTATTGGTCCCTGGTTCTTGAAGGAAAATGAAGTCGCAGTAACAGTGAATTCAGACTGGTACGTAAACATGTTACCGAAATTTGTTCACGGCTAGGTGAGTTGAACATAGAGGACATTTGGTTCCAACAAGACAGTGCCACAGTCTGGAGGGAACACCTCCCAGAGCGCCTCATCCCAATTAGAGCGATTTGCAGTGGTCGCCCTGCTCTCCTGATTTGGCCCCTTATGATTTTTTCTATGGGGGTTTTTTGAAATCCTGTGTTTAAGTGAACCGTCCAAGGTACCTACAAGATTTGATATCCAATAATTAGGAAGAATTTGCAACATATTGCCGGCTATGGTGGCAAGTGTCATGACAAATGCCAGAAATGGGTTTACTCAGTGTATGGATAATAGAAGACGTCACCTATCTGATTTAATCTTGAAAACTATGTAGGTGTAAAACAAAACTTTAGGCATGCATCTATGTTATATAAAAAACAAATAAAAAGTTTTGAAAAAAGGAAATTAAACTGCCACACCCTGTACTATGTCAATAGTATTTTAATTGCAGGTCCATACGGCTAAAATGTAAGTATCTCATAATATGAACATGAAGTATGTACGCACCATCATATGCTTATTTTCCCAGTTCACGTTCCACGCTTTCATCGTGTTGAAGCGCCATGTCTTCTGATGGTCCCCAGAGTTGATGTCCATCTTCATGATGCGATTGTAGCCTACGCCCAGCAGCTCTTCCTTCCTCGAGTTCATGAACTTCACCACGAACAAGGCAATTCCGTATTCAGGCAGCAACTGCCAGGCCTTAATATAGTTCATTTTAGCCTCTATTAGACCAAGGTCTTTCACATTTGTATGCGCCTCTAGGATGCGTTGCGTCAGCTGAAAATAAATTATGTAAAATTTAAATATTATGCTTCAATTTTAATTTTAGAAGAGAATATAAAAAACTGAGGAAAACGTCTTTTGAAGAAAATGCTGTTTTAAGCTAACAGCAAAGAGTATAGTTACCTTTATAACAAGAGAGGACACTGCGTGGAATGTCTGAAATACAAGCGCAGATCCAGAGGGGGGGGGGGGGTCATGGGGGAATCTAGTTAGACCACTAATATTTATGACCCTCGAACCTCTTTGATGAATTTAATACATTTTAGACTTTTTGCAAATATGTATGTAATGGATACAAGCAAGTGGAAAATTACCAGATTTGGTGAAAAATCACCACACCTGGCAACCCTGATCAATTTGTCAGCGCATCGATGATGCCGTGGAAATAAACGGGTTGCGCAAGTCTGGTTGCCTATACATTCAGCTTGATGCAAATATAATTAAAACAGTGATCTGCGTTTTTTGGGTTGGTAGCACTGTATTTCCGTTAGTGCATTATTGGAAATTGAGCCTCATTTGTTCTGTGTTCAAGGTAGTTGATTGAAAATTCAAACACTCGGGCAGGAATATAAGAAGAAACTTTTCGCGCGCCCTTTTAACACAGTTAGCAAATGGATGAAATTTATCAAAATATGCAATAGTTGAGAAATCTTTGTGTATTTTAAGTTCAAATATATCTTTGCCAATGAACATGACCATGATCAAGATCAGTTAAATTTTCAAGCGAGCTACTTACTTTTTGACAAGGATATCGAGAAGCGAATCACTGAAACTAATTTATTGTTGCATTTGAATGACGAATAAAAAAATATTCATTGCCAAAGTAACTATTACTTAGATTACTTAAAATATTCCATTTCTTTCTCCGAAACCAATATCCTTTACACTAATGCAAAACGAATGTAACCTATACTATAAAATACTTCCAGGCGAGGGGACCTGCGGGCTTAGCAAAGTGTTTAACCAAATATTCAACAGCTCTAAATTAGATGGACTCAATTCACACAAAATCCTAATTTCAGGTATTTGACCAACGTCAGAACTTACCTTCCCTTTAGACTTTTTGAGATATTTCGGCGCAATAAAATCTTCCACTTGAATGTCCAAACTGCTTGGATTGATAACAGGTTGTTCCGCTGGTCGTTGGAGATTTAAAAAATCGAGTATGGTCTGCTTTTCTGTTTCGTATGAACTATCTGCCAATGATCTGCCTTTTGCAGCTAACCGACAACATGCCATCCATCTCGCGTATTGTGTTTCCTGAAATCAAAAAACGAGTCAAATAAAGTACCAGGCATAAAACGTAAGGGATTTGACCACCCGTCAATTTTAATGAAAATACGTATAGAATTAACTTTTTCGATATTGTGCGCAATAACAGTTAGTGAGTTATCGACCGGTGGCCTATCAAAATACAGGTTGAAATTTGTACTTTGAAAAACGCAATTCCTAAAAATGTGGTTTCATTTGGCCGGAAAGATATGAAGTTCTACCCTATCTAATATAGAGTGGGTAATTATCCTCACATCCAAAATTGTTTATACTGTACTATAACAAAGGAGTAACAAATAATATTAGTATAAATCCAATTCAACCGACTTTATCGTAACAAATACATAAGTAATGTTACAAACTCACACTCAACCATGTAAATTCCGGTAGATTACAACAAAGTAAATAGGCAAGAATATTTGTATTCTTCAAAAAAGAGGATAAAAAATAACTCACATCTTCACATCTAATGTACATCTCAGACATGCCCTCGGGACTGGGTACTTCCAATTTGATCACGTATTTGTTCTGTGTGATGTTGACGTCAGGCGTAACCTCGCAGCCTTTCAGGTTTATATTGAAGACAGGATTCTCTCCAGCCATCATATCTTCCTTGGTTTTGTACATGTACAGATGCAGATCTCGGCAGGTGAACCAGTATTTCTTGTAAGCTTTCAAAGTGAATCTCTTTGGCCTAGAACATCGCAGGTATTCATCAGCACAGGATGTTCCACCCCAAAACTTTCAAAGACGATGATTATACGATACAGTGAAGTTTCCTAATTTTGGATTTAGAAGATCAACGCTCCAGAAACAATTTCCGTTATTAAAGTCGAATGACCCATTTTTTAACTGGAGTAGTATTCGAAATCCTGTTCATCTTATTATTTTATTATATAGAGGATTCTAAAAAACAATGTTATCATTTTTTGTCAAATAATGCATTTTTAGTGCATTTTTTCTTTAATCATAACTTTTTAACAAACAGTACTGCTCTGAAATTATATACCTAGGTTTCCCTGTTACAGTAGAATTGGGCGAGATTACTTTTATTTCTATCACTTTTTCAATCAGTCGAAAAGTATTAAAAATACACCTCCAGACAGACTGTTAAAAAAAGGGGCATGAGACGTTAATGGGGCGGCTGGATAGTCTTAATGCAAGTCCTTCATAGACCTTAGTTTTCAAATGGCTCGACTAGAAATGAAAACATTAAAATCAACTTACTTCAAAAACCTCAATTGATCTCTAAGCTCCGGCACCTGCGTGATGTCGTTTGAGTAAGAGTTGATACTGGAGCCTTCTAAGGTGGTCTGCAGATTATTTAAGGCAGCGTCAATATCGTCTTCGATAGGTGATGGAGACCCGCCATTCGTCTCGTTCTGTGGCTGAGGTTGGTTGGCCTGTAGCTTCACTTGTAACTGCAACCAAGGACCTCAAGTAAATTGCCTCGATACACAAATTTCAAAATTATTGTAATATATTATTGTATTGTAATAGAGTCACTCTAGGCCAATACCTAGAACTAATTTATTGTCTATTGATATTGTTTTCAATCATTTTACGAAATAAATATTAATCCAAATAGAATAAAGTCATAATATCAATTATTCTTTACTTATGGAAAATCTCAAAAACCCATTTTATTTCCTTGAAATATCTAGAGTATCAGATTTATGATGAAAATTATATTTTTGAAAACTTAACTGCTCTGTATCTCCAAATTTAAGGCGTTTAGGACACATATGAGGTATTTTACTTTTTTTATATAACGAAGCAGGGGCGCAGGCAGAAGCCTAAATAGCAGGGCACCGCGGCTTCGTGTGAGGATCTTAAAGAAACATGGTTAATCCGATTTTTGAACTGTCTAAGCTTAGTAGAACTAGGAAAAGCCTCCTTAGGTAGATTGTTCCACAATCTCGATACCATAGGGACAAAGGAGCGGTCGTATCGGCCAGTTATGGATGTACGAAGTTCGACACAATTAGGATGCGAAGCCAAAGCCAGGCGGGTCTGTCTCCACATTGCGCATCAAGGGGGAGTGTTCAGTGGAGCAAAGCCCGTTGGCTTAGCGGTAGAAGATAGCTGGAAGAGACGCCAAAGGAACTGGAGCAAGCTTTGCAAAAAGGTTCTGTGTGCTCAACTAACCATTAGATCCTGATTTAGGTACTTTCACTGTAGGAGGGATGTATTCCTACATCCCCACGTGGATAATTTCGGTAATTGACGAACAGACAGCCGACACATCCGAGTCAGCGAAACAAACATACCGCCAAGGAAAGGTGGAGAAAAAGTTTCTGTATCGCAATCCTCTATCTTCTATTTATAAGTTAGTGACTGCTACACTCACCCGAGGGTATTGAATTTGAAGATGACGCTTCTACGGAATATTTATTTAGTTGACCTGTGTGGTATTTTCGATAATCGATAATAGAGATAACGAATAATATTTCAATTGTCTTTTTAACACTGTATACTTTTGAGTTAATTAACTCTCTTAACGATCTGTCGTAAATATCGCATTGCTCTCGTAAAATAATTAATGCTCAAATGACCTGGCAATAGGAACACCACAATATCTTGGGGAAGTACAGAGTCAGATTATAAATAGATTGAGTTATTTGACCTTGCGCAGCACCGACTACGCTTAGAATTTATTTTGCAGCCGCACTTCGCGCTTTCACTGTGAATTGCTTTTAGCTTTGTGTGTTATCGGTGATTATACAAACTTGTACTGTCAGAAAATCTGTGATTATGGGTGGATTATTCAGTTCTGATGCAAAACAGCCTCATGTTGATAATAATGCAAGGTAAGTACTGCAAAGCATATTTATGTCAAATGGAAATTATCTACTTAGACAAAATTATGTTTTTAATAGCAGAAATTGATTGTTTATAATATCAATTTTTTAAGGATGGCGTAGTTTGTATTCGTCTTTTTGTTTATGTGTTGGGTGAAACTGGATTTGAAATTTCAATACAGTTGTGAGGAAGGAATCAATCAATAGGACTGGTCATATTCTGAATAGCGATAGACCATGACTATACCGGGTGTTTCAATTCGACTCTCACCACTGGAAAATATATAAAGTCCGACGCTTGAATAGGGGCAAAGTTGCGTATTTAGGTAGCTAACAAAATGTCGCTCAGAAAGTTTCAAAATTCAAAGTACTTCTGAAAAGAGGCGGAAAAAACCTTTTTTTTTTTTAATTTTTTCTCTACTATTTGTAGTGGGATTTCAAAATAAATTGCACATTAATATTGCCACTTTTCCTCCTCAAGATGGCAAAATTATAATTTCAATATGACGTTTCGATTTTTGCACAGTTTTTAATTCTGATTCCAAAAATGTATAATTTGTCATACACTAACATTGCCAAACCTTAGTAATTAAAAAAAAACTGAATTTCTTAGGCATGTCTTGAAATTGTCAGTCATTTGTTTCATATACCAGATTTATGGTAAAATCATTTTTATTTTATCCTGAATTTATTTAAGATGGAATTTTAAAATAAATTGCATGTTGTTCTTGACACTTTTTCTCCTCTACAAGATGGCGTAGTTTAATTTTCAATTCGAGGTTTCTTCTTTCGACTTGTGTCACCAACTTTGTTTCATATGGATGATATATTGGAATTTTGTACATTTGAATTGATTGTTTAGTCCTAACTTCAGTACTGTATTTCCTTAGTTGGCCATGAATTTGTTGTTGGAACGAAAATTAAAAGGTTTGGTGAAACCTGAACACAAAATGAAAATTTAATTGATAGTAATAACAATAATCATAAGTCAGAAGAGGTAAATCATAGCAGATGTTGTCCGTTATTTTGTAGACAAAGCCTGACTCTTCTCTGTACATTGTTCACTAATACTTTTATTTCCCTTCTTGGTCTTCCAAACTCTGCTACATGTTCAATTGAGGTCTTTGTGACTGCCATATGCATAAATTGATCGATCATATATTTTTATTTCCTTATAATTTTCGTTCGAACAACAAACTCATGACCAGCTAAGAAAATACATCACTGAATTTAGGACAGAAAACTCCATTTAAATGTACAAATTCTTGAAGAGCCAGAGGTCACACATTGCCAAATCTGGCGAACAAGGCGGATGTTCTAGCATTTTGGTGTGGCGTAAAAAGTCTGCAGTGTGGCTAGGCTAGAGGCATTGTCGTGATGCAGGATTGCACCTCTGCAACAATTTTTTTTGAAGGAAGATGATCATACAAAATGGTGTGTACTGTTGCGGATCCTACCCCAAGAGTTGCCTCTATAATCGCATATGTGCAGCGAGAATCTTCTTCAACTAGCCGCTGAACTTTACCAATGTTTTCTGGAGTCACACTAGAACATGGCCTACCACTAGGTTCTTCATCAGCCAATCAAACATGCCCTTTTTTAAATTCGGCATACCAGCGAAACACACTTGCCGGGACGGAGCTTCATTACCAAATGCCTGTTGTAACCCTTCGATCCACTGATGTTCAGTTAAACCGACTTTTAAGTCATAGTAAATCATAGAGCTCTCGAGACAACTCCATGTTTCGTCTTAAATTTGTTTACACCACGTGCATTGTAAGACGCTTGCAAATGAACTGAATGCGGCTCTTTCTAATAGTGCACTGTTGCCGGTTTTAACGAGTCAAAATATACAGCGTGCCCCTCGTAATATTACCGTTATCGAGATCCTAATGGTGAGTGTCGAATTTAAAACACCTCGTATATTCCATGTTAAACTTGCAAGGCAGATAACAAAGGATATTTTCCTCATTATCTGTCGATTTAATCATAACGCGCACGACACACTGTACGTCGTACTCGGGGACGCAAGAGAGACCCGCAAGCGGTTTATAACGGCCTCAGAGCAGACAAAATCCATCTTTCCAAAATCATGAACCGCTTTCTTCAACTGTCACCACCGGGGGCCCCTACGAATTTTGTGCGTCTGGCCCTAGGGATCCTAGATCTGCCACAGTTTCCATATTTGAAGCAGGAGAACATTCTAAGGACAGGAAAAACTCATTCCGTCTTGTTTTAACTTATTACATCACAATTTTGCGCTTGAACCTTGTAGGGCAAGTTTTGTCTTCTCGTTCATAGAAAAAAAGTTAATAAAATACATGTATCTGAAATATAAATATAAAATACCAAATACCAGGAACACTAGAAATGAAATCTACTTGATCATGAAACAAATACGTACGATTTTGTTTAATTATTTTATTTTTCGATATAATCTCCCTACATCAATGCACTTGCGTCATTTCTCCTCCAGTGAACTTAAACCCTTATAAAAAATGTTTCCTCTTGATTCTCAAAAAGTCGGCTGCTTTAGGTCACCATCTGAGTCAAAACGGCGTCCTCGAAGATTTTTCTATAGTAATCTAAAGAGATAAAAGTCAGACCGAGCCAAGAGTGGACTATAGCGTGGATGGTCTATCTCAACGAAGCTGCATTCGTACAGAATTAGTCTAATTTTGTCAGCCTTATGCACGGTCGCATTGTAATGCAGTAGAAACACTTCTCGATTGGAAAAATCTGGTCTTTTCTAGTTGAGTGCTTAACGTACCTTTTTAGCGTGTTCGCATAGACGTCCGTATTTATAGTTGTCAGTTTTGGCATTATATTCAATGAAAAACTGTTTCCGTCAATTTTCCAGCAGAGGGTTGCTTCCGTGCCTTTTTGGATGGTGGAGACTCTTTATGAACCCACTGCCTGGACTCTGTTTCCGTCTCAGAATTACAATGATGCACCCAAGGCTCGTCGGCCGTCTCCGTATGTGCCAAAAAGTCAGAATCGTTGAAATTACTTCCTGAAATTTCCAACTTGCGCAACTTTTGTTCAGTTGTCAACAGTCGTGGAACCCACCTGGTTGACACCTTACTCATGTTGAAATTGTGAAAGACTATTATTAAGCTGAGTTTCGATATTTCGATTCAATACCATACTAATGGTAGAGACCTTCACACGATGATCTTCGATAAACAGGGCTTCAAATGTTTGGGACATTTCATCATTTGTTACTGTTTTGGGTGTTCCACTCCACTTTCTTCTATGGATTCACGCCCCCATCGAAACCTGTTTCGACCAAAAGTTTATTGGTGAATCATCACCATAAACAACATTCTCTCAAGAATCGTCTTTGGCTGATGGCTCTCTTTTGTCAGAAATTTGATGGAACTGCGATGCTGTAATTTTAATTTATTCATTTTTCTTCACAGTTCATTTTATAAATTCGAAACTGCTTATCAAAATTAACTTAAATTAGGCAAGTAATATTAAAACACATGCTACTATTTGACATTTATGCTTATGCATTTCAATTGTTTTTTTCATGGCTAGGTAGATTTATTTTCTAGTGTCCCTCGTACATATTTTCCATAACTTTAGGGACTCGGGGGAGATAACTTCTGAGTTCCTATTTGTGATGTATTGTGTGATCCTATCAACGAAACAGGATAATCTTCACTCCATATCTGTAGTCAGTTTTATATTTTCAGGTCGGTGTTTCAATCAATTCACACTGAAATATCTGCAAGCAGCAATGACACAGGCCGAAGATATGAATCAGCATCAGTAATAAGACCTAGCACAATTTCATATACTTACGAAAAGCCAATTCCTCAAATAACATATGAAACATTGTGCAATGAATTCAATAGTTTTTCAATTCGCCCATCATATATTAAAAAAGTACAATTAAACGAAGCCTTTATCAAAAGCTTAAGTGATAATGTTGGCATAACTGACTGGTACGTTAAAACAAGTAGTAATAGCGCGTATTGTACTGAACGCCTTCAAAATCATGTATGGGAATATCAAGAAGTAGCTACGCTATTCACGAGCACCAACAAAAAATGCTTTCAAGTTGATTATATAGAAAAAGTATATAATGTGTACTTGTACTTGCAATTCAAATTAAAAGAAAGAGCAAATGCTAAAAGATCACGATATCGAATGACGAGAATTTTTTTTCATGGAACAAAAATGTGTAACATTAGGGGAATATGCGAAAACAACTTCAACTGGAGACTGAGAGGGACTGCTCTGGGTCATAGATTCGGACAAGGTGTCTCCTTTACGAACATATCAAACTATGCAACGCATTATGGTGATTTGAAACATCCGAGAAAAGCGATGATATTGGCCCAGGTCCTTGTTAGGCATACATGTATTGGTTACGGAGGAATGGTGATTCCCGATGAACCCTTTGACACTGCAACCAATGACAAAGGACAGGTATTCGTTAAGTTTGAAGATAACGAATTTTATCCAAGCTACGTGATATACAGGGTGGCCCATAAGTCCTTTGAGCTGGAAAAAAAGGAATAAAACCAAACTAGTTACATTATGAAGAATTATTATATTTTATTATCATCTTTATTGAATGGGAATTATGTTTTAAAAATCACATCATCTAAATGCAATCCATTACGATCACGGCACTTATATAAACGACGTCTAAAATTCTCGATGACTGCGCGGCAAGTCAACACTGTAATGCTTGCCATTTCTCTTCGGATATTTTCTTTCAGGACATCAACTGATCGCGGAGTGGTGTCGTACACTTTACTCTTGAGGTAGCCCCATAAAAAGAAGTCCATTGGGGTCAAATCTGGACTACGTGGTGGCCAGGAAATGTCTCCTCTTCGAGAAATTACTTTGCTGGGAAAAAGTTGACAGACACGGGCATAGAGGTGTTGGAGGTGTGGGCAGTTGCTCCGTCCTGTTGAAACCAGGTCTGCGTATTATAGCCTGGAAAATTCTGCAACGCTGGTGTCAAAAACTCTTCTATCATTGCTACATACCGCTCCGAAGTAACAGTTAATGCGCGACCTCTGTCGTCCTCAAAAAAATAAGGGCCTACGATGCCATGCGCTGACATAGCAGCCCAAACTGTAACTTTAGGGCTGTGTAAGGGCTTCTGATGCTTACGCCTTGGATTTTCGGGGCTCCAATAACGGCAATTTTGTTTATTTACATGCCCGTTTAAATGGAAGTGAGCCTCGTCCGAGAACAGCGAAGAAAATCGATTCAACATTTGATTCGCAAAGTTTAGTCTCTGAATAGCGTCATTATCTTTTAATTCCTGCACTAACTGAATTTTGTAAGCGTGCAGACGTAAATCTTTCCTTAAAATCCGCTGTAAAGATGTTCTGGGTACGTTTAGTGCACTGGAACGCTTACGAGTAGACTGGGTAGGATTTTGACGAACAGACTGTGCCACAATGTTGATGTTTTCTTCAATACGAGTTGTCCTTGGTCGACCCCACCGCTGTTTATCTAACGTCGAACCAGTCTCTTCGAACTTAGCAACCCAGTTCTTAATCGTTTGAGCTGTTGGACACTTTGTAAAATTGTGTAAATTGTGGTATTCTCGATATTTACGCCGCGCAATGGTTGCCGAATCATTATTTTGATAAAATGCGCGCACACAAAAAGCACGATCAGCTCCAGTGAAACACTCCATGGCGACTGAATTCCCAGACACTGAAGATACTGCCCACACCTCGCCCGCGCCGCTCACGCTCACCCGTAAAATTTTATTCAAATTTGAAATTTCAAAGGACTTATGGACCACCCTGTATTACAGTGGATTTGATATGATACGGAAACGATAACTACCTTATTACACTAGTTTGTAAATTCAATAAGTACTTTATAATCCAGTCATATTGGGGGTTCACCTCGGAATGAGAGATAATAAGCTGTAAACTCATAGAAACTTTTATTTTGTCATTATAAAAGTGGTTTGAAAGATCTTAGAAGGCAGAAGTTCTAGCTTCTTATGGGTTTAATCTTATTTGCATTTATTAAGAATATGGTGGAGAATAAGATTTATTTATTTATTTTCAGAACAATGCAAGATCAACCGTTAGTCGTTAAAAAATAGATAGTTATGCATAATTAGCATTTTTTTGTCAATTACTGTATTACATTTATATACGACATATAGATTTTGCACAAATAAGATGTATAATACATATATGTACACCAGTCTAAAGATAATCGAGATATTAGGCTCCGCAAAATCAATCAAACTCAAAGCAAACTTAATCCGATTATGTATCATGATCAGATAAAAAGAGAGAAGCCACGTTCGTTAGGACTCAACTCAGACGCCGGCAGCGTAGGTAAACAAAACATTTATTTACCAATAGGTTCGAAAAAACAAAATGAAACACCCTTACAACATTATAGAACTTGTCGACGTATTTTAATTTATGGTGAGCGTCTTCAAATGCTATTTTCCCAAATCGGCTGGACGGTTTACGATACCTAGACTTTCTACGTAACATTTTACCAACGGCAGCAACTTCGAAAAGTACTTATAAGTAACAGAGCCGTGCTTAAAATTTATCCGCAAATGAACGGTGAATACTTTTTCATTTATTTTTTTTTTTACTTTGTAGCTAATATTCCACCACACATTAGCTCTGTTATTTCAAGTGTAGTTGTTTCTGAAAAGGCAAGATCCTATTGCAGGACACCCTGTATAAAATCTATTATAAAAATTCGCAGAACCCAAATGAAGAATTGTGCCACCAACAAACTCATATGTTATACAGACCCCATAGTGGTACATATTTACGGTATAGCTTTGCAAAAAATCGAGGGACTACTGGGGGATTCTGTATCTTCTCAAAACTGAAAAAAATTGTAGAACCCAAACAAATTGTTTGAACAAAAAAGTTATATCCTGTAGAGGTCCAGTAGTATTACATATCTACCACATAATCCTCTGATTTTTTTGAAGAGCTATACCCCATATAAATATGTACTTCTATGGTGTCTCTACAACATATATGACTTTGTTGGTGACATAACTCTTCGTTTGAATTCTGGGAATGTTTTTCGATTTTGGGTAGTCAACCCTTTTAGGCACAGAATCACACTGTAGTCGCCTGAATAACGCTTGACCTTGCATTATGCTGTAAATAGCTAATCGCTGCGCGCTCTTCGCCCTCTTTCTCAAAAACGGTTAATTCCATGGAAAAATGTTTGACGTTGTAGAGAATAATAACATTCTCTACACGAGAGAGAGATTTTATGAGACTTCCGCGACAACTTTTAGAATATCAAAATAAAGGTTTCTACAGCTTTACATCTTATTACCTCTCATTCGGAGGTTGACCCTTTTTTAAGGTTTATATAATTGGACTATTATTATATTGTAATAAGAAGACTGAAAATGAAAAATTGTAGTTGTAGAATTACTTCCAGTGTGTTGATAAGAGCTGATATGATTGTCACTTAATGGGATCTTGGAAACGGTAAAAAAATGGCGTCAATCAGATTAACTCTGTACTCCCCACGTAATTCTGTCATCCATTAGATTATGTTCGGTTTATCCTTTCCCTAGACGTTTTCGTTTGTTGTATATTTATGTGTAAACATTACGTGATATGGATATATATATAACTGTGTGTGTGGATATGTATGTATATACGAGTATATTCTGGTTTCCTAATATCTATTAATCATATTCATAGTTTCTTTTCTCTCTACTTCTCTTTTTGTGTTTTTTTTTCACTTTATGGTACCACAGACTGTAAATTAAACCACTGTACTATGTATTGCTCTCGAAATGGTACCAGTACTGTTGGGCAATAAATGCTTTATTATTATTATCCTCAAACAACTCAATCTCATATGAAATATGATTACAAAAACATCGAACAAAGCTATTGCATGTAAGATATACAGTCAGTCTAATCGGTATAGATTTCTACAGAATGAATATACTATTCATATCCTCTTGATACATATTTGTATATGTAAGGTGAAAAAATGTAATACGAAACAATAACGATCAATAAAAACCTAACAATACATATGAATGAGTGAATGAATAACTATGAATTCCATCTTTATGTACTCAAGAGCAAGTTCGTACGTTCCAATACTCCTATTGAATTTTTTAACAATAATTTCTTAACTTCTTTTTTAAATGAAATATAATTACTACTTTGTTAAATGTTAACTGGTAATTTGTTGAATAATATGACGCAGTTGTAATTTGGATGATATTTGAAATAAGTGATAGTATGTTTCTCAACTATTTTCAAATTTTGATTTCCTGTGTGGTACTCGTGATAAACATTGCTATTTGAAAATGAACTATTATAATTCTTTGCGCATTTCAAAATGTAAGTGCAAAACACATTAATAATTTCCCTTGAGTTAAAAATTTCTTTGCAGCAGTAGTTTCTCTGCAAGTGGCTTCATTCCAAAAATTATTCTGATGATTCTTTTTTGGGCGACAAATAATCTCTCAATTTCACACGATTTACCCATACCATAATGTTGTAAGACATGTGGCTACAGGCCAGTGCATAACACATGTACACTAGGACTTTTTCGTTTAGAAAATATTGTCCCTAGAGTATAGCAGAATGCGCTTTACTTAAATTTTTACAAACATGATTAATATGTTCCTGAAAATTTAGTCTGCTATCAAAATATGTGCCGTATAACTTACAAGAGTCAGATAAAGTAAGGTTATATATATCCAGTTTTATATTAATTATGCCATACAAACATAATTATATGCCCTTTAGACATATGACTGGACAAAATCACTTTCATATGAGTTGGATAGCAGTGGTCCCAATACATATCCCTAAGGGACACTAACAGGATACATATGCGATACTGTACTTCCGAAGTTCACTTAGTTTTCTGTCCACCATTTAGGAGCACAGCCGATTCAAAAAGAAACCTCTTACACCCACAATATAAATTTTTACCTCCATATATTTTCATCTAGATTGTTAAAAGCGTCAGACAGATCGAAAAGCAAAGACATTACATATACGAAATTATCAAATTTGTTCTAGTAAGTGACAACTAACAGTTTCAACATATCTTTCGGCTCTAAACCCTTGTTCAGATGTATTTAGGATATCAGATTATTCAGCAAAATTATGTTTAAATATGTTACTTAATACCTTTTTTTATTAATACTAGAAATTTTATAGCGCATAACTATAAAATAAGGTTGTGGTGGCAATATAGACGGAAAAGGAAATAAATAACCGATACTTCACTGACATGCATATTCCCTATTCATGGAAGTATGCAAGAGCGCGTAACAGCTGCGTTATGGATCCGCTTGGGCAATGCGAAATTTCTCTTAGGGAAGTTAAAGTACGCGCATAGTACCGTTAGTCAATACGTTTACTCATTTCGTACGCCATTGTGACAACCGACAAAAAGAGTGAAATGGACTATAGGCGCCTAGTTCTTTCGAAATGAATTTTTAGTTGCACCATTACAATATTCATAAATATCGGAGAGCTTTCTCGAAACCCCTTTTTGAGCAACAAATGCGGCCCAGCATTCACTCATCCTAAGGGGAGGAAGAAGTCCTAAAAATTGCAATGCGTCTCAATAAAAAAAGGTAAATATGTATTGTAGATTATACGGATGTGTGACTTTACCGGAATTACACCGACCTCGTATCGTTACCGTTTCCGAGATACTATTTATGACAAGTGGCTGCCTAGTACCTAATCACGATTTGTGTATTATGTCAACATGAAGTGTAATTTCTGATACAGTGAATTATCGCGCACTATCATAAAATATCATTTAGTTATAGTTGAATAGTCTGGTTTTATATGTATTTTCCGTTCCTGTTATTATAGCAAAAATCCATTACTCTATCAATGTATCCCATAAATATATTAAATGTAACTTGTGTAGTATATTACTCATACCAATATCAATAAATATGATGAAAATTCCAGCCTTCATTTGGATCCAATTATGCATATATTTCAACTAGATACACCTATCGTGACTTAGTTGCTTATTTATACATAATTCACATTAACAAAATAAGATTCCACAAAGCATATAATATGACTCCATTGTCTGGCCGCTAAATCAAACCACGAATGTTTGAATTACTTTTTAATTACTCGTTTTTGCCACCAACTTGGTATTGTTCAAGTATAAAGACATATATTTTGTTTATACAGGGTGCGGCAGAGAGGATGGACGGGTTTAAAAAAAAAATAAAATAGTTAATTTTTACTCGAAAACAAATTTATTGATGGAATCAGGTTCACAAGGAAATAGCATTTGAGACAGTCAAGTGTGGAAAATCACATCAGGCATGTGGTGGCCGAAATCGTTGATGCAGTGCTTTAGGCGTTCTTGGAAGTTCGCGTAGACTCTCTCCAACATCGCTATCTCAACTTGGGCGACTTCGACCAGAGTTCGGGGCTTGTTCGCGTATACTCTAGCCTTGAGGTGTCCCCATAAGAAAAAATCGCATATGGATAAATCTGGGGACCGAGGAGACCAATGAACATCGCCAAACCTGGAAATAAGGCGACCAGGGAAGAGAGGGCGAATAACGGTCATGGATGCTCGGGCTGTGTGGGCGGTCGCCCCATCCTGCTGGAACCACACACGTCGGATTGGAACACGTCGCCGTCGTAATTCAGGGAGAAAGAAGTTGGTGATCATAGCGCTCTGAGTTCACGGTAATATCACGACCACTACCGTCTTCGAAGAAGTAAGGGCCAATGATGCAAGTTTGCGATACAGCGCACCAAACCGTTACTTTTGGGCTGTGCAGCGGTCTTTCGTGTAACTGTTGCGGATTTTCATTAGCCCAATAACGACAATTATGCTGGTTAACCATGCTGTTTAGGTGAAAGTGGGCTTCGTTTCGTCACTGATAAACAAAATGAGGTTCTCATTTTGATCGATCAGTGCTTCCATCTCACGTGCGAAGTTCATTCGTTGTGCATAATCTCCGGGCTGTAACTGTTGCACAATGGCCAATTTGTAGTGGTGAAAGCGGAGATCCATATGCAAAATTCGCCTTACCGAACGATCACTAAGGCGAAGTGCAGCAGCTTGTTTCCGGGTTCCGGGTAGATCGAGTCGGACTGCGAAGAAAGACCTGTCGAACGCGTTAAACATTTTCAGGAGTTCGAATTGTTCGCGGCGCTCCTCTTTGTCTTCTGTTGATCAGTTCACCACGCCTGCGAAACAATCATAGGCGAAAACGCGGTGCTCCACCGTACAAGGCTCCATAACGACAACTGGTAAAATAAAGCTAGGATCTCACGAGTCAAACGGCACCCTCCCCACCTCTCTCGTAGACGGAGGCGGAGAGTACTACCCATCCCAAAAACCTCCGTCCTTATGTAAATGTAACTCAAAATACATTTCCGAAATTTAGTCCGAGAAGCGAAACTCGGATCCGAGTACTCGTAAATGTAAATGCCGCTTTATGGCGTTTCTCCATGCTGGCTAGTAAGAGCGGTATTGACATATCTAGGTCTGATATAGCAGTATCGAAATCTCTTCTAATTAGTTAATACCTCTCTCTGGGCGAATTTGCAAGATATACTCGGGCCTTGCGCAGCTTCAATGATGATCTGATTATTCTTTCCGATCTGTCTCAGTATGTCAAGAATACAGTGTCGATATTACGTTCAATATGGCACGTGTGAAGTCTAACATGTCTGCAAAAATGGAATATGTGGCAACGTAGCAGCTAACCTCAAATTCTGAGGCTGTTATCATGTATGAATATTTATAATCAAATCCAAGCGAATAATCAAAATTTCTGTGTTATGTGCCGCGGTTATAATATGGTTCAAGATGACACACGGGTTGATGACGTCAGTTACACGAATCGCTTGAACCCGTTGGTTTTAACCGCGGTTTTGTTGCAAGTTGTTTATTTTAGAAAAGCGCGTATATAATCTCTGATTATTTTTATTATCACTTAATAATCGGTGCTTTTTCGTCTACAACTGTGTATGGAAAGTTTAAATAAGAAACCTTTCATAATATTCATGGGGGAAATGTTTTTTTTCAGATTTTTTTTTAATGATCGAACCATGGCTTTGGATCTATGATAACTTTCAATTCTCTAAAATTTTCCGCATGTCAAAGAAAACATTTATTCGTTTTCTCTTAAAACATTGTACCAAATGGAAAGTCATAAAATATTGAAACATAGTAATGATTTGAAACTAAAAGCCTTGAAATACAAGACGTCCATTCAGCTTTCAAGATATTCAATCCATTATTAATAGATACAGTATCAAGGTTTGGGAAAAACATACAGCACTCCTTGCTGGACACAACTGTTCAACAAGTACTACATTTTTGATGCCTATCATCATAGTATTGTCCAAATATTAATGTCAAATTTTGTTTATCGGTTGTGTCTAACATTGGGTTATGTATGTCATTGAAGAATTTATTATTTCTAGCAAAATATTACAGGCTTTTATAACATCAACTTATTACTTAAATGTGCACATAATGTTGAATGAAATAACAGTGAAAATCAGGGTGAAAATAGTTAATAACTAATATTTTCCACCAAGTTGACTTCATATTAAAAAAACACATTTCCGAATTTTCCGTATTTTACATCAAGTAGAGTGTGTTAAATATGCTGCAATAATCATTCACTAGCGCTGTTGTACGGCACGCCGAGCCGTGCTGTCGGCCGGCCGGCCTACTCGTAGTCATGTCACGCGTCTGTTGTCAGGCCTTGTTCTCTCGGTGGTACCGGTATTACCCCCTCTCAGTGTTGCCAGAGCCCACATTGAAAATTCCGCTACTAATAGGGGGGGGGGGATGCGCATCATAAAACAGGGGGCATTTAGTACACAAGTTGTGTCAAAAAAGAAAAACTAAAACCAACCAAACAGCGTGATAAAATATAACATAAGAAACTGTAATAAAAAAAACATTTAACTATAAAAACCAATACAATATTACAAATAACTGTCAAACAACAGAACATTTATCACGCAGTCATATTAAAAAAATATAACAGGAAACAAAATAATAAAAAGCATATGACTAAAGGCCATTTCTGTTTTGCATAAAAAAAATAAGTTTTTGAGTTACTTAAACTCAGTCACTGTCTGTATCAGATTCTTCTTGTTGCATTTATGTCCTCTCTATACTATATAAATTATTTTTGTATTTTATAAAATGTTTTTCACCAAATTCGAAGTCTAAGCAGCAACATTTTTATGTATTGTATCCAGTTTGATAAGTATCGCGAGCAAAGTAGAAGGTAAAATACGATTCCTTTTCTTTGTTTTGATTATCTCCATATATGAGAATGTCCACTCGACACCTGCATTACCATGTGGTAAATGTTAAAATTATTAGACATACTTTGGAAATACACTTCACAGGTTGTGTTCTTACAACCTACTACCATGTATACGTGTCTCCATTGAATAAGAATTACCGACCGGTGGTTACCACAGTCGATTGGAAAGATATCTGTATTTAGATTTAGTTACTAACTGCACTCTTTTTTTTTTCTTGTAAAAATATCCATCATGCGTACCTAAATTGCTAAATTCCGCTACTTTTAACAAAAAATTATCCGCCCCTACGCCGCTACCACTGGCAACACTGCCCCTTCTATCGATCACGCTCTGGCTCAGGCCATGCGCTCAAAACCATAATACTACGCCGGTAGTGGTGTGTTGATTCTCGCTACTTTCGAGTACTCGTTACTAATCGTTACTCTTCTACAAAGTAATCATTTATTGTATTCGTTACTTTGACTACTATGAGTAGTATGAGTATAACGATTTGGCAACGTGCGTCCTGTAATTAATGTCGAATTTGTGCAAGTTCAACGGAACCGAATCTTGTAAGAAAATAGGCAAGCTTAAAATTTGCAAAATGTTATAAGCATAGTATATTCAAATGTCGTGTTTAATGCAAACATCGTATCTTCAAACTTTATGCTTATCGAGATAGGTTATTATAGGATAGAGTGTCATATGACTCATATGAGCCTACAAACTGAAAATAGTTTGTATTTGCTAGAAATGCTTAAACACGTCTTTTAGTCAGATGATCTGTATATGGGCTTAAGGAAATTCGTAACTTTACCAAACATTTCAATTAAGCATACATTCTACGTGGAGCTTAGTCTACAGATACTATTGGTACTCATACTGAATTATAATTTTTTTAGCAAAACAGTACAAGTAAGCACGTGTCAAATTAACATAATTTTTATTATTGTAGTTTTCCTGACAGTGGTGTTACCTTGTTGTCGCTTTTCTGCCTCATAATATTGCCGATCTTTGCTCCTCCAATCCAATCGACTCCTTATTCCTGTTCAGGTTCCCAAGATCACAACAATAAAAGCGAATTTGAGTCACGGTGTAAATAGGTAAACTTCAGATTCAAAAACAATTACCAAATTATATGTCCGCCAACCAAAGAAGTTGAATTTCCAGGTTTCCACCCGAATGTGTGATGTCTGGCAACCCTGATGCATGAGCGGCAGTGCTACCGTCAAACCAGCCACTCAACGATTGTACGGGTACCGGGTACGGATACGGAAAATACAGTAATCAAAGTAATCATTTCGTGTTCTGATTGGTACTCGTTACTTCGGGTATGTATAATCAAATCCAAGCGAATAACCAAAATTTCTGTGTTATGTGCCGCGGTTATAATATGGTTCAAGATGACACATGGGTTGATGACGTCAGTTACACGAATCGCTTGAACGCGTTGGTTTTAACCGCGGTTTTGTTGCAGGTTGTTTATTTTAGAAAAGCGCGTATATAATCTCTGATTATTTTTATTATCACTTAATAATCGGTGCTTCTTCGTCTACAACTGTGTCTGGAAAGTTTAAATTAATATTCATGGGAGAAATGTTTTTTTTCAGAAATTTTTTTTTAATGATGGAACCATGGCTTTGTAGCTATGATAACTTTCAATTCTCTAAAGTTTTCCGCATGTCAAAGAAAACATTTATTGATTCAGCAGAAATGATGAAAAAAGAAATTAGCAATTCCGTATACAGGTGGACATCATCTAGTGAGTTTATGTAGCCATATTTTAATATCCTTGTGGTATATGGCTACACAGGATATTTTGCTAAGCTTAGGAACTACATTTAAAGTGTCCCCAACAACCGTAATAAGTATAACTAATAAGGTGCTCCACTTTATGGTAAAACTGAAGTCAGCCTGTATCAATTTTCTCAAAAATGAAGCTGAAGTACAATAACAATATCCAATACCCGGCAAAATTCTAACTTGTCACATTTCAAATAATAACCAGAAATATAAAACTACTCTTGAGTTGGGTAAATACCACAATTTTGCGGTGATAACCACGACATATAACAGCTGATTCGTGACGACACGGATCTTATAACCAAACTGAACTGAACCTAACTACACTCGCTTGAACGGATCGGTAAATACCAACCCAAAATGGTAAATACCATTTCCATTTGGTTATCCGCTTGAATTTGATTTATGAGTAACGTGTACTCGAGTACCGTAGTTACGTTTTCAACACCACTACGTACGCCGACCAACCGACGCAGGGAAAAACAACAGCATAACCAACCAATCGGCAAAAGTCATAATCAACTTCATCCATATTACTATACAGTTTAGTGTGTTATATATGCGTCTGTGAAGTAACTCCATTATGGGTGGATTATTAGGTTGTGTTAAAAAACAATCAGCTAATGACAATTGCCTATACAGGTTAGTATAGTTTCCCTACTATACTTTAATATATTACACAAAATGTGACATTGTGTATGTATGTTCCGTTTTAACGCCAAAACGGCTGAACCGATTTTAATGAATTTTAGCGTATGCCGGATGTTTCAAATTCGACCTTCACCATTGGGATCTCAGAAACGGAGTCGCTTGACTGAGAGCAAAGTTGCGTAGTTAATTAGCTAACAAAATGCTGCTTAGACAGTTTAGAAACTCAAAGTACTTCCGGAGCGAGACGGAGAAAACCTAATTTTCCCAAAATCGTTTTAATGTTTCCTGACTTTATTTAGAAATAAATCGGACATTAACATTGCCACCTTTTCTTCTTTACAAGATGGTATTATCAAAATTTCAATATGACATGTCGCATCAATTTTATTTTTAATTAAGAACGGATTTGTGTACAGCTCAATAAAGTTTTTCACTCTGATTTCAAAAACGTATGTCATACATTGAAATTGCCAAACCTTAGTTATTAAAAAAAAACAGAATTTCCTATGTATTCCTTGAACTTATCAGATAGTCATTTGGTTGAGATAGGATTTTAAAATAAATTGCATTTTGTTATTGCCACATTTTCTCCTCTATAAGATGGCGTAGTAAAATTTTCAATTCGAGGTATCTTCTTTTGGCTTCCATCATATGGATGCTATATATTGGAATTTTGTACGTACATTTAAATGGCGTTTCCAGTCCTAAACTCAGTAATACATTTTCTTAGTCGATCATGAATTATAAGGAAATAAAAAAGGTATGGCGAATATATATGTACAGGGAGCATAGTTTTGACAATTTCAATTGAACATAGTAACAGAGTTTGGAAGACTGAGAAGAAGGGGAAAAACTGAACAGTGAATAGGGAACAGCGAAGAGTCAGGCTTTGCCTAGAAAATAATGGGTAAAGTTTTGAAAATCTGCTATGATTTACCTCTGCTTGTTTATGATTACTATCACCAGCAATAAAATTTTCATTTTGTGTTTAGATTTCAACAACAAATTCACTGCCAACTAGGAAAATTCATAGCTGAATTTAGGAGTGATAAATTCATTCAAATGTACAAAATTCTGTTATTGAAACTTTGACTAGGACTAGAGAAGAAGAAGTGGCTATGACAACATGCAATTTATTTTGAAATCCAATATCAAATGAAGTCAGGAAAAATAAAAATGATTTTGGGATAAATCTGGTATATGACAACAAATGACTATCTAATAATTTCCTAGCAAATTCCGTTTTTCTGGAATAACTAAGGTTTGGCAATGTCAATGCATGACATACTTTTTTGCCAGTAGGCGTAGGAAGTACAAACTATTCCTATATATTTATGTACGTATACCATAATTCAACAAGCTTCGCATAGAAAGTATTTGCCGATTCATAAACGCCATTATTCGTAACTTTAGTCAGTGAAACTTTTATGTTTTCAGTCCTGTATCAACAACAAGTTACCTCACAGACTCAAACTATGATGTACCAAAAAGAACACAATGTACGGCTCATGGTAAAGAAGTAGGAGACAGTAATCTGGAACCGCAGAGTGACACTCAAGAAGAGTGGAATGATGGCTTGGATCCCTACAGCTTCAAGAATTCTGTTCCCCAAATCACAGAGAATACGACTAACACTAGAGAGGAAAAAGGAATGGATTTATCTAATTGCAACAAATTAGTTCCTGGCATGAGGGGTGGTATGATTGAAAATCCACAGGTTCAATGTGAAGTGGAACCATATGATTGCAAGAAATCAGTTCCGCAAGTCTCAGAAAGTACAATTAACAACAAAGACTGTAAAGAAGTGGATTCACATAATGGCAAACAATCCATTTCTCAAATCCCGAAAAGTGATTCGAATGACAAAAAATCAGTTCCCCAAATCACAAAACAAACTATCATCGATTATAGTCCACATATAATTTGGGCATCATACATTATTAGCGTTAAACTAAACCGAACCCTTATTAAGGATTTGTCCAACAGTATTGATGTTACTGATTGGTATAGTAAAACTGATAATAACACATACTGTACTGAACCCATTGAAAATGGAACATTGGAGTATCAAGAAGTAGCTACGCAGTTCAAAAGCACCAACAAGAAGTGCTTTAAAATTGATTACATAGAGAAGGTGTATAATGTTTACTTGTACTTGCAATTCAGATTAAAAGAAAAGGCAAAAGCCAGTAGATTACAATATCCGATCACCGCAAATCTTTTTCATGGAACAAGGGCTTGTAACATTATAGGAATATGTCAAAACAATTTTGATTGGAGACTGAGGGGAACTGCACTAGGTCATAAATTTGGACAAGGTGTCTCTTTTACGAACATATCAAACTACGCAACACATTATGGTGATTTGAAACGTCCGAAAAAAGTGATGATATTGGCTCAGGTACTTGTTAGCGGTACGTGTATTGGTAATTCAAAAATGGTTATTCCTCTAGAATGCTATGACACTGCAACCAATCATAATAATCAGGTGTTTGTTAAGTTTGAAGATAATGAATTTTATCCAAGTTATGTGATACATTACAGAGGGTTCGATCCAACGCGAAACCGATGACTTATTGAATGCATTAATTCATTTCTTGCTGTTTTTCTAATAATGTTGGTTAAAGATATGAAATGTTTTGATGTCGGGCTCACTGCTAACTCAATGATCCAATTTGGACTAAGATATTTTACAGTTCCAATAGAAGACTGCCACTCGCTCCCGCAGTGATCGATTTTGGTAATAGATGGCACTTGTGCGATCGTACTCAGCAGGTCCATAATAAAAGGCCGGAAGTCATTTTTTAAACAGCCTGTTTGGATGAGTATTCTAAATCATTATCTTATTATTTCATGTATAGAGATGACTAAAAAAACAATGTTATAATTGTATTGTCAAAAAATGTATTGGTTGTTTTTGTTAACAAATATTAGTACAGCTCTGAAATTGTATGTGAATATTCCACTTTTATGAAAGAATGAAGCAAGTGATTAGTTTTATGCTTATCACTTTTTCAATTCTAAAAATATTTGATTATGATTGAGTTTTCAAAAAATAAAGTTTTTTGAAGAGAGAAAGTGATAGAGAAACAATTAATCACCTCCCTCATTCTTCCATAAAAGTGGAATTTTCACATACAATTTTAAAGCTGTACTATTATTTGTTAGCAAGTTACGATTCAAGAAAAAATGCACAAAAAGATGCATGTTTTGACAAAAAATAAACTGATAAGATTGTTCTTTGGTCTTCTCTATACACCACATGAAACAATCAAGGAAAAGACATGCGACGTTAAAGCAAAGAATAGTGAAAATCTTTTTGTCCATCTTTAATCAACATTTACAGAAAAACCGCAAGAAATAAAATGTCGCAACTTAATGCATTTTTATCACCGTATTTTTGTTCTATTTGGCGATCGCCATATTCGATTCACAATGGCGTCACTGCTTATTATATTTTTCTCATCAATCCCTTCATGGGATACCCATACCATAGGGGTTATAGTGGAAATGATAAAACGTCATTGTGTAGCATCCGCCCGATTGGATTCAAAATGGCGGCGTTCAATTTAAATTAACTGGATTTTTATAAGTATGAAAAGTTAAATTTTCCATATGTGCCGCGTCTAGATTAATTTTTTTAGTTAGGTATATGATTTTATTACAGGAAACATGTACTACTAATATCTGTTCTTATAGTTAAATATAATGTATATGTATATAATTTATAGTTAAATATAATGTAAATATATTTATATAGGTATTTCTGTTAGTCAATAAATACTTGTATCTTTTACGTAGCTATAATTAACAATTACATTCTATTTATCAATTTTTTTTTATTATTTTATAATTTTTCCTGACTTCATTTGTAGTGGAATGTTGAAATGAACTGCACATCAACATTGACACTTTTTCTCCTGTATAAGACGGTATAATTAGAATTTGGTTATGACGTTTCTTATCTTGTCCCCTAGTATCAACTTGTTTCCTTATAGACGCCATATAGGATTTTTACGCAAATTAATAGAGTTTTTAATTCTGATACCAACTTGTTTCCTTATAGACGCCATATAGGATTTTTACGCAAATTAATAGAGTTTTTAATTCTGATACAAAAAATGTATATGTCAAATATTGACATTGCCAAACCTCAGTTATTTCAGAAAAATATTCCTAGGTAGGCCTTGGAATTATCATAGTCATTTGTTTCATATACCAGACCAGACCTAAAATGGACCATAGCAACAGAGTTTGGAAGGCTGAGAAGAAGGAACATAAATCAAATAGTGAACAATGTACAGAGCAAAGTCAGGCTTTGCCTACAAAATTACGGACAACATTTTAGACATCTGCTATCATGTTCTTCTTATTCATGATTATTATTATTACCATCAATAAAATCTCCATACATTTTTATTCTCTTATAACTTTTACTCAACAACAAATTCATGGTCAACTAAGGAAATGCATCACTAATTTATGAGTGAAAATGTACCCCAGTCCAATATAGCGTCCATATCAAAAAACAAAGTTGGTGATGGAAGTTGAAAGAAGAAATGTCAAATTGAAAATTTAACTACGCCATCTTGTAGAGGAGAATAGGTAAGAATAACAACATGAAATTGTTTTGAAATCTCATCTCAAAAAAACGCCAGGAAAAAAGTAATTTTGTGATAAATCTGGTAATTGCAAGGCCTACCTAGGATAATCTGATATTTTTGACGTAACTAAGGATGGCCTCCTTGATTTTTATAGTTTTCTCTTGTTCCGTGTCAGGGCTCTATTTTGAGGTTATGTTACAAATATCCATTCGGTCAAATTGTTCAAGCTTTTGATTTATATCATCTGTTAAATAGCCTGAAATTTCCTTCGATTCAAAAAGAAAATATAGCCTCACAATAGGAGAGTGATGACGCTGACACGGAATAGTAGAACTCTAGAAATAGGATAGAAAAGACCATGAAAATTAAGTAGGCCATAAAGGCGACCTACAATTGTAGGAACGCCTGACGATACGGCCCTTAAGGTTTGGCAATGTCAATGTATGCATTATACATTTTTGGAATCAAGGTTAAAAACTCTCTCCATTTGTGCAAATATCTAATATGGCGTCCATAAGAAAAAATTAAGTTGATGCTGGAGGACAAGCGAAGAAACGTCATATTAAAATTCTAATTGTGCCATCTGGTAGATAAGAAAAGGTGGCAGTGTTAATGTGCAATTTATTTCGAAATCCCATTACAAATAAAGTCAGGAAAAAATTAAAATGTTTTTTTAACATTCTGTGTTTGCCGCCTCTCTCCGGAACTCGAACTTTCTAAAGGGCATTCTGTAAATACCTAATTACGCAACTTTGCCCCCATTTAAGCGACTTCGTATCTCTTACAGTTTGCGAAGTCACAATGGTGAGGATAGAATTTGAAACATCCTGTATAAAAGAATACACGAAAAAAATATCGATTTTAATTTCACGATTACTTATGATAAAACAGATTATTTTAGCTCCACATTCCATAACACTTTATTTACGCTCATAAGTTGTATCAAAGTGCATCAATTACATTACTAAAAAATAGGTAACGAGAAAAAAACAATTCTGTTTTCAAAAGTGGTACAGATTATTATTTTTTTACACAATAGTTTATTCCTGCCTTTTACAGACAACCATTCCAGAACCGCACTAAATTACCAGTAGCCAATCGCAATGCGAATACGCAGATAAAACAGTTTACCTAACCTATGGCTTCCATATCCAAGTACAAAGACGACTCCTTCGTACGTATATTATTATAAATTCAAGACATTTAAATGTGCAGTAGCACCATATTCAGTTGTAATTTTTACTACATACGTGCATTATAACATTATACAAGTGGCACAAAAGAAAGGCAACTTATGCCTTCTACGATAACAAGAACTTGTACAGGGTGTCCTGTTATAAAATATACCCCTTCTAGCGAATTTTATAATCATTTAGAGGAAAAAGTGTTGTTCAAACGTTAGAGAGAGAGAGAGAGAGAAAGTAATATTTCCACTGAGATATTTTTCGGACTCCCGTTGTTCACTTGGTGGCAACTGATGATCACATCAATCAAAACGTGAATCAAAAAACATTATAGATAATGAAAGTCCGATACACAAGATCCGATCATCCACATTGTCGTCAATTGTTAAACAATAATATGTTCATGCAATCTCGTTGTTGTATATAGGGTGTCACATAAAAGTGCTGCCAAATAAAGTTGTACTTTTTAGATGGAACAGCATGCTGATGTTTAGTAAAAATTTTGAAGGCGCTTCTTCTGATTGTAAGTATATGTTGTTTGTTTCATTTGTTTCTAATATATCATTTAACAACTTGAATTTTGTGTAATATACAGCAATCGGCTAAACCGCAATTTTATCTGTTTAAAATATTACTACATAATCAACAACGCCTATTCAAAAAATAGTGGGCAGATAAGGTGTCCATAGCTATGAAAAACTTCCGGATATTATGGCCTTCCAAAATACCTTTTAAGTAATCAGATATCCTAAATAGTTTCTGTGCAAGATATTGTGTAGGTACCATTAATCTTGAAAATTCCTATTTTATGAACTTATCCTATAAGGCACAATAAATCCTCAAATTCAAATCAATCTAGGTCGTCTAATCAATGTAAGGGGTGGTTACCTTGACGTTATTTTAGGTGATAAAAATAGTTACGGACGCTGTGCCTTATTACCTAACGCGATCAAATAGGATAATAAAATGTTTATGAAATAATAACTGAAGTCCTTACTATAAACGGGCGTAGAGATAACGCTGTACTTAAACAATTTGTGTGATTCTATTTTTCGATTCCAATGCGAAATGTTGTATTCGACAGAATAATATGCAAAAATATTCTCCATTTGTGGATTGTGCAATGGCAATGTTCGATTTTCAGTTGAAAAGTACCGAAATCTACATCTAAAGTAGAGCAAATTTTTCAGACTGGTACGGTGCCTGGGAGATTAGAAATAATAGGAATGCCGAGAATTGACGTAGATGCCTGAAGACTGAGTACTACACTTCATTGACGATAAGCCTTCTAGTACTGTCAGGCCAATCAAACCACATGTATTTAAAATACATCTTTATTGTATACGTATTGGTCCCAATGGTGACCTTTTTCAGTAGAAGACACTTTTTTCAACATTGCGACCAAAACGTATACAATACGAGACCGTCCAATAAGTACCCGTGTTTGACGACAGAGGGCGTTCCTGACAGAAGTTAATGTTATCATCCTGTGCTGTCATCTATTAAACGACGGCACAACAAATTTCAGACTGATTGATATTGATAGGTTAGTTTGGATTTGGCAGCCATTCCTGTAACGCGTCTTTCGTGATTTTCGCTAACATGGAAAAAGAGCAGTATCATTCGGTAATTCGCTTTTTGTTTTTGGATAGGAAAAAATGCGAGGAGATAAAAGCAAAGTTGGATGCTGGTTATGGGGGCACTTCGCCATATATGACCACAGTAAGATATTGTTCAACGAATTTAAACGTGGGCGAACATCCGTTTTTGATGAGGATAGACCAGGACGCCCGGCAGACGTGGTTACCGGGGAAATCATTCAAAAAGTCCACGACATGATTCTAGCTGATCGACGAACGAAAGTGCGCTAAGTAGCAGAGGCCGTAGGTTTGTCGACCGGAACAGATATCAATATTTTACATGATAAGTTGGATATGAAAAAATTGTCGGCCATGAGTGCCGCGATTGCTCACAGTGGAACACAAACAGATGCGGCTGTTAACTTCGAAGCAGTGTTTGGAACAATTTAAGAGAAATCCGAAGGAGTTTTTACGTCGAGTTGTCACCGTCGATGAAACCTAGATTCATTATTACACACCAGAAACCAAGCAACAATCAAAACAATGGATTTCTCCCGGTGAAACTGCTCCAAAGAAGGCGCTCCCATCGGCCGGAAAGGTCATGGCGACGATTCTTTGGGATGCGAACGGCGTCATCCTCGTGGATTTTTTAGAAAAAGGAAAAACGATCACTGGAGAATACTATAGTGAGTTATTGGACCGCTTCGACAAGAAACTGAAGGAGACAAGGCCACATTTGATGAAAAAGGTGCTGTTTCACCACGATAACGCACCAGCACATTCATCCGGAGTTGTCGCCGCCAAACTGCATGAATTGCGTTATAAAGTGCTTCTTGTTCCCTGACATGAAGAAATGGCTCGCGGGGAAAAATTTAGCTCAGAAAAGGAAGTCATCGCCGAGACAGGGGCGTATTTTGGAGAGTTCGACAAATCCTATTTTTTGGGGGGTTAAAAAAAATGGCAGGAACGTTGGGAAAAGTGTATCTTTCAAAACGGGGATCACCCCTACAAAATCCAACCCGTACGTCCTCGAGTTCGTTCTGCGGGGCGGCCTTGGGCGCTGAACCGTGTGCGACCGTGTAGGGGGGACAACGGGGTGCCGGTCTTGCGGTGGACCGCCTCGATTAGTTTTTGAGGAGACCCGCCGGAAAGCCGGTAGCCCGGCCAATCGAATGATTCGTTGAGCCACAGGTGTCTCGGATGTATATCTGGGACGCCTGCAGCTCAACGGTCATCATGGGCAATGGTACGTTACCCAACCTAAGGTGTTAAGCGATTCCGTGCCGAGGGGTGCGTGGCGGTGGGGATGCACCGTCTTAAACGGAGCCTCTGGGACAC